GCATAATAGAATCCCTCATTGAGTAAATATTGCCTGACTCCACCCCTCACCTATTTATATAGCACTTTACTGTGGACCTGGCTTTGTTATCTCATGGATCCCTGCATACTTTCATGAGGCAGGGTGGGTTGATCTTATCTCCATTTTATTGATGAGAAATGTGAGATTCAGGGAGGCTCTCTCTCTAACAGAACACTTCGGGATATACACATAGATCAGGCACATGTGCTTCCCTGAAAGGAGACCATAGTCTAGTGGGGGACATGAGACAGAAACAGGAATGCAGGTAGAAAGTGATGTAGTACAGATTTTAAAAAATATGAAAATTCAGAGGCGGAGGGGTTAGCAAGAAGTAATTTGTGAGGAGGAGGGAATCTGAGAAGGCTTTTTGGAGGAGGTGGTCCAGGCCCATCTTGGAGCTGATAAAGCTGTAATTTCCTTTGAGAACCTGGTTGGAGGGCATCCCCATGGCCTTGCTGCTGTGCTCCATTGGTTCCCTTGTTGAGTTCTCATAGTTTTATAACCCAGGTTGTATAACTTCCTTTGTGTTATCATCTCATCATATTTATAATAAATCCTACTTTTCTTTTGAGATATGACTGCTTAATAAAAATGTGGTTTGTCTTTGAATTCTGCAAATAAATTATTATTTTGACTTCCCTAGAATAAAAGTTGCAATAAGGTTTTTTTTTCACTGGGAAGATAAACCAATAGACATATAAACTATCACATAGTTCATTTTTGGAGAGGTAATTTTTTTGGCTACAACTATCTAATTAGCTAAAAATAAACATCTGTACTGTTATAACTGTGTTATTAAATCAAGGAGTATGAAGAACTTTTCAAGGACAATGGATTTATTTCTGGAACAAAAGAGACAGTAACGAATAAAGCTGTGACTGGCAGTCGGATAAAGAGCCCAACTCTGTTAGGATGTGCTTGCTTTTCTCTTTTTTCTATAACATCTGTCTTACATTGTTATATATAATACCTTTTGCATAAAGCATCTGGTTCCTCAAGAAAGTTGTATGAAGATATGGAGAACCTTTATACTTGATAAGATTTGAGAAAGTTGGCTTAAGTAGTAGTCTTTATTAAAATATATAATTTTGAATAAAATGCACTTTATTATTTTACAATGCAATGCATCTTTTAAAACAGATATAAATGTAAAGAAATACAATTCAATTTGTCCTTTAAAATATCTAAAAAATTTTAAATCCATGTATTCTTTGACACGCCAGGTTCACGTCTGCTAATCTATCCTGCATATATACTGACAGAAGTACACAAAAACATATGAAAGGATGTTTGTTGCAGTATTGTTTATGACACCAAAAAAAATGGAGATAACGTAAATGTCCAGTTAGTATGTGACTGTTTAAATCGTTATGGTTCACCCCTATAATGGAATATTATACCATCTATCATTGAAAGAATGAGGTATTGATACAGAAAGATGTCAAGGTTACCTTAAGGGAAAAAATGAAGTGGCAGAACAGTGTGCATAGTGTAAACCCATTTGTGCACTGAAAAGGATTTATGTGTATTTATGTATATATACATTTCCTTAAATTTGCATAGACTGTCCCTGACATGGTGCACAAAAGCTGTCAAAAATGCTTACCTTTAAGAAGGCACCTGCAGCCTGGAAAGTGTGTATGAAGGGGATATTTTTACTTTTCACCATCTACCTCCTGAGTTCTTAGAATTTTTGCCATAAGTATTATTATTATAAAAATAATGCATAAAATAATTAAGTAAAAACCTATTAAATTTATTTATTTTAATAATTTAATAATAGAGTATATAAGTTAAAGAAGCCCTTTAACATTAAGGCCTCTATTCTGGACTAAGAAATATTTCCAGGCATCTTAAAGGAAAAAAAAAAATCTTCTTTAGTTCTTAGTTTAAATAATTATTGATTTGTGGCAAATAATCCCTGAAAAAAAATCACAACACAAAAATTAATTTCCATCATTATTTAGAAAAATTATATATACCACCAGTTGAGAGCCTCAGTATTTGAAGTATAACAGCCTAAACTGAGGAGATTTGCCCCCTAGTGTTTATGCTTCTCCTGAAGTGTCATGGAAACAATTGATAGAGATTCAACCATATTGAGCTCCTCTCTTTGTTTGCTGTGTTAGGCTTTTGTGCAGATGGGTCCTGATCATATGCTGTTTTTGGATTGAGTCTTGTTTTTCAGAATCAGAAATTAATGAAAGATTGCTTTCCATTATCATTTATTTATCCCCAATATAACAAAGGATTGCTTTAAAACATGATTTCCTTGTCCTTTTTATGATTTAATGTAACATATTTCCAGAGCTGGTATTTGTGTGTGTGTGTGTGAGTCAGGGAGATTGGCCCTGAGCTAACATCTGTTGCCAATCTTCCTCTTTTTGCTTGAGGAAGATTGTCACGGAGCCAACATCTGTGTCAATCTTCCTCCACTTTATGTGGGATGCCGCCATAGCATGGCTCGACAAACCGTGCTAGGTCAGTGCCCAGGATCCAAATCTGTGAACCCAGACGGTCAAAGCTAAGCATGTGAACTTAAGCGCTACGCCACCTGGCTGGCCCCCCAGAGTTGGTATTTTAAAGAAAGCTTTAGTCATCTATAAAACATTTCTTATATGCTTTTACCTTTGAAATATTTTCCCCACATATAATTACTTGTCAGCTTCCATTGTTCTCTAATCTGATACCATAATTCTTGGGATTATCTTCTTTGTTTCCATACTTCTCCTTGTTTCTACTATCTTTTTATCTACTGTTCACTGTGAGTCTTAGACCTCTGAGAAAAATCTGATTGGGTAATTTAGTCGCCATTCAGTATAAGGAAACACTTTTAGATAGAATTCTCTTTCTATTCAGGTCGCCTCATTGGCTATTGGCCTTTCGTGTCTGGCCGATAGAAAACTATAGTTTTGATTTCTGGTCCAATCAGATGTGTCTAGGAAATCAAGGTCATTTGAAACATAATAATCTCTCATGCACTTAGAATCTGATCTTATGGACAGTTCATCAGTCCAACAGCCTAACGGAGGATATTTTAAATTCTCTTAAATTTGCTCCCAGCCCTACTCAAAACAAAACAAAACAACAACAATTAGCCTAGGGGAAAGCTTGGATTCGCTCTGCATAACCCACAGGTTCTATGTCCAGCTCATAAGTAGCTTCCGGAAAGGCCACAGGCCTTGGGTTCACACAAAGTTTGCATCCCTTTTTGGCAACTTCCCAGGTAGGCAACCCTTGGCTCTCAGAAATTGTGACCTTCTATGTGGAATAGAGATACTATTTCTTTGTAGGATTTACATGAGGATTTAAGGTGACTGTGTATATAAATTGAGCAGAATAATTGACACACAGTAATGATAATAGCACAAATATTTACTGAGTACGTACCAAGTGCCATACATTATTCTAAGCCCTTTTTGCATATTAGCTCATTTAATTGTCTGAACAACCCTATAAGATTATTATCTCCATTTGACAGATGACACAGGCAGTTCTTAATTTGCTTGAGATTACACAGCAGTAAGTGAAGGAGCTGATAGCTCATGCTGTTAACATCTACACCAAATCAACCCTACCTATGAAGCCAGTGCTTGGTTTTGTTTCTGCCCCTAAGTCTATGGCCTTCTGGCTTTCACCCCTGTCAGACCTGGATGTGGATAGTTCTGTCCTATCTTGTCCTTCATCAAATCCAGGCACAGTCCTCAGTTCATGATGGTCAATGACTCCCTTGGGAATTTGGAGGTTTCACAGGGTCAGGGATTTCACTGTGTGCCGTCTTACCTGCTCTCTACCCTTTCACCAAAGCTGAGATTCACCCTATCCTGTGGAATCATCTCATGAGAAGCAGCAGTCTCAGGCCAGGCTGCCTTCCCTGGAATTCCAGTGAAGAAAATGTCTTGTTATGTCATATGTCTTTCTATTCTCTCCTCTCCACTCGTCAAACACTGAATATTTTAAGCAGGGTTAGTCTTTAAACCAGGCTGTGAAGTACGTAACATTTGCCCCTTTAAACTACCCATTCTATCTATCCTTACTATGTCACTCTTTCATATCTCAGTGGGTCAGTTTAATTAGAAGCTTTCACCTTCTGAGGAAATGGCAGATTAATGGGGGAATGGGAAAAGGTCATTTAGAACAATGCTTCTCAAACTTTAATGTGCATGTGAATCGCCTAGAGACCTTGGTAAAGTGCTGAATATGATACAGTAGCTCTGGGCTGAGGCCTGAGATTCTGCATTTCTAACAAGCTCTTGGTGATGTCAATGCTCCTGGTCTCTGAACCACATTCTGAGGAGCAAGGATTTAAAGACTGAGGCACCACCATGAGATGCCAGAGGATTTACCGTGTTACCTTTTCCAGGAACATTTAATCCAAAGAAATGAGTCTCTCTTAGTGGAATTTAGTTAATGTGACTAGCTGCTAGAAGAAATTTCTCAATTTCCAACCCTACCCTAGACTGTTTACCAGTAAAGCCATTCCTGGTTGGAGAAAAGAATAGTATAAATTTGTCAAGTTTTGATGTAAACACTGCAAAAATAGACATTTTTCTCCATCAATTTAATTTAATGACTCTCAAATGATTTATATTTATTTCTCCTTAGCTTTATGTGAAAGAACATCATCTTGCTGCTACTAAAGGTTGAGTTTCTTGTGACTGGGGAAATAGATGATTAAACTTATCCTGGTACAAGGGCCATAGTGTATTTCAATCTCTGTTTCTTTGTTCCTTCTAACATCACCTACATAAAAAGGCAGTTAGGTCAGCTTTTATTTCCCGGTCTTTGATTTGGAGTCAGTTCACTAAGAATGTTTATGAATAATTCTGTTAGAAATGGTTTGATAATACTAATCTGAATAATGAAATATTGTGCAGAGCTTTACAAATGGAGGTGCAGTGTGGGCAGAAACCTGCGAAATGATGTGGCTGATTCTCCTTGTGATGGCAAAGGCTTGTGTTTTCTATTTCTCTTTTCAGGGAGGAGAACACTGTTTCTACCAGGGCCATATCCGAGGAAACCCTGCCTCGTTTGTTGCATTGTCAACATGCCACGGACTTCAGTAAGTGTCCACAAATTTTTTGTATCATCCATTTTTTCAATCACTTATTTTGTTTGTTTTTAATGCATTGTAATCAATATCCCCATTTTATGTCAAGAAATAATTTCAAATCGGTAGCGTTCTTTTTCTTTTTTGTGGTTTATAAACCAAGCAGATTTTACAACTAGAATCACAGCAGCCCGGGGCTCTGATACTGTGATGTGGGAAGCATTTTTCCAGTTTCCTCCAAGTTGAGACAGGAGTGATTTGGGAAACTTTGATCTCTGTTTCTGTGGATGTTTAATCCCTTGGTACCAGTTCTACCCCTACTACTCCTTGATGTTAGTTTTTGTTTCATGGAATTATAGAAATTTCAGTAGATAAAATCTCTTGAGTCCTTTCACAGAGACAAAAGGCTGCATGTGACCTCAAGAACTCATGTGTTTCAGCCCTTTTTTCAGCCAGAATCCCACCTAACCCACAGCAAACTCGTGGGAGGGTCCATCTGTTCTCAGAAATCTCCAAGGATCGGGGTTCATCCTTCCTCGGGGCCTTGCTTCCTTTCTCATAACCTTCATTATCAAAGAATGTTTGCTGATGGTTAACATGGGAATACATCCACTTCCTCTGTCCTCTTGATAATGGTGATACACAGGTGGCTGTCTCTTTGTTTTGTAACCCCTTCTAAAGCTACCAAGTCATTCCTCAGCATTCTACTTAGGCTAAATCATCTCAGTTCTTTCTTGTTTTGTTCTAATTTTTTTGGGCACAGAACAAGCCAGCACTTTAATTTAGTTGTGTTGAATTTTTGTTTGGAAACTTTAAAATACTTTCTGTCTCTTGCCAAGTTAGAGATGTGGTTTTTTCATCTCAGTAGCAGCTACTGAATGTCTGCTGTGCCAGCCAGTGGGAATATTCAGGTATTTAGAACAGGAGCCCTGCCCCCAAGACCTCACAGTCTAGTGGGGAAGCTAAATCTAGCTCTCCTTCCTACTAGGGAATGTGATAGGTGTGTTTGTTTTCTTTGAGAGAGCAAAAAACAGAGAAAAGTGAAGTTGAGAGTTGGCACTGAAGAATGAGTGTTACTTGAGGGCTCCAGAGGAATGTTACCTGAAGAAGGTGGAGTGGTCCTTGGAATAGGCCTTGACAGAATCTTCCAAGAGAAGGGGTTAGACTGACAAATCTTAAAGAAAGGTAGGAAAGAGATCTAATGGGAAAGGCTGGAAAATGCAGCTAGTCTGCCTAAGTGGTGCCTCTGATCAGGCTCTGGCAGTAGGTATGTGAGACACAGAAAGGAGACAGTGCGAGGATCAGTTACGTAGCCAGAGAAATGAGGCCATGTGTCTCAGAGCGTGGATGACCTCCACTTGCTTATTGTTTTTTCTAAAAGACTAGTTTACTTATTTTAAATAAATTCTTTGAGTAAAGAGATGTTTTTACCAATGTAGACTCCATGCCTAATATGTGAGGGCCTCAGTTTTCTTATCTGCAAAAAGAAATGTCCGTTTCAGCAGTAAAATTGTTATATCTGATCTCAAGACAAGCACAGCTGTCAGCTAGGAATAGTACACTGCGCCTGTCGACATTTGTGATAGCAAGTGTGTTATAGCAGAGTGATATAAAAAGTAAGAGGCTGTTTTCCCTCTTTTCCTCTTAAAATCTCAATCCAAAGTCAGTGTAAGCATCTTGTCTGGTTCTTATTCCCGTTTGCCTCCCAGTTTCTCAAGTGGATGCAATACTGTGAGAATCAGAGTGATTACTGCCTTCTAAAGGCCGTAACAGACCTGAGAACCTAAGACCAATAGCGCACTACTAATCCTACATAGTCATTTGAAGGAGGATGAAAAACTAACTTTAAGGAAATTTTAGTGACTAAATCAGGAGTAGAACTCAGAGTGTGCTTCAGGTGTTTTAACTGAGTAAAACTTACTTCTACCTTTAGAAACCTTTACATTTGAAACCAAACAAAAAGAAACACACAGAAAGCCCACTGTGTGTCTGGAACACTGTCAGAATTGTATACGAGTGTGTTTGGGCGTCTTAGACTTTTATGAGCCTGTTGGATACAGTTACTCTTGTTCCTTTTTGTTGTTGATTAATTATGACTTATCTTGATTTTACCTTCTGAACAAAAATTGCTGACAATAATATTTTGGGGATATTACTAAATGTTAAATAATTTATGTTGTCTTAATTGCAGTGATTTAGATATGTGATGTATTATTTCATCCATGATTCATCTTTTATAAATTACCAAGTACATATTGAGATTTTTCGTTTTTCTTGATTTGCTGAATTCAGTCGAAAGAACATAAAGGGGAAAATAATCAGCTTTGTATGTCTTTTCCATAAAGAACCTGCAAGAACATATTTTTTCAAATTTGAAAAACTAATGGGCAATATTCTGGTCCTGGTATGTTTGATGTTATGACAAACTCCTGTAACTATGGGAACCTTAAAGAATGGAATCAAATGTAAGTTTATTGCCCTCTTGTGGCAATTTTTAAGAATGGCTGTTTCTTTTCAAAATCTTGTTTTTATTCAGCCTTTTAAAATTTTAGCTCAATTGTCCTGTAATGACTCGTTCTAGCTGCAGGTTTTTATTAAGTATATACCGTGTATGGACTCAATATACTTAGTGGAATTTATATAGATATAACAGAAAGATGCCAATCCTCAAACAAAGCAAATAAAACACATATGCTTTTTAATTGTTAAGGAATCAATAATAGTGTATTGTCATATAGGGAATCAGAATCTTCTAGTTACAGATTGTGTCAGAATTTGCTTTATTTACACTGTGTATCGTAATGTTTAAATCCAGTAAAAATAACTGATTTTTGCATTGGACACTAACCTAACGCAAGAGGAAATAATACCCTGTACTATTTAAACAAAATAATCTGTTTGCTACTTAATCAGCGTAGCCATGTGAACTTTGGCAAAGCATGATGGTTCTGTACAATTTTCTGGTTGGATCTGGCTAGTTCTCAGCAGGGGCCGAGAGAATGTTCACGGCCGTATTTGGGCTACTGTTCTGAAAATGTTTCCCTACTGATTCCTCAGGCGTGTATTGTCAATAGTATCTCACAAACTGCATCTGTTTATCTTTAAATTCCAAATGCAATGTCATGCAAATTCAGAAAGTGTGCTTTTGGTCAAAAACCTTACAGATGTGAGAATAGCAGTTCTAAGGTATATAAAAGTTGAGGACATGTGGAAGATGTTAAAGCAGGATTGAAAGAATTTGGATAGAGGCAGAGCTTGGAGGCCATCAGAATTATAGCTCAGGGAAACCAACCGATTTCACTAAGCCGTCAATAAAAGACAAATATGATTCTATGTTTAACAGCTTGGGTGTTGTGCAGCCATTTCCACCTGACACTGAAAAATGACTGCAGAAGATCACAGCTCTGCCCCTCATCAGATGCCTGAATAAGACACATTTCTTCAGCATCATAAGGGTCTTGATCTCAGTAGAAGGACCATGTTTTCCTAAAGGGAGTGGCTATCGGATCTCTTTGAATGGGACTTGAGGCCACATGTAGGTTAAATGCCCTCCAGAGGATTTCTCAACTGGCGGATTGTTATCTCCAAAACTAAACTCCAGATTTGCACCCTGCTCCCTGTGTCCTGCTTCTATGTGCCTGCCTCATTCTGCTCTTCCTGCAGCTTTTTTCATTTTATTAAAATGGCAGCTCTATCTTTCCAGTTGTTCAGGTCAAAACCTTGGAGTCCTCACTGATACAACTCTTTCTTGTATATTTCCTTTCAAATCCATGAACAAATCTTACTGGTTCTACTGTTGAAAAATAGCCAGAATTTGACCAGTTCTCACCATCTCCACCATTATCCCCATGATCTAAGTTACCATCTTCTTTCACCTGGATTATTGTAATAACTTCCCCATTTCTATCTTTGCCCTCCTAAAGGTCGTAACATAGCAGCTGGAGCAACTATTTTTAAAATTTAAGGTAGATTGTGTTTCCTCCCTGCATAGAACCCTGCAGTGGCTCCTTATCCCTCTCAGAGGAAAAGCCAAGGTCCTTAGGAGGGCCTACCTAATATGGCCCCACTCTGCCTCTGATCTCATTTTATGGCACTCCCCCTCACCCACTCTATTCCAGCCACACTGTTTCTTTGGTGTTCCTGGAACACGCCAAAATTCTCTTACCTTAGGGCTCGAATCTGAAGTGCTCTTGGCCTGGATAGTCTTATGGCTTATCCCTTCACCTCATTCAGGTCTTTGCTTAAATGTCATCTTTTCTGAAGCTTTGCTCTGACCCTCCATATAATCAACAGTCTTCTTTCTCTAGTCCCTATACCCAGTCCTCTGGCACCATTTGTTGCCCTTAACCTGCTTTGTTTTCCTCCCTACCATTTATCACCACCTCGTATATATTTCGTTGTTGATTATGTATTTTTTGTCTGTCCTCCCTAGAATGCACATCAGCCCCGTAAGGGCAGAGAATTGGTCTGTTTTATTCGCTACTGTATCCCCACCACCTAGAGCAGTGCACTGGAGGTGCTCTATAAATGTTTTTTGAATGAATGAATGAATGAATGAAGGTGAGTGGCCAATTATGGATAGGCAATTCAGGAACAAATCTGCCTGTGGTCTATTCCTGCTTCTGCTCTTACTGGTTATATAATTTAGGCAAGCTACTTAATCTCTTTGGGCTTTGATTTCCTTACTTGTAAAATAAGGATAGTCATTGTACCTCCCTCATAAATGTGTGAAAAAGGTTAAGTGAGTGTGAAGTATTTAGCTCGTGGTAAGTTGTTGAAGTGTGTCAACTCTTGTTCCTAGAGCATCTTCCAGGTGTATGGTAGGTAGGCAGTTCTCAGTATAGTCCCTCACAACCTGATCAGAATCATCTAGGGTTTGTTTAAAATGCAGCTTCCTGGGCCCCAACCAAGAAATCTGAGGAGGGCCCTGAAAGTTTTGCATTTTTACAAGCTCTCCAGGTAACTATTTGCATATTAAAGTTTTAGAATTGTATGTTGGAGGGGGGAATAATGGACCACAATTAGAAAGTGGTAACCCTGAACCTGGGGAATGGTCAAGGTAAGGGACCCTGCTGCTTATGGAGAATCAGAGGGAGGGGCCTTTCCTCTCAGCAGTGTGTGAGTGTGTGTGGGTGTGTGGGGGTGTGACGTGTGTGGCATGTGGGGTGTGTGTGTGAGTGTGTATATTTGGTATGTATCTGGTGGTGATGGGTGGGACAGGGAAGTGGGCATTGAGAAGTAAATTGATCCTCTGGCAGGTGCTGATTGTAAAATGATCTTGTTCTGAGGCAAGAGTCCATAGCCATGGTAATTATTTTCTTGTCCTTGGCAGTGGGATGTTCTGTGATGGGAACCACACTTATCTCATTGAGCCAGGAGACAATGACACCTCCCAAGTAAGTGCTTCTTATATTTACTGTGGCAAATGTAAGAATTGATGCTGGAAGCTTTTTTTCCCTTTCTTTTTCCTCCTCATTTTTCTGCCTTATCTTATTTTCATATTTTTAGGGTTGGGATAGTAAATATATATATATTTAAAATTTTAGGGGCCAGCCCGGTGGCGCAGCAGTTAAGTTTGCATGTTCTGCTTCTCAGTGGCCTGGGGTTCGCTGGTTCGGATCCTGGGTGTGGACATGGCACCGCTTGGCACGCCATGCTATAGTAGGCGTCCCACATCTAAAGTAAGAGGAAGATGGGCATGGATGTTAGCTCAGGGCCAGTGTTCCTCAGCAAAAAGAGGAGGATTGGCAGCAGTTAGCTCAGGGCTAATCTTCCTCAAATTAAATAAATAAATAAATTTTTAATATGGAATAAGTCAAGACTACAAGTGTTTTTTTTTTTTAAAGTTTCTCTCTTACTCCTCCTTCATGTTGGAAATACTTTCTTTCTGAGGTGTTCTGAAGCCTTCATTTCTATCTCTACCATAATGTGCTGTGATCTGTCTTAGTCTGCTCAGACTGCCATAACAAAATACTGTAGTACAGCTGAAACAACAGAAATTTATTTTCTCACAGTTATGGTGACTGAAAGTCTAAGGTCTAGGTGCTAGCAGGGTCGGTTCTGCTGAGGGCTCTCCTTGGGTTGTAGACAGCCAGCTTCTCACTCTGTCCTCACATGGCGGAGAGGGAGCTCTGCTGTCTCTTCCTCTTCTTATAAGGGCACCAGCTGTCTCAGATTAGGACCTTTAAGACCTTTTCTTTTTACCTTGAGGAGGCCACCTCACAGGCCCTATCTCCAAATACCTCACATCGAGGGGTAGGGCTTAAACATGAATTTTGAGGGGACACAAACATTCATCTAAAACAGATCAAATCTACAAATATGTGATTTTCCACTGCCCTTTCTTTTCTAGATCCTAGATTTTTCTCAACTGCCCATTGTCTTTAAGGTCCTGTGCTGATAAATTTTAGAGAAACTGGGTTTTAAAAATTCTTTCCTCCACCTTAGTTAAAACATTCATTTTCCACAAATTAGGATAGGATTGAGATAATATTATAGACTACAGAGAAACATAATACACTTCCATGCTAGCTCTCTGCACACAAATATTATTCTTTGTGTCACGGAACTTGGTCAGATGCTTAAGAGAGGCAAGTAAGTTCTAGAAACACACGTTGTTTTGCCACCCATAAACAATCTTGTTTGGGAAACTATTTGTATTGTGTTTTATTTTCTGGATACCTATTGCTGGCTGTTGAGTCACTTGGCTTGACCAGGTGATTTTTTTAAAGGTAACATCATGAAACTTGACTATTTATGACAGTAATTTGTTTTAGTAATTGAATGAATCCAGAAGAAATTATTTGAATGTTCATTATTTTTTCTTAGATGAAATGTGGCTTTTTGTCTGTTAGCTTTTCGTAGAACTTTGTATGACTTGAATTTTGGAGCAAGGTTCATTTGGGCATCTGCTTGTACCAGTCAACATACTCCCTAATCCTAGGGAGATTGTTGGCTCTGCAGTCTTTGCCTAGCAAAGCTTTCTGGCTCTAAAAGCAGGGCAGGGATCTGTGTAAAGGCACCAGTCATGAAAAACGTTAACCCATTTTCCCACATGTCTTACTTCTCCTTGGGGAAATAGGTCCATTCATTTATTTTCCATTACTACAGGCTTTGGCTTCTCTGTCTGCTATGGCATTTTGCTTCTAGTAGGATATTGCTCTGGTGTTGGGAGAACACAAGAGTGAGAGGGGGGAGTAGCGTGATGGCTCATTGCCTCCACAAGCCCAGGAGGATGAGTAGTCAAGCTACGGTTCTTTGAAGGATTTCTGCTTCTCCAGCTATGATTGCCTGAGGCTAGAGATATCTGGTTGCTCATGCCTAATCTCTGTTGTTTGTGTTATTTCAGGAGGATTTCCGTTTTCATTCTGTTTACAAATCCAGACTGTTTGAATTTCCCTTGGATGATCTTCCATCTGGTATGATATCTGTATAGTGACTTAAAAAAAAAGAAAACTTTAATAATTCATTTTAATGCTTTAGGGCTAATCTGTATGTGAAGTATCATTCACCCATGAGTGCTCATAACAATTTTAGGGAGAAAGTCAATGGACGTCAAGAGGGAGAATAAAGTGCAAACTGACCTCATGTTTATAGTGGATGAGTTTTGAAAGATATAGTTTGAGCACATTGAAGGAATACTTTTAAAATGATGTTAGAGCAAAAATTGATCTGCCCCGGTAAAATATATAAAAATTAAGTTAGTCAAGTGCTGATTTTGTAAATATAGGGATGAACTCTTAACCATCTTCCCATCTGTTTTCCTCATCTCTTTTTGCCCCAGCATTTTAAGAAAGAACAATTGTAGATTAAGACTTTTTATTATTATATGCTATTTGTGAAATGAGTCTTGCCTTCTCATATATGTTTGTTTGTAGGTCCATTTATTTATAGATGTTGATTTGATTTGCATCCAAATCTTCACATGACAAGTAGGGCAGAGCACTGTACTTTGGCCTCATTAGCAAAATGATAATGATGCAGAGTGCGTTTGCCTTTGGCTCTGCTGAACTCGTTGGTTTCTCCTTCTGAAGAGAGAACACACCAAATATCTGGTGTGCAGATACTTCCTCCCTATTTAGTGAGCCCTCACTGTGGCCATAGTACATTCTAATTTTTAATCTCATTTTAATCTTTGCTACAGCTCTGTGATTGATATTATTATTGCCATTTTATAGATGAAGAAACAGAGGCTCAGCTAGTTTGTCTTTTCCAGGGTCCCACAGCTGGGTGGGGGTTTGGATTATGGTACTGTGAGAACGTACTCTGGGAGAGAGGCACAAGGGGAGATGGAAAAATTACCAGACTCAGAGCAAATCTTAAACTACTGCTTAGGAAAATCACTTAAAAGTTTACATTGTCTCCTCAGGGGAAAATGAAATGTGTTTTCTAATGTCCCTTTCTCTCTAGAATAGATGTGTAATTCCTTCATCTTCTGCAGTTTTCTTAAAGAGAAACAAAACTTGCCACTTCACTCCTGCTGCCAAAGGGATAGAAGATCCTATTTTATAGAATTTAATATTTTGAAAAATCTGCAAATAACTATATAGACACTCTTACTTTACACAGATGTCTGTTTTAGACTTTCTTCAGTTACCTTATGAAACTTTTGTAATCTCTATTATTGGAAGAAAATAAATCGTGACTAGCTGCCTGAGAATAAAGTTACAATTTAATAGGTATTACTAGAAGCAATAAATATTAATTAATGTTTAAAGTAATAAATAAAGCTACCCTCTAAGGACTTTAATGTAGGCTTGCCACAATACAATCATACAATTTTTTAAAAACTTTGTTCAGGATTTCTTTTCAACAGAAACTTTTGAAGTGACCTGGCAGTTTTGCTGTTATTAAAAATGAGTTTTGAACATATTCTTTGAAAACTCAGGTCTGTCTCAATTAGTTTCTGGTTTTCTTTTCTCATCAGAAGTTGGCACTGTTAATTTTTAGAGTGTTATTTGCCTGCCAAGACACTTAGATTTACTATGACAAATCAGAAGAAAACAAGAAATAGACAAATAAATGTCAAAACTGAAATTTTTGTGAAATAAGCTCAAAAGCAAGTTTATTCATTTTAGATTTAATAAAGTTTCACTGGGCTATGGATTACATTATACCTTTGTCTTGCCACGCATTATGTCTTTCTTGGAGATAGAATATGATCAAGTGTTTCCCCGACTGGTTTGACTGTTGAAACTTTTGTTTTACATGACACAACCCTCAGGACTAGTATTCCTAAGGACATATTTTGAGAAAAGCTTGTGTATTTAAACACTGACCTTTTAGCACTCAATGCTTTAAAAATTACTATAATGAAATATACAAATCTCATGTACTGTTTGATGAGTTTTAACACATATATACATACTCCCCTGGTGAGAGAGAGAGCATTTCCGTTACCCTACTAATTTCTTTTGTGTCCCTTCCCAGTCAGTGCCTCCCACTTCTGCAATCCCTTTTCTGAATTTTTTCACCATAGATTAGTTTGGTTTGTTGTAGCTCTTCACACAAATGGAATCATGCATTCTGTCCAGCTTCTTTTGCTTAGCATATGCCTGTGAGATTTACGTCGTCAGGGATAGCAGTAGTTCATTGTTATAAATTATTGAGTTTGCTCTTATTATATGAATATGCCACAATTTTTTATCTATTCTGTTGATGGACTTTTGGATTGTTTCTAGTTTTTGGCTATTATGAATAAAACAACTATGAACATTCTTGTAAAAATCTTTTTTGTGGACACACGGTTTACATTTCTTCCTTGAAATATCCAGGAGTGAAATTACTGGTCATAGGTAGGTATATGTTTAACTGTATAACAGTGTTGTCAAACTTTAGTGTGCATCGGAATCACCTGGAAGGCTTGTTAAACACAGATTGCTGGCGCCATCTCTAGACGTTTTTTTAAGTACTTTATTGAGGTTTGATTGACATACAAAAAGCAGTGCATATTTAATGTATTCAACTTGATAAGTTTGGAGGTAAATATATATTCATGAAACTATCACCACAATCGATGCCATAAACATATCCATTAATTCCAAAAGTTTCCTCCTGCTCTAATTTATTAATTATTATTATTACTATTATTTTTGTGATAGGAACACTGAACATGAGATCTTTGTTACCCTCTTAGCAAATTTTTAAGTATACAGGACAGTATTGTTGACTATAGGCACTGTTCTGTACAGTAGATCTCTAGGACTTACTCATCTTGTATAACTGAAACTTCGTACACTTTGACTAATACCTCCTAGTATCCCCCTCTTCCCAGCCCCTGGCAACCACCGTTCTACTCTCTGTTTCTATGAATCTGACTATTTTAAACTTCTCATATAAGTGGTATCATTCTGTGTCTGGCTTATTTCACTTAACATGATGTCTTCCAGGTTCATCCATGTTGTCACAAATGGCAGGATTTCCTTTTTTAAGGCGGAATAATATTCCATTGTATGCATATACCACATTTTCTTTATCCATTCACCCATTGATGGACATTTAGTTTGCTTCTATATCTTGGTTATTGTGAATAATGCTGCAATAAACATGGGAGTGTGGATATCTGTTTGAGATCTTGGTTTTAGTTCCTTTGGCTATGTACCCAGAAGTAGGATTGCTGGATCATAATGTATTCCTATTTTTAATTTTTTGAGGAACTTCATAGTTTTCCCTAGTGCAAACTCCAATTTCTAGAGTTTTTAATTCAGTACCTCTTGGGTGGGTTATCAAAATTTTCATTTCCAACAAGTTCCCAGGTAATGCTGATGCCACTAGTCCAGGGATCACACTTTGAGAAATACTGTTTTCTGAGAAATTGCTGAACCTTTTTCCAAAGTGGTTATACCATTTTACATTCTCATCAGCACTATTTGAGAATTCTGATTGCTCCACATCTTCACCAACATTTGGTGTATCATTCTTTTGTGAAGGTCAGCAGTGGAAGTGAAGGTCAAGTTGGCTACTTAGGAGATTGTCAATAAAGAATGTGATGTATTTATAGGAGAAATATGAAAAAGTTTTGAGATAAATTAGAACAGGAATAATGTTTGATTTTTTTGAATTGTATTCATTCATGATATGTTTATTTAGTATTAATATGAACAGAATTACTCAGATTGATGTTCTGTATTATCACTGTGTGCAACATTATACATATATTATAAAATTTAAAATAGTTATAATTATATAATTTATAAATTATATAATTATAATGATCATTAATAAAGTATAATTATATACTTTATACTAGGAAGGGCTCGTAAAACTTTGATTGTCCTGTATGAAAGAAACATGAAAAATGCACTGTTAAATTTATTTTTATTTCCTTTTAGAATTCCAGCAAGTAAACATCACTCCACCAAAATTTATTTTGAAGCCAAGACCAAAAAGGATTAAACGACAGGTATGTATTCACAGGTATATGTCATGATGTTTTAAAAACACGTGACAACTCGTAATCAATTAAATCTACATTGAGTCTGTGAGAGAGGAAATACTACTTCAGGCATTTGTCATGGCGTGGAAAACAGTAAGGCTGACACATTTGTAGGAACAGTGGAGGTGGGGTCATATTATTTCATAGACTGAAAAAGGACTGAAGATAGGGGTGATAATATGGTTGTTCATCACATAGATGAATTATGGGGCTCCCACCATGGCGTCTCAGGTTCTTTCTACCTCTCTCCTTGCCTCGGTATGTGCTACGTCATAGAGTTTATTTATCCCTTTAAAGATACTCCCTTAAGAGTGAATCCATCAGGTGTTGAAGCCACAAAATGCTGTTGTCACACTTGAGCTACTTTGGAGTCTGGGATATAAAGTCAGGATGTCAGGATATTCAGTGGATCTTGGACTTAGTAATAATAATAACTGTGTTTGTACAGTGCTTTAAACCACATGAAGTAGGTACTATTTATTCCTCTTTCACAGGAAAAAAAAGATTGGCTCTGAAATTTGAAAATGACCTGCCAGAATGATAGAGCTGGTAAATGGTTTAGATAAAATAGGCACTGTGGTCGTCAGAATTAAGATAGCATCACCACTGTGGTGGTGGTTGGCATGAATGTGTGTGTGTGGCATGAAAAACACAGGATGAGAGAAATTGATCTCTAGTAGGATCAGGCAGTTCAAGGAACCACGTATCTTCTTTTTAAAATATGTTTAATAAGTATGAAATAAAATATGTTTACAGACAGATTTTTAATGTGCATAATAATTGCTGACTTTTGTTGACTACTTTAAAATGTGCCCGGCCCTGTTCTAAGAATTTTAATTATATTAACACGTTTAATTCTTATAACAATCTTATGAGGAAGATATTATTATTACTCTTATTTTACTAATAAGGATGGTGAAGCATAAGAGGCTTAAGAAACTTGCCCACAGTCACATAGGGTCACCCAGTGGTGGAGCTGCAATTCTGATCTAGGAAGTCTCGTCTCAGAGAAGTGCTTTATAACCACATGTACTTTATATATTGCCTCTCAGAAGCCCTTGTGTTCCATGAATTACTAGCATGAGCTATGTAGTTTGTGAATAAAGATAGGTGGATAGGTAGATGTATCCAGTTAAATGGATAAAAATAATTGCCATCAGATTTAATTTGAAACAGTATTTATTTTCATCAGTTGTGAGATGAAAGAATAAAATAATTTTCTTTTGACACATTCCTTGCACTTCTTCATTAACATCTGCAATATCCAGTCATTTGCTAAGAAGGCAAACTCTTGATTTCCAGTCAAGGAAGTGATCGGCAATATTGCGAATATTGCAACTCTCTGATATTAAGAAAATGTTGATGTTTGTTAGAAAGTTTACTGTATTAACTGATAAGGCTCAGGTCTCTTCCACAGTTAACAAAGTAGATACTGTCTTCCTAAAAACATACATTTTTTAAGAAACTCTTGTCATCAGATGGGGTTATGTTACTCAAGCCCGGAATTATAGTCTATTATTTCCTGTCAACTTGGTGTTATAAGGGCTTTTGAAAAATTTTTTTTTAAGTTTGGGAATGCATTATCAATGAAACTAAATCCATATGACAGAAATTTTTTAGTTTGTTTTAAGTGTAGTACTCAAAACAGACATTCATGTATCATTGATTTAGATTTGACTGTCTACCCTCATGGCAAAAATGGCCCGTGGGCAAGTGAACCAAACAATTTACTGAGAAAATGTATGTCGAAGCATAGCATAAAGGAAAAAGTTGATTTTACAGATCTTGTTAAAGATTGTGTTATAGACTAACTGCCAAGAACAAAGGGATGTGGCTGCCTTAGTGGCTCTTGCCAGTAGCATTCATTGGTCGTGACTTTGAAGGTGGAGAAAATTTATTGTTGAACAGACATATATCAGACGTATGATAACCCAAGACTGCCCGTGAGCTCTCAGAACTGTCCTAACAAAGCTCCTGTATCATTTGGGGGATCCCATGAACCCTACCAGAGGAAGGGGCGTGAAACAATCCCAGTTCGGAGATTATACAACAAAAGTGCCAATCACTCACTCCCTAGAGACCTCTCAGAGATTCTCAGGGGCTTAAGTTAAACCATTTGTTATAATCTCCAATATAGACTGTTAAATGCAAACAGCCTGATGCAAAAGAGAGTGAAATAAATGGAAGTACAAAATAAAATATATATTGTTTGATTTTATATGCATAAATATTTCTGGAAGAAACCAGTAACTGTGCTGTACCCATTGTAGAGGAAGAGGCAACAACCAGGTAGATGGGGGACAGACGTGAGAGGAAGACTTTCATCCTGTAGCTCTTTATAATTCTGTAACTTAATTCTTGAACCATGTAAATTTATTACTTACTCAAAAACTAACTAAATTGATGAAGATGAAAATAATAAATGCTGAATGAATAAAAGGAGAAATTTTGTTTTATTTCTACCATATTTTTTAGTTTTTTAAATTTTTTTCGACTTTATTGAGGTATAATTGACAAATAAAATTGAAAGATATTTGAAGTGTACAGTGGGGTGATTTGCTATATGTATACATTGTGAGGGGATGCCCCCCATGGAGTTAATGAACACATCCATCACCTCACATATTTACTGGGCTTTTTTTTTGTTTGTGTGTGAGAATATTGAAGTTCTATTCTCTCAGAAAATTTCAGTTATAAAATAGTGTTATCAATGTAAGTATCCATCAATGGATAAACGGTCAAGAAAAATGTGGTACATACACAACAGAATATTATTCAGCCTTAAAAAAGAAGGAAATCCTGTCATTTGTGACACCATGGATGAACCTGGAGGGCATTGTGTGAAGTGAAATAAGCGAGATAGAGAAAATAAGTACTATGTAGCATCACTTATATGTGGAATCTAAAAAAAAAGAAAAAAAAGTCAAACTCATAGAAACAGAGTATAAAAGTGTTGCCAGAGGCTGGGGGTTGAAGGAAATAGGGAGAGGTGGTAAAGTTACAAACTTTCACCTATAAGATGAGTAAGGTCTGAGGATATAATGTATAACATATTTTTTAGCTTCTCACAGCCAAGTTCAGAGGGCTTATTTAGGTGCTATTACCTTTACTATATTGCAGCTTCGCCGACATCCTCGTAACGTAGAGGAGGAAACCAAATACATTGAACTGATGATTGTGAACGATCATCTCATGGTAGGATTTGCTGAATTTTTTGTTGTTTGAACTTGCCCATGCCTAGGGTAAAACTGACCGGTGCAAAAATATGTTTAGAAGAAAGAAGCACATAAAGTTGCAACCTGGAGGAGGTATTTGTATAACCACACGTATTTGTTACGCAGCAACACCCTGCAAGTGGGAAACATTGTTAGGTGGAAGTAACTAACAGTATTTTGTGAGGTTCCAAAAATATTTCTGTGACTCATAATGTCAAACCTTTGGATTTACTTGATTAGTATAGGGGCTAATATCTCCTGTTACTAAAATGGCAAGGTTAAAAAAAATAGAAACTTCCATTTTATATTGAAAAAGTAAGTGAGGCACCAATAATGAGACGCTGTAGTTTGTAGTGTACAGATTTATCCTAATAAAAGAAATGCGATTTTTCTATTTCTGTCTTGCTATGCAGTAAACCATATGGAAAAGCTTATATAGCAAAACGGTGAAGATTTTTAGGGTAAGAAGCAGCCCAACTTCCTTTTCGCTGAGTCAGTTGTTTTATTATATTCCATTCATGGGTGTGTTGCAGTCAGTATGGTTAAATTCACAGCACAGCAGTGAGTTATAATGCTAATTGTTCCATGTAGCCAGAGTTTTAAACTGAAAATGTTCAGTGATACGTATTGCTGAATTTTACTTAATTTCAGGTACAAGTATGTTTTAATTTACTTTGAATATTTATTTGAGGGAAAATGTGTCATTTATTTACATACGATTAAACAAATAGTACCAATTTTAATTATTGATGTTGATAATAATAATAATAATAATGCAATCCAGATTGAGTGCTTCTTTCTTGTTTGGGCTAGGACTAAGTTTTATCTTTTTGCCTATTCAAATTCAGTGAATGTTACTATTCCCTGAGATTTTTACAAAATAAAAATAAGTTGCAAGAACATATATTTTTGACAGTTTAGGATATTACAAATTCAGATGTCTGCAGACATCTGTGGGCACATAACATAAAGGAAGTGAGCTAAGTATAAACAGTAGGGAGGGGTGAGGCCTGTGGCAAAAGAGAAGTCACTTGGCCTGTCTAATGGATCAGCTGCTTCTCAATAGTTGTCAGTTATTACCATGTGGGAATGTTAATTTTAAGTGAAGCTACAAATCAGATTTTACATGATATTTCCTGAATTTTGAAATAGCATTGAGGCCAAACAAAAGGTATATGTGGTCCACATCTAGCCTGTTGGCCATCTCTTTGTAAGCTTTAGGGCTTTCTTCTTCTTAATGGGTAAGTTTTATAGAACTTATAAATTTTTATAGTTTTAGTAGTATTCACATTCACTTTTTCTGGCATTGACCCTACTTATATTCATATGTCTTGCAGTTCATAGACAACTTTCATGTATTTTATCATTTGAATAAAAATCATGTGATAAAAATAAACTTGTAAAATGGATGGAATGGGTATTTTTTACTTCATCTTGCAGATGAGTAGACTGAGGCCTCAAAGTTTTAAGAGCCTTGGCCTCAGATTACACAGCATATGAAGAATTGGGTCTCAACTCTTACATTTTTTACAGAAAGCCTTAGAGATCTTTCAGTCACACCATGTTTTCTCTGCTGAGGTGATTATTTGCTGATGACTTTGAAAGCCCTCCACTTGTTTTCTTTTGATTTCAGTTTAAAAAACATCGGCTTTCAGTTGTGCACACCAATACGTATGCAAAATCTGTGGTGAACATGGCGGATGTAGTAAGTATCAACCCGATTCAATATTGCCAAAGAGGAATTTTCTCGCCTGATTGTTAATAGAATGGATAATATGGTTTTTATATTTTCACTACTCTAAATCGCACTTTAGCCGAGGTGTCCTGTAAGTCCCTGATAACCTTGCAATTGACTATTGACTTTGATCTCTGGATGGGAAGATGATTAAAGGAAGTGGTCGAACGTACCCACAGATTTTTTCGTGAAATTTCTTCCTATATATTTCACATTGGAAAAGAAAAGGTTGAGTCATAGTCCCTAACAAAGATATTCGCAGTATATGCCTAACAGTGGAAAAGCAATATAATAGTTGTGCCTCTTTCAAAAAAGTGCCTAGTGCTGTGGGAATGATGCAACTAAATAATTCTACTCTACCTACTTTTTAAATCTTCTCTTGACACGGCAGTGCCAATGTCTTCTCCATGAGTTTAATCAGGGCCAGTCAGGTTGTATAGAAATGATTTCCTTGGAGAGTCTTCATTGTTCTACTTTTTGCTAGGGGAACTCAAGAATGCATGAATTCTTTGTCTAGGGTGCCAGAAAATGGATTTAGGAGAGCCTTGAATAAGGGTAAAAGTATTGGTCAAAAAGTGATCTTTTGTTTCTAACTAGTGCTCTGTTCTTTGTGTATTACTTGGTAAACAATTTAAATTTCTATTAACTTAAGGAAAATGCATGTAAATTAGAAAAACAATTCTCTCTTAAAAACAGTAACGTTTCTTACATTTAACTAAAACTCAAGGAGTTTCCATAAAGGGAACTTTGTAGTCCTGTTCGTAAATTGATTTTACCACATGTACAGCTGGTGTGTTCATTTTGTTAATATATTAGATATATCAAGACCAACTTAAGACAAGGATAGTATTGGTTGCCATGGAAACCTGGGCGGCTGACAACAAGTTTGCCATATCTGAAAACCCACTGATCACTCTACGGGAGTTCATGAAATACAGGAGGGATTTCATCAAAGAGAAAAGTGATGCAGTTCACCTTTTTTCGTATGTAACTTTTGTAATGATTTATTACTTTTTTGCTTCCATGTTGAATGCTCTATTATTTATGACTGAGATGTATTCTTTCTACTACATAATACAATTAGGATTTGACATGGAAGATACATTTGGAAGAAGTTTTAAAGTGTAAATTGTTCAAAATTGTCTTGAAAATTTGAGGTTCAATTTTGAGTTATTTTATTATTGCATGTATATTTCATTTAACCTTTCAAGAGATTTGATCAGAGCATTTACTGAATAAAAGTGCTGTTAATACTCATAAAGAATATTCTTAACAGATTAATTATATTCTTTACAGTTGCTGTTTTTTTTTTATTAATGTTATGATAGATTACAACCTTGTGAGATTTCAGTTGTACATTATTGTTAGTCATGTTGTGGGTACACCTCTTCCCCCTTTGTGCCCTCCCCCCACCACCCCCTTTTCCCTGGTAACCACCGATCAGATCTCCTTGTCAATATGTTAACTTCCACCTATGAGTGGCAGTTGCTGTTTTTTAAATGTTAATTTTATCTTTGTTTTTTGGTTTAAGGTGAGAGCTTAGTATTTCTGGAGTTCATTTTTTATTTTTTCTCACTCTTGTAGGTTTGGTTTTTTTTGGTAACTTGCATATTTGATATAATAGCAAGTTACATATAGTAGCATTTTAAAAACTAATCATCTAAAGTCAGAGCTGTTGAAGAAAATTATAAATGGAAGTAGCAGAACTTATGTTAGGGTAACTTTCTTTTTACATAATTTCAAATTTAAAGAAAAGTTGCAAAAATACTACAGGGAAATACCCTAACTATGCCCTTCACCCAGATTCATCAGTTGTTTACATGTCATCCTATTTGTTTTATGACTTTTTTCCTTTTCTTGTTTTTCCCTCCTTCCATTTCTTTCTTCTTTTCATCCATCCATCTATCTATGATTTTTTTTTTTTCTGAACTATTTGAGAGTAAGTTGGGGATATTTACTTACTGGGCCTTTACTACTAAATACTTAAGACATTTTCTTATATAACCATAGTAAATTATTAAAACCAGAAGATTTGACATTTATGTAGTACTTTAATCTATAGTCTTTATTCCAATTTCACCAATTGTCTGAATGATGTCTTTTATAGCTGGTTCTCCCACCCTTCATCCCACTATCACACATTACATTTCATTGTCGTGTCTCTTTAGTATCCTTTAATCTGAAAGATTTCCTCAGCTTTCCTTTGTTTATTTTGGGCTTAACATTTTTGAAGCATATAGGCCAGTTATTTTATTGAATGTTGCTCATTGTGGAAATGTCTGACGTTTTCTCATTATGAGGTTCAGGTTGTGCATTTTTGGCAAAAATACCATAGAAGTGATTTTGTATCCTTCTCTGAGTACACATATTAGTAATTCTTTCTTAATAAGTATAGTTCTATTTAAGATCTTTATTTATTTTTATATTTTTGGTGAGGAAGATTGGCCCTGAGCTAACATCTGTTGCCAGTCTTCCTCTTTTTGCTTGATCATGTAGGGAAACGTCCCTCAGAAACCTTTTTCTTTGGTTATGTGTGTAAACAATTCTCACATTCCTCCCTTACCTCAAGAATATATAGTACAGAAGTGTTAATAATGAGAGGTGCTATGATATTTAAACTATGAGCAGTAAGCATTTTTCATTTCCTTTTCTAAAAGGGGAAGTCAATTTGAGAGTAGCCGGAGCGGGGCAGCTTATATTGGTGGGATTTGCTCGTTGCTGAAAGGAGGAGGCGTGAATGAAGTAGGTGTGAACATCTGTACAGTACAAAGTGGTATGATGGCTGAAAATGTTTTCCTAATGTTTAAGAGAGAATTTCTCAGCATTCTACATTCTCTAAATGTTAGGTTGTGTTATTAACAACCAATATGGTTACTGTAAATGACCAGTGTCAGAATAGGGAAATAATGGGAGATAGTATTTGATAATTCTGTTTACATTCTCCTTAGAGTAATTTCCAGATTCAGCTATTTACACGTTATATAGAGAAAAATCTTTACTTTTTTGTTGTTAGTGCGAATGAGTCGATTCCAACTCCTAGCGACATGCTATTCATAGGGATTTCACAGCCAATTTTTCTGGATGTGAGGCCAGGTCCTTCTTCCTACTCTGTCTTAATCTGGAAGCTCTACTGAAACCTGTCCACCAGAGGTGACCCTGCTAGTATTGGAAATACCAGCGGCATAGCTTTCAGCATCATAGCAACTAAAAGATGGGTGGTGTGGTTCCTTGACTGGGAAATAAACCCAGGCCAGGATGGCAATAGCACTGAATCTTAACCACTAGACCTCCGTGGCTGGTCTTCAGTTTTACCTTCATTGAAAATAGGCCCTGTTTATCACTTTGACCGATTTTCCAGGGAATTGAGTAATTCCTTGAACCGTTGGTTTACTCCCTAACAACCTAATTGGAGATTTTCTTCCTACCTCAATACTTGACACATTTTTGGAGAAAAAAATAGACTAGGTTTTCCAAAGGATTGTTTCTATACTGAAGGCACTAAACCCGATGGAAGTAATCTAAAAGAAAAATACTTGAATCTTTGGGAAGCTACATATTGAAAAAAATATCCTTAGGTTTTCTCAAATTTCTTTTGGCCAAAGATCATCACTACTTCCTGTTACTCATACCATTTGTTTTCTGAAGCCACATATATTCAACTTGGGGAAATTTCAGGAGTACAAGTGGACACACAAAAATGAATGAATTCCAAATAATTTACACATTTATTTTTATTTTGTATTATCCAAAAGACTGGTTTAATTATATACAAGTATTAAGTTTTTCAGGAATTTCGCTGGTGAAATTTGGACTCAGATTTAAGTTTCCAAACCCAAAAGTTGATGATTCCCTGGCTTCTAGTCTTCTCTGGAAGAGTTAATCAAACATGGATTTATTTCATACCACTTCTTCCCAAATGCTTGACAGTTCAACATTAGCTATTATGTTTAACCTCTGCTAAATAAACTGCTTAGAAATTACTTATTTTTGATTATATTGTGACATTTTTCTCTGGCCCATCTTAAAGAATGATTTGCATTTACATGTATTTTATTTTTGCTTTTCTTTTTCAGTTTGGGAAAACTGATTTAATGGCTGTTACACTTGCACAGTCATTAGCCCATAATATTGGTATTATCTCAGACAAAACAAAGTTAGCAAGTGGTAAGTTTAAGTACATGTGTGGTTTAGCAATAGACTATCTGTGAAATATTTTGCAGAATGAGATTCTTTAATTCACTTGCTTGATTGAAAGAGTTTGGGTGATAGTATAAGGTAAACAGCCAGGGCACAAAATGTTTTTTTCAAAAGTAATACGATGTAATATTTACATTACAGATGAAAATTTCTCCATGGGTAATAAACCTATGTGATGATAAGTTCAGTTGACTTTAACCTAAAAAAGGACAAATAAGCTCAGTTTGCTAATTTTAAATGGTCTGGTAGAGAACCCTGGCATGTAGGTTTAAGGCATACTGTTTTATTATGGTTTATTTAAAACATCTCTTAGTATGGCCACAGAGGTAGAAATTGCCTGCCAGGATCAGACCTGATAAAGGGCTTAGTAAAATATGGACCTAGTAAAATAGGCTTGATTTGGCATCTATGAAGACTGTATTTTCCCAGGTGGATAAAGTTACTTCACCAGGAATGGTCAAACACTGTGTATTTGGAGTAAGTTGATTATAACCATATTTATTTTATTATTTTAATAAAAATATTATAAATATGATTGTTTATATTAATGATAACTATTACCATTTATGGAGCACCCATAATATGGGATATATATGGGATATATTTGTCCATATATAATGGAAGAGATAATTGAATGCTGTTGTTATTATTTTCTACATCTAGTTAGTATTTTCTACATCTAGATACTTGTTTGATCCTCAAAATAATCCTGCAAGATACTCATTATTATCCCCATTTTACAGCTAAGGTGACTGGATCTTAAAAGGGTAATGTCTCCAAGATTACACATATTTTGAGTGGCAAGCCCAGGTTTCGAACCTGGTTATTTCTGATTCTGAAGACCCTCTGCTTAACCAATATACTATACCTTCTATTGGCAGTCTTGGTGCAGAGGTTTGAAAAATGGACAAGAAATTGTAAGAATTCTCATAAAGGCCTGTGAAACCAGAATTCTTTAATGATGTATCACTATTTCATTAGTATTTGTTAAGCCATTTTAAGTGAAGGCTTTAAAATTATGGCTGGCCACTTGTTAAAATATTGAAACATTTTATTTTTGTAAAAGATAATGTTGATAGGGTTAAAGTAAAGCTTAAAATATAAGGAAGATTATAAAGCAGGTATTACTTTTTTAAAGGTATGTAAGGAATAAAAAGTGAAGATATACTTTTTAAAATAGGAACTATTCTAATGTACTGTTTTCACTTTGTAAAAGGTGTGTGTATTCATTTTCTCTTAGGCGAGTGTAAATGTGAGGACACATGGTCTGGATGCATAATGGGAGACACCGGGTGAGCCACTTCTTTTTGAAAATAACTCACTTTTCCTTTAGCTGCTGTGCTGTTATCTTCCTAGGAGTATGACACTTAAGAACTGAGTGTGTGGAAGCTCATCACAGGCATTGAAGAGAAAATCAGAAGTAGATTTTCTCAATCGTTTTGTATGTAAAATATTTTCACAAAATAGTCTCTTATTTATGATGTCAATTAAGTTAGTAGAACAAAGACTTTTTTAGCCTTGAATCTAGGCTGGAAATAGAAGAAATGAGGAAGAACTTTTTCGTAATGGCTGACCTACTAATTCTCTTTCCTTTTATGTTCTTCAATATTAATTAAATGGGTTATAAACAGTTGTGTGCTGGTAAGCTGACTCTTACTAAAACAAACAAACAAACAAACAAGAAAAGAGCCTGGATTTGTAGCTTCCTCAGATTTCCAGCAACCTTCTACCATAGATAAAAGCCTGTGGTGTAAATACTCCCACAATGCTGATTTCCAGCTGTCATTGGTCCGTCGCTGAGCAAGGAGTGGGAAGAGATGGGCACCATCTGCTCTCCTGAGAAAGGTTTTCATTTTTATACTGTCTTGCCCTTCACACACTATCTGGCACCAATCTTTTGCTCTTTCTAAATAAATTTTGCCACCATTCCTTTCATACCAAGCTTATCATTACTGCCTTACTTTAACCTTTTATCATCTTATGCTCTTATTATTTCAATAATATTCCAGATACTGAGACAACTTTCAGACTCCCTCTCTCCACTCTTGAACTCCACTTCTATCATAATTGAAAAGGTATAAAGAGTCAAAGAGTGAACACTTGTATACAGTCACCTAGCTTAAAAAAATGGCAACACTGCATACATAGTTAAATCCTCCTGTGTTCTCTCTTGTTGGTCCTCAGCCCCAGCCAAGGTAACTACCATCTTGAATTTGGTTCCTACCACCCATCGGTCCTTTTTTATACTTTTACTGTATATATGTATATGTGTTGAAGTAATACATAACATTGCTTTGCATGTTTTCAGTTTATATGAAAGGCGTCATAGTATATATATTCTTCTGTGACTAGATTATTTTGATCAACTTTGTGAGATTCCATGACGCTGACAATATATAGCTCTATTTCACTGAATATATGCAGCACAATTTCTCTATCTTTCTCTTAATGCACATGGATTTATGTATCAAACATGCAAATCATGTCGTTTTCCTTCTCAGAACTTTTGTGGGTCTCTGTTTCTAAAGAATAAGGTTCAGATTCCTTCCTCCAATATTTAGATGTCCATAGTCTTTCTTTATCCTCATTTGCAAATATCATTTTCCACTAGTATTCATGATCTGTTTGCTTACCATAATTGTACATGAGTTTCCAGCCTCTTTTGATCTCTTGAATATATTCTCTTCATCTGGAATTCTCTATCTAACTACAATTTGAGATTTATTATATTTTTTAACTCCTGTATTGTAATTTAATTCTGTGTGTCTTTATGCTTCTCCTCATAAATTAGTTGTAAATTTTTTGAGGATTACATCTTACAGTAATTTATGTTTTTGTCAGACCTCACACCATAATTTCTTGTACAGACTTGATTTTCAATGAATATTTATTGATTGTATTTGAATTTTGAACTGCCAAGATAGGTATGACAAGGAAAATAAATGATGGAGGGAATGTACATGCAAACATGTATTTAAGATATTTTTCAAAACATCTTTGGACTTTTTGTTTAGTAATAAGAGTAAATGATAAAAGTCCTTTTCTATAGTTGTAATTTTCCAACAATTACTAAATTCCGTACTGGAGGTTCTTGTCTTTTAAAAGCTATGTAGTATATTATAACTGATTATTCTGATTAACTATTAAAAACAAAATTTTAGAGACAATCTGCATAGTACTAGGTGTAATGTGTAGCCAAGTGAGATGGTGACACTCAGATGTATATAGCTCTTTGCATTGGAACTCTTCTTACATCAAATAGATGCACACAGGAGAAAAGCTCTTTACATAAAACATTTTCTGGTATGATGCTATATGTAACTTGATCTGGACATATATTTCCCCTGGGTACATTCCCTTCCATTTCTACTTTCCAAAGTTCCTTTGTACTGCTAAATGTTGGAAAGTATTGTTGACATGAATACCATGTCATAAAAATTAAAGGTATAAAAATTAAAATTTTAAGAATGCATGGAATACAGCAGATATGTTACCCTGCAAAAAAGAAGTTGTGGGGCTGAGCCTAGGGAGAGACATTGTGTCTGCTTTCAGGTATTTGAAGGAGTATGGTCTGGTGGAGGAATTAATCTTGCTTGATAGTTAACCCAGACTGTAACTGTGTGCCGCAGTTACGGGGAATGAGATGGGGCACAGCGAAGGGAAGAGCAATTCACAAATTTCAGCTGTTCTTATATAGAAGGAGCTTCCCTGTGAGGCAATGAGTTTCCTGTCACTGTCAGAGAGCAGACTCAGCTCCCAAGTGTGCAGTGGGCAGGAGGCTGGGCTGGCCTGAGACCCCTGTGGGTGCCTTTGCAGGGCAGGGGCTGAATTAGACTTAGACGTCTAAGGGGCTTACACTAAGAGTTAGTGACTTTCTTTGGCAGTAGGGAGCCGTCTCAGGATTTGGCCACTAGAATAAAGAGGGAACTTGAAGCAATCCCTATTTAAGTTTGATAACTCTGGCAGAGATATGTAGTATGGATTAGAGGGGAAGGTGATTGAAAAATTGGCTGGGGGGAGGCATTGAAAAGAAAAAAGGAAGAAATATATGTAAGAAACTGTTCAAATAAGAATAAAATGCATGACTTGTTAGGAAAATGAAGTGAAGGAAGTAAAGTAGTTCACACAATTTAAACTGAAGACGCTTTATTTGGAAAGTTTGGCGTGAAACACTTGAAAAATGAGTTTAGGGTAAATAAGCATTGTAAATTCCATTAGTCAATTCACAAAGCCTCAACCACTGTGCTAGGAAGAAGCAGGGATGTAAATGGATATGGTCCTTGCAGGCTAGTGGGAGAGACTTTATAAAAACTATCCATTAGTATCTTAATTGTGCTTTCACTTTTATAAAAGCTCAATGTAAAGTTACTTTTGAAAAATATAGAAAATAAGATTTTTATCACTTCTCACCATCTGGTGATAACCATGGTTAATGTTAAAATACTGCTGTTTATATCCACTATTTTTTCTCTTTCCGTTTTTATTGTTTTATAAAGTTTGTATCTTGTTGGATGTGTAGTTTATTCATTTTTCGCTTAACATTATATAGTCAGCATTTTTATGAGTCTTGATTCTTCAATGCCATGATTATTAATAACTACATGGTATTCTATTTTATTAATATATCACAATTTAGTTAGTTTTCTTACTGTTGAACATTTAGGTTATTTTCGTGTTGTTTGCTATTATAAATTGTGCCACAGTAAATATCTTTGTTCAGACATTTTTGTATACATAACTAATTATTTCCTCTAGGAAGATTTCTGAAAGAAGAATTCCTAGATTTAAGGATATTCTCATTTTGAAGGTTCTTCATGCATATTGCCAAATTGCTCTATAGCTAAGTTTCCTTTTCTATTGACCGTTTATTATTTTTCTTTGGTATACATTTGTTTTCTTGTATTTTGAAACAATCTGAAACTTGAAAACTTTCAAGAATAGTAACAAAGAAGCTTTTTGTTCCTAAATCAAAAGTTAACTTGGTGCCCATCACCCCAAACACCTTAGTGTGCATTTCTACAAACAAGGACATCTTCCTACAGAACAACAATACAACTAATAAGACCATCTAATTCTTAGCCCTCGTTCAGGATTGGCCCTGTGTTTCAATAGTGTAATTTTAGCAAAAGGTTCAGAATCAGGCATCACATTTAGTTTTTCTGTCTCTTAGCCTCCTTCAGTCTGGAACAGTTCCTCAGTCTTTCCATGACTTTCATGACCTTGACACATTCATAGATTATAGTCAGTTATTTTGTAGAATGCTTTTCAGTTTGGATTCCAGCCCAGTTTTAATATTTAGGAAAGACTCATTATGAAATAAACTATTCCTAACTCTCTGATTGAAATTACAGGGACTCTATGTGTGTATTTCCTTTGACTGGGCGTGCAAATAATGAACAACCCATAGTCACCATTAGTTGCCAAATGAAGAATTTAGAAATATCCTTACTGAATAAAACTCTTATGGATTGAATGCAAATGTTTTACATAAGTGGAATTTATTATTTATTCTGTGATTTTTAAGAATAATTTACAATTTAAACAATGTTCAATTTTAAGACTAATGTACAAAGGAAACTAAAACTGTATCTGGTTATTGCTTTTCTTCTCTCTTATAGCTATTATCTTCCTAAAAAGTTCACCCAGTGTAATATTGAAGAATATCATGACTTCCTGAATAGTGGAGGTGGTGCCTGCCTTTTCAACAAACCTTCTAAGGTAATAAGTGTGATCAGAGTTAATCTTTCTAAAGTATTACAAGTACAAATTTTCAGTCGTTGTGTCTTATAAAAGAGAGCTTTTCAACTTGGCTTATATGTGCATATCTAGATATGCTAAATATCTGCGTTTTCAAGCCAGCTTTAATCTTGGGCATTTGGGGTTATTCTGATGAAAATAAAAAGCAGATAGAAGTGAGTGTTTGCTTTCTGAAAAATGTCCATTTTCTTTTCGTATGGTTTCATTTTGCCTTTCTTTTTCGTTTTCTTAATGGGCTTTTTTTACCTTTGGATACCTAATTATAGCTCATACTGATGGAAAAGGGGGACATATCTCCCCCTCATTATTCGCTATCACTGCCTTTCAGAGTGAGCAGTAGGCTTAAAATTAGAAGTACTTCTCAACATGAAAACCACGTCTGCTTAAAGCAGAAAAGAAGAAAGTCTGTCTGTACTTAAACTTTGTCACAGGCTTTTACAACTTGCCGAGCATCCTATGGTTACTGACTAGAAAACAGGTCTTCCTCATGCACTTGGAAGACTTTGAATGTTCAAGAAGAATGCTTTGTCCTTGTTAATTATGTGAACTGTGGCCTGCTTCCATGCACCGTAGCAATATGTGGCATTGCCTTTGTAATCATGTACCTGGTTTCATTCTCTGTTCACTCCACTGAAATTTATGAAATGTATCATATTGCATTGAAAAGCAAATTGACAATTTTAAGACTCTTTCTGGAAGCTTTAGAAGGGATATTTGACCTAAATCCCTGCTGCTATAAATGAAAAACAATTCAAATCTTTTTACCAAAATAACTGATTATTCTGAACTTGGAATAACAGAATAAATGTGCTTTTCATCTGGACAAGTTTTGGTTTTGCCTTTCAAAGCTCTCTTATTTGTTATAATCCCTTTCAGCTGAAAATGAAATCTAGCGATGAATTGATTCTTTTATAGGCGAAGAGAGAGTATTTGAAATCAGGTGGGGATTTTTTTGTTGTCGTTGCTTTCTTTATTTTGTTTTTTCTCTCTAGTTAGTTAGGAAAGTGTGTGTGTGTCTTGACAGGTGTGTGCTCACTTTCATTCTATAATACCTACATTGATAAACTTATGAATGAATAGTATATATGTGGAACGTAACAATTATTTACTAATTTTACCTATCACCATAAGATAAGTTATACTCAAAAGTTAATAAAATTGATGGAGAGTTAAAAAAGAAGTGGCTTTAAATGTACTCTTGTACAAGCCAAAAATTACTTCCATCTCTGGGGCAAATTATTATTGTTCTTCTCTGCAAAGCTATGTTAATGGAGGAGCTATATTTTGTATTAAATAAATCAATGGATTTGTTCATTTTTGTGGTGTTTTCCTAATTGTCTATGAAATAACTTTCTGTTTCACAAAGAGATATAGTTAATAAAGGGCTTTTCACAGATCATTGAACTTGATCCTCACAATAATTCGTGATGTAGATGGGGAGCTAATATTATTATTATTATTCCTGCTTTTAAATATTAAAACACTTGGGCTCTGAGATGACAAGCCCAAGATAAGTAGCTGAGCCAAGATTTGAATCCAGACTTTCTGACTCCAACTCCCTTGCTGTTTGAAATGTCACTCTGGGTTGGTTTTAATCAATGGCTAGATCATCTTTTATTTTGGTGGCATTTTCTAGACTCTACTTGATATGTATGTTATATATGTAAATATGATTAAAACTGAAATGGAAATAGAAGTAGACACTTCTGTTCTAAAGTTCCCAGTTCTAAAGTTCTAAAGTCATTCTTTCAAGTTTAGAAAATTAAAAATATACTTTAAAATGACTGATGGATATGCCAGATGTATAGTTGTGGAACTTAGGGTCTCTCATAAGATCTTCGATGTTTTATTTTAGTTCCCTTTTTGGTTTTCCTCCCACAGCTTCTCGATCCTCCTGAGTGTGGCAATGGCTTCATTGAAACTGGAGAGGAATGTGACTGTGGGACCCCAGCAGTAAGTTTCTGGGTGTTCTGATCATGTTTTTTTTTTAAAGATTTGATTTTTTCCTTTTTCTCCCCAAAGCCCCCCGGTACATAGTTGTGTATTCTTCGTTGTGGGTTCTTCTAGTTGTGGCATGTGGGACGCTGCCTCAGCGTGGTCTGATGAGCAGTGCCATGTCCGCACCCAGGATTCGAACTAACGAAACACTGGGCCGCCTGCAGGGGAGCGCGCGAACTTAACCACTCGGCCACGGGGCCAGCCCCTGATCATGTTTTTTTTTAAGGTTACTCATGGTCATTCCAGGTCCACACACTGAGACATATGGTGCAAATGTTATGTCTGGAAATTTTATAGGATGTGTGGAAGAAAGATTATTATTGTTAAGTGACACATTTATTTTAGAAAGTATCCTGGTACTTTCAGGAGAATGACACCATTTTCTGATATTTTGCAAATGTTTATATTCCTTAGGAATGCGCCCTGGAAGGAGCAGAGTGTTGTAAGAAATGCACCTTGACTCAAGACTCTCAATGCAGTGATGGTCTTTGTTGTAAAAAGTGCAAGGTAAATAAATGTTGATTAATGACCAATTGACAGAAGAGAGGACATGTTTGATAAATTGTTAAGGCAAGGTAAATATAATCTAATGACAATAGTAGTATCCAAAATATACTGTATTAAGTGACTAAGTGCCAGGTGCTTTACAGGATCCTCATAAATCTTGTGAGGGGTAGTTACTGTTTTTATTCCCATCTAACAGATGAGAACGCTGAGGCATGTAGTGATTAAATAGTTTGCCCAGGGTCTTACACAAGATAAGTCAGGGAGCTAGGGCCTGAAGCTTGTTAATATCCAGTTTGTCCTCTCACTACTGCCTCCCTGAGGAGCATGCACATTAAATGAGACCCAGTGTTACTAATCTTTGATTGATATTTTTCCTTTCTTTGTAAAGCCATGAGGATATTCAATAGATCCCTCTTTTCTTGCTGCCAAACTTGGTATATCTCTTGCATTAGCTATTGAGGGAACAAAAGCTATCCTTTTAGACGTGATAGCACCTTACATGTGTTATTGTTCATGAGAGTTTAGAATGCATCTTTACACACATTATCTATTTTCATCCTCCCAATAGCATCCTCATACCTGTGTCCAAATACTTAAGCCTTTACATCAAGAGTAACAGTTATTTGAGGCTTACCTTCTTCAAAGAAATCTATTTCTTTTTTCTCTTCTCATATAAAATCTGCTACAATATTCTGCTTTATTTCTGAGGTATAATATCTGTCTTTTTCAGTCTGTACATTTTATGGAGGCAGAGCCAGGGACTTACAGAGTAATTGATACAGGTTCTAAGTAAATATTTGTTGAATGAATGAATAGATATGCACGGCATTCTCCTTCTGATTCTTTACTGATTGACTAACTTTAGTCTAATGAATTAAGGGAGAGTGGAATATGAACCTATCATGTTAAGGATCTGCTATGTGCCAGAGAGTGTGCTAGGCCCTTTTAATTTATATCATCTTATCTGTGGGTTTCCCAGTGTTGGCACAATTCACATTTTTGGCTAGATAATTCTTTGTTGTAAGCCTGTGTCTTTGTTTATTGTAGAATGTTTAGGAGCATCCCTGACTTTTACCTTCCAGTTGCAAGTACCACCCATCCTAGTTGTGCCACCCAAAAATGTCTCCAGACATTGCCACATGTCCCCTTGGGAGAAACATCACTCCTGGTCGAGACTCCTGTCTCTCGTAATGCTCACAACCACACATTTGGGATAGTCATTATTATTCAGATCTTTCCAGTTGAGCAATTCCAGTCTCAAGGAAGTGAAATAACCTGCATAGGCTCATTCAGTAAGGAGTAGATGTGTAGTTATATCCAGACCTTCTGGCAGTAATTTCTGCAGTTTCTACTTTACCACTATGTTTCTGGCAGCTTATTTAAAGATAAGCAAGGCACTGGCAGAGATCTCTGAAAGCACTCTCTAAAAAAGGAAGATTAAACCAAGTGTGAAACAGACATTCCCTCATTTTGGCTACCTCTACTGTTTATTCTGTTGGCTTCTCCAACTGCTATAACAAGGGATTCCTGATCATTTATTTTAGTGCTCCATGTTTGAAGTCTGCCCATCCATAAAATGTGCTTAATTATGCCATTTTTTCTTTCATTTAGGAATTAGGTTCTTTGTGCTATAATCATTTCAAGGAACAAGTACAAAATAATGAAATTAAAATACGTACAATAAAATGGCATGATTAACTTTCTTACAAAATAAGCTATAGCTGTACCAGTCAAGTAAGATCTTTTTGGCCACTTTCTCTACCCCATACCTCCCATTCTCACCCCCATCCTGCGCTTCTGGAGGAGCCAGAGGCAGGGTAGTGAATGGACGAGGAGGAATAGAAGAAGAAGATGAGAAATCATGTGTATCTTTTTTTTTTATACATGTATTGATAATAATGTATCTGTAAGTCAGAGTTGGCAAACTGTTTCTGTAAAAAGCTAGATAGTTAATAGTTTAGGCTTTGTGGCTCATAAGGTCTCTGTCTCAGTTACTCAACTTTACCCTTGAAAGCAGGCATCAAAAATACAGGAACAAATAGGTGTGGCTGTGCTCTGATAAAACTTTGCTTATAAAAACAGGCGGCCAAACCAAATTTTGCCCTCAAGCCATAATTTGTGGGCCTCTGCTTATTTACTTGTCTGTTATTTTTCTCCTTCCATTATTAGTGTGTAAGTTCCAAGAGGGCAGGAGTTTTGGTTGATTTATTTACGCTGTATCCCAACACTTAGAGAGGTCATCCTTCACTGTGCTTTCTGTCAGAAGTTTCTTGTCATTTCTTGAACACTTACACTCTCACATGAACTCTACCTTAAATCTACTTGTATTTCTTACCTCAGATGTTCTAAAGTTGTGGTTCACCCCACTCCCAAGGAGGAAGAGAATCAGAGTATATGAAATTAAATTATCTTGCCTCTTTCCTTATTTTTATGGCCTATTTCCTCCCACTAAAATATAAGTTCCTTGTAAGCAGGATTCTTATGTTTTGTTCTCCATTGAGTCCCCAGTGGCTAGAAAGTGCCTGGCACATTTTAAGTGCCTTGCAAATACGTGATGAATGAGCACAAGTTTTGTTTGGATCTTCTAAAAAATATCTGTTGAGTCCTGATTGGAGTCGATAATGTGCTATTCATGTTCTAGGAACAACAGGAAACTCAAATACCTGGAGGACTGAGTGCGAGGGAGAGAAGATGAAAGTTGTGGAGAGGGAGTCTCGTATAATGTATATGTCTGTGTGAGCAGAGATAAGAGCATGGAAAGATCCCGCCCCAAATGTTAACATTTTGGAAAGGGAAGGAGAATGGGATTGAAGAGAAGAGGGGAAGGGTGATAACTTTATGAGTCTGTGTGTTTTGTTATAATGAATACTCTTGCAATTCATAGATCCAATGAGCTTAAAAATTTATTTGTACAACTCCCACACTTAACAAGAAATATTTGAGGTGGTTGAAAACAGACCAAAAAAACTCCCCTACGCAAGTACAAATAATAGAAACATTAGAAAAGAATAAAGGATCAAGGTATAGATCTATATAAAAATGAGGCAGGAGAGAAGGGAAAGGAAAGCATGGGAGGAAATAGCTTTGCCAGAAAATCTAAATCTTGCAATTCAGGCCAAAATCTAACTTTCAAATTCTTGGCAGGAAAGGCAAAAAAGAGTAACATGGTAAAGGTTCTAGCACAAATGAAGGGTAAAATGTAAATCCAGAAGCTGTTTGGAAGGAAGAATTATTAGAATTTGGACTAACTTGTCCTTCTGATGGAAATGTGCCCTCAAGTGCTGTCCTATTTTAGCGAAACATTGTAAGACTTATGTGTGATGATTGCAAATTACTTCATACAGGGGAAACTCTCTCGGAAAACTATTAGATTAACATTTCATTCAGTAACTGTGGTTTTCACAGACTACCGTCTTAAGATAGTTTAAGATAGTCCCATCCAAAAAATGTTCATTTCGTCTTTTTAAAGATGATCCTGTGCGAGTTTTTTTCTTCGACAGTTTTATGCACTGATTTTTGTTCATTTAGTTTCAGCCTGTGGGGACTGTGTGCCGAGAAGCAGTAAATGATTGTGATATTCGTGAAACATGCTCAGGAAATTCAAGCCAGGTAATTTACGGAATAATTATTCTAAACTCCACAGGAAAAAGCAGGAGTATCTTTTTTTTTTCTTTTTTTTTTTATTGAGTTAATGATAGGTTACAATCTTGTGAGATTTCACTTGTACATAAATGTTTGTCAGTCGTGTTGTAAGTGCACCACTTCACCCTTTGTGCCCACCCCCCACCCCACCTTTCCCCTGGTATCCACTAAACTGTTCTTAGTCCATAATTTTAAATTCCTCATATGAGTGGAGTCATACACAGATTATCCTTCTCTCGCTGGCTTATTTCACTTAACATAATTCCCTCAAGGTCCATCCGTGTTATTGCAAATGGAATGATTTTGTTCTGTTTTACAGCTGAGTAGTATTCCATTGTACATATGTACCACATCTTCTTTATCCATTCGTCTGTTGCTGGGCACTTAGGTTGCTTCCATGTCTTGGCTATTGTAAATAATGCTGCAATGAACATTGGGGTGCATAGGACTTTTGGGATTGCTGACTTCAACCTCTTTGGATAAATACCCAGTAGTGGGATGGCTGGATCGTATGGTAGTTCTATTTTTAATTTTTTGAGGAATCTCCATACTGTTTTCCATAGTGGCTGCACCAGTTTGCATTCCCACCAGCAGTGTATGAGGGTTCCTTTTTCTCTACAACCTCTCCAACATTTGTTACTATTAGTTTTAGATATTTTTGTCATTCTAATGGGTGTAAGGTGATATCTTAGTGTAGTTTTGATTTGCATTTCCCTGATGATCAGCGATGATGAGCATCTTTTCATGTGCCTATTGGCCATCAGTATATCTTCTTTGGAGAAATGTCTGTTCATGTCTCCTGCCCAATTTTTGATTGGGTTGTTTGATGTTTTGTTGTTGAGTTGTGAGAGTTCTTTATATATTCTGGATATTAAGCCTTTGTCACATATATGACTTGCAAATATTTTTTCCCAGTTAGTGGGTTGTTTTTTTGTTTCAATCCTGTTTTCATTTGCCTTGAAGAAGCTCTTTAGTCTGATGAAGTCCCATTTGTTTATTCTTTCTGTTGTTTCCCTTCTCTGAGAAGGCATGGTGTCCGAAAAGATCCTTTTAATACTGATGTCAAAGAGTGTACTGCCTACGTTTCTTCCAGAAGCCTTATGGTTTCAGGTCTCACCTTTAGGTCTTTGATCCATTTTGAGTTTATTTTGGTGAATGGTGAAAAAGAATGGTCAATTTTCATTCTTTTACATGTGGCTGTCCAGTTTTCCCAGCACCATTTGTTGAAAAGACTTTCTTTTCTCCATTGTATGCTCTCAGCTCCTTTGCCAAAGATAAGCTGTCCATAGATGTGTGGTTTTATTTCTGGGCTTTCAATTCTGTTCCATTGATCTGTGTACCTGTTTTTGTACCAGTACCATGCTGTTTTGATTACTGTAGCTTTGTAGTATGTTTTGAAGTCAGGGATTGTGATGCCTCCCGTTTTGTTCTTTTTTCTCAGGATTGCTTTAGAAATTCGGGGTCTTTTGTCGCCCCAGGTGAATTTTAGGATTCTTTGTTCTAAGTCTGTAAAGAATGTCATTGGGATTCTGATTGGGATGGCGTTGAATCTGTAGATTGCTTTAGGGAGAACGGACATTTTAACTATGTTTATTCTTCCAATCCATGTACATGGAATGTCTTTCCATCTCCTTATGTTGTCATCCAATTCTCTCAGAAAGGCCTTGTAATTTTCATTATATAGGTCCTTCACTTCCTTAGTTAAATTTACCCCAAGGTATTTTATTCTTTTTGTTGAGATTGTGAATGGTATTGTGTTCTTGAGTTCTTTTTCTGTTAGTTCGTTGTTAGAATATAGAAATGCTACTGATTTATGCAAATTGATTTTATACCCTGCAACTTTGCTGTAGTTGTTGATTACTTCTAACAGTTTTCCAGTGGATTCTTTGGGGTTTTCTATATATAAGATCATGTCATCTGCAAACAGCGAGAGTTTCACTTCTTCCCTCTCTATTTGGATTCCTTTTATTCCTTTTTCTTGCCTGATTGCTCTGGCCAGGACCTCCAGTACTATGTTAAATAAGAGTGGTGATAGAGGGCATCCTTGTCTCGTTCCTGTTTTCAGGGGGATGGCGTTCAGTTTTTGCCCATTGAGTATGATGTTGGCTATGGGTTTGTCATATATGGCCTTTATTATGTTGAGGTAGTTTCCTTCTATGCCCATTTTGTTCAGAGGTTTTATCATAAATGGCTGTTGGATCTTGTCAAATGCCTTCTCTGCATCTATTGAGATGATCATGTGGTTTTTATTCCTCAGTTTGTTGATGTGGTGTATCACGTTGATTGATTTGCAGATGTTGAACCATCCCTGTGTCCCTGGTATGAATCCCACCTGATCATGATGTATGATCCTTTTGATGAATTGCTGAATTCTGGTTGCCAAAATTTTGTTTAGAATTTTTGCATCTATGTTCATCAGTGATATTGGCCTGTAGTTCTCTTTTTTCGTGGTGTCCTTGTCAGGTTTTGGGATCAGTGTGATGTTGGCCTCATAGAATGTGTTAGGAAGTGTTCCATCTTCCCTAATTTTTTGGAATAGCTTGAAAAGGGTAGGTATTAAATCCTCTCTGAAAGTTTGGTAGAATTCCCCAGGAAAGCCTGGGGTTTTATTCTTTGGGATGTTTTTGATTGTTGTTTCAATCTCTTTCCTTGTGATTGGTCTGTTCAAATTGTCTGCCTTTTCTTGAGTGAGCTTTGGGAGATTGTAGGAGAGACCAAGATGTTATCCATTTCCTCTAGGTTATCCATTCTGTTGGCATATAGTTTTTTGTAGTATTCTCTTATAATCCGTTGTATTTCTGCAGAGTCTGTTGTTATTTCTCCTCGTTCATTTCTGATTTTGTTTATTTGAGCTTTCTCCCTTTTTTCTTTGTAAGTCTGGCTAGTGGTTTGTCAATTTTATTTATCTTCTCAAAAAACCAGCTCTTTGTTTCATTGATCCTTTCTACCACCTTTTTTGTTTCAATAGTATTTATTTCTAAAGCAGGAGTATCTTTAGTGCTCTGACCTCTGGGTGAAATGGAACTAGACAAGAGGCTCGTGTCTCTTTCACATCCACGCTCACTCTCTATTTGTTTTTCATGAATTTAAGTTTCATTAATCAAAGTTTGAGCAGATGTTCAGCATAATTTTGTCTTAATGTTGAACTAACTTAAGACTGCGCACATGCCTTAAATATTTTGTTTTTGTTTTTTGGTTTTTTTTGAGGAAGATTAGCCCTGAGTTAACATCTGCTGCCAATCCTCCTCTTTTTGCTGAGGAAGACTGGCCCTGAGCTAACATCCGTGCTCATCTTCCTCTACTTTATATGTGGGACACCTGCCACAGCATGGCTTGACAAGCGGTGCCACATCCAAACTATTTTGTTTTTGTTTTAAGTAGAGAGTAGAAGGCATTTGCTTTTTTGTCTAGTTAGTGAGGGAGGAAACAAGAAAACTCTTTCTCTTCAGCTCTTGAAAGAGGACTCAGCCAAGGCAGAGAGACCCACAGAGCATAGGATTCTGAGAAGAGGCCTGTTTCTCCGTCTTGATTCTTGTTTGTCTGATATCTCAATAATCAATGGAAAAAATTACAGTTCTGTGATCTTTAAAAAATATTGTCAGGCTATTAAAAACTCTCTTACTGTTAGTTTTAAATGAATAGGGAAATGAAAAAATAAGCTAATATTTAGCACACCAAATTAAAACAGAAACATTGAGAATTAAAGGGTTTTATTTCTTTGTCAAAAGCTTATCAGCAGTTTGAACTGTACATGCCTTCCTCTTGTCGTAAACCTTATAATACATAGTGAGCGTCTTTTCCATGTGTTATTGAATTGTCATAGTCCTTCCTAATTTTGGATCAACTTTCACCATTTTATCCTTTGTGCTTTCAATGTCGTGATATTTTTCCAAGAGCTGCGAAGATGTGAATGTGAAGTTTTTGCCAAACTGAAATATCAACATTCTATTAGTCAGCGATATTTTTCTATAATTCCACTTACGTTTGATTAGAATTTCACTTCCAGTGTCATCACTTTTCATTTCTTTGCTGTACTTTCATCTTTGTTGGCCAATTCCCTCTTTTGATTATTCATTTTTTTTTTAAGATTTTATTTTTCCTTTTTCTCGCAAAAGCCCCCTGGCACATAGTTGTGTATTTTTAGTTGTGGGTCCTTCTAGTTGTGGCATGTGGGATGTTGCCCCAGCCTGGCTTGATGAGCTGTGCCATGTCTGCGCCCAGGATCCGAACCAGCGAAACCCTGGGCCACTGAAGTGGAGTGCTTGAACTTAACCACTCAGTCACGGGGCTGGCCCCTGATTATTCACTTTTGAAAATGTCACATGCTGTCACCCAGAAACAGAGAGGCAACACAGCTGCACACTTTGTGGTCTGTGCATGAGCTGAATAAACAGATGGGAAGTGACCAATCACTGATAGGCTTTGAAAGAAGTGACAAGATGGGTCATTGACCTTGATGGGCTTCTGTTATTTACTTACTGATCTGACAAGCTAGTAGCAAAGTTTGTGCTTTATGCAATTACTCACAGTTAATGTACTTTAGTTACTGAAGTTGGAACTGTATCAATGGGGTATTGGTATTATTTAACAAAACCATGATAACTAAAATTCATGCATATCGGAGCCAAGAAAAATGAAGACTGCCTGCATATTTTTTTCTTTAGAGAAGAGGGATTCAATAGTGATATACCTACATTAACCATTAAAAATACTTTATTCAAAAGGTTGTCATTCTAAGAGATTAAAGGTCTTTCATGTAAAAGTATTTTCCTTTCTTAATATTTAATTAGCATCGTTTATCTATGCTAACTCCTAGTAATGATGAGAATATGGTGAATGATTACCTCTTAGGTTCCTGGAGGGAAAGTATATTAGAGTAACTTTTTTGGAATGTGATTATACAATAAGCAGGAATTTTAAAAGAATCCTAAGAGGCCATCCCAGCAGCATAGTGGCTAAGTTCACATGCTCTGCTTTGGCGGCCCGGGGTTCATGGGTTTGGATCCCAGACGTGGACCCAGCACTGTTTGTCAAGCCATCCTGTGGTGGCATCCCACATAAAATAGTGGAAGATCAGCACAGATGTTAGCTCAGCAGACAATCTCCCTCAAGCATAAAGAGGAAAATTGGGCAACAGGTGTTAGGTCAGGGGCAGTCTTCCTCACACACATAAAATCCTAAATCCAAGAATTATGTACATACATTCTTTTGCATTAGTTGTAACAGCATAAATTTGAAATAATTCTAAGTGAATACATTATAAGTATAATCACTTAATTATAAGTGAATACACAAAATCAGTGTACATTTAGTATATTGATTTTATGGTTTGTTAGCTCAATGCAATGTGTTATGGCTATTAATATGACACCTACACAAAAGTTTATTAGACCTGAGGAAATTCATATGACAAAAGTAAAGGGAAGAAGCAGAATATAAAATATTATCTATAACTTGTGTATACTTATGTTTAAAAATATAAAAATTTGTAAAAATTATGGTAGAGAAAAAATGTACCAGAATATAAAAAATGGTTGTCTTTGGGTGGTGGGAATATGAGAAACTTTTGTCTTTCATTTTTTTTTAAACTTTTTACATTTCCTAACTTTTCTCAAATAAGTATGTAATTACTATATTAATAGAAAAAATGTATCATAAATTTAAAAATTACCGTCTGTTTATAGTCACACAAGAATGCTTTACAATTTTCTGCAATTGCTACAAGAAAATATGGGAGAGAGGCTCTAAAGCATGTCTTTTCCTAACATGCCCAAAGTAGACTTCTGCTCTGTGGTTATTTTAAGTGTAAGGGCTGTTTTGCTTCTCATGGTGAAAAAGAGGGAACTACAGTTATTGCTCCATCTATGTCAGCATCCTCCTTGCTTTTGTTTTGTGCTGTTGTTTTCCTTGCTCTGCGGAATAGTGTATCTGAATATGTTAGCTGAGTTATTACTGTCAGTTCTTTTTATTTGCTACTATGAAATTACCTGTTTTTGCCTCTGGTAGATCCATATTTTTAGGGGAAAGTGCACCAATTGTTGTGTTTCCTTTTGCTTTCTCTTGATGTTTTTTGTTTTTATTTTCAGATGGTTTAAGAGAATAACCGTATTATCAGGCTTTATTTTTAAATAGAAAATGTTAAAGAGATTAGCTCAGCCTGACATTTTGTTGTGCATTTGGTTCATGGCTCTGTTTTCTTTTCCTAGTGTGCCCCAAATATTCATAAAATGGATGGATATTCATGTGATGGTGTTCAGGTAGGTTACTTCATCTTGACTTAAATTTCTCATGTGTACCAGCATGAAAGAAATACTGAAATCTTAACAAAGTAGGAATATCAATTTAAGTGTTTCATAATCAATTCTGAAGATAAAAGGTCTTTATAATACTTAGCTACTAGTTTTCCCAGTCATATTTACTTTTTTCAGTTACTTGACGTAAGCAGACATTGCATCGCTAATAGGTATGCTTTTCCATTTTAGGGCATTTGCTTTGGAGGAAGATGTAAAACCAGGGATAGACAATGCAAATACATCTGGGGGCAAAGTAAGTATATAGTGTGGCTTGATCATTTTCAAAGTTTGATGTCAGGCCAACTTCTCAAGGACATGCGTCCTGAAAGTAAATTTTTGACCATTTACGACTGGGGGATTCTCAAAGCCACTGCAGGTCTTAGCAGGGGCAGCCTTGCGGAAATTAGAGAAAGGCACCTCCTTTGAGAAGACACAGCCTGTACATCTGGGCTAGTTGGCAGTGCCTTTGGATAAGACAGAGGTGCCTTTGCTGCCAGGCAGGTGAAGTCCATTCCAGGTCATGTAGCCTGGAGAATATAGCAAAGCTGGAATTCAGCTCCACTTACACTCTCCTCAGCTAAGTGTCCTTAAGCAAACCTGTGCAACCATATGGGATGGCCATGGACCCCGGATCGGCACGCTTGGCTTAGAACTGTTGCATTAGCCAGAGTTGCTTTTTCTTCCTCAACTATCTTTCTTAAACTCTAGCTGGCTTTCCTAGTTACAGGTCACCTTCTGCTCAGGTAGCTCTGCCACATAAGAAAGAAATTCAATGTTATTGCCTTCGAAGTTTGTCAGATTTTCAGAGGTAAATATATAACATTTATATTTAAACTATATTATTTAAATTATGTCTCTATTTAAATTTATATTTAAATGTTGAGTAATATATTTTTTTCCAAAAGTATTACTGGCCTTTTTGAAAGCAGTTTTTGTTTTAAACTCTTTCAGAAGATAATTTGTGTTAGAAGGCAAGCTATAAAGATAATAACCCTTAATTGTCACAAATAGTGGCTACAGTCCTTGTGGGAGGGGAAGCGTATGCTCTCTTTTAAACAACTAGAGAAACATTGGGATGGGGCCAAAGTTTTGTCATGTAGGTTTGTACTCTGAACAGAGAGATATAGTTTTTGTTTCCTCCACTTGGGAAAAAGTAGTAACTGACAGCAAAAAGTAGGAAAAGAAATTACTAACATAATTAGTTTTTTAAAAACATACATACACCCACAGTCATCTTTTGATTAGATTGCAAAAGTCATTTTGATCTAATTCTTGGATAGCTCTGTGAACCAGCCTGGCTTTAGGAAAAATAAAATCCTGACCCAGATGCTGACATACCTTAAAATGTTATTTGACTCTTAGAGATTTAGCATGAATTCAAGCTCGTCTAAAAGCAGAATAAAATTAAGTTGTTTTTGATAGTAAACAAGGTGGAAATTGTACCACTGTTTCTTGGATCTTTAATTATAGTGCATAACTATTTTAAGAAAATTGTCTTTATGATTAATAAATTTGCCAAGTGAGAAATCTCTGTTATATTTGCCACTGAGACTAAAGTGTGGAGTATTTATTCAAGGAACCATTTGGTAGCATCTTCCCCTAATTATTGGCCACGTTCTGAGCAGTGCCGTTCTTGCACCCTATGGCCCAAATCCTATCAAAGATCTAAATAGACTTTTTTTTCCCAAATTTCAAATGGACAGTCATGAAAAATGTACCTGAGTCATGGTTATTTATGGTACAGGAAAACTCTTATGAACCCTGGGGTACAATTTTTGGAATTGATAACATTGTAATGAAGAAGAGTCCTTAAATGGCTATTTTCTCTTAACTGCGAACATTTTGAGCACCTCACATGTTGTATCCCTCACTGATGGAAAACTCTATTCTGCTTCAGAGGTGATGGCATCAGACAAATACTGCTATGAGAAACTGAATATCGAAGGAACCGAGAAGGGTAATTGTGGGAAAGACAAAGACACCTGGATACAGTGCAACAAACGGTGAGATGGAGATTAGCTCAGAGTTTATCCCTTTGTGAATTACAAGCATTACTCTTTGAGTGACCAGGTCTTCTGCATCCCACAAAACATTCTGTTGCCTATTCACCTCATCTCTTCCCAGCCTTCAAGCATCACCTTTACAAAAGGCTTCCAAATCTTAACATGTATGCTGACTTCTCTCCTAAGCCCAGGTCGTGCTTGTAGCCTCCTCAGGACTTTCTCACCCAGAAGACACCTGCTAGCATCTCAAAATCAGCAAAAATTAAAGCCACCAGAATATGTACTCAGTTAATGGCCTCTGACTTTTCTAAACCACTGTTTTTGCCAAAGGTCTTAATATCTCACTGTCCTTGTGTTCAGAAGCCTCAGAATGATCCTTGACTCCATCTTCCCTCTGGCACATTGTTCAAATGCCAATCAGGGACTGGCCTGATGGTGTAGTGGTTAAGTTCGCATGCTCCACTTTGGTGGCCCAGGTTTTGTAGGCTTGGATCGTGGGTGCAGACCTACACACCACTCATCAAACCATGCTGTGGCTGTGTCCCACATACAAAATAGAGGAAGGTTGGCATAGATGTTAGCTCAGTGACAGTCTTCCTCAAGCAAAAAGATGAAGCTTGGCTACAGATGTTAGGTAAGGTCCAATCTTCCTCACCAAAAAACAAAAGAAAAAAGTGCCTATCATGTGCATTCTTCCCTTTTACTCCCCCACCATTTAATTTATCTTTTCATTTCCATTCCTATCATATTACCCCAACTAAGACCTGCATTAACTCTTAAGCTATTACAAAACTCTCTTAACCGTTTTCTGGGCCAGCAGTCTCTAGCATGCTGCCATTAGAATAATATACTGAATCCTTTGACCACGTAAATTCTTTGTTCAGATTTCACTGATTCCACATAGCTAATTAGTAGTAAGAATAATACCCAACGTTTATTGAGTGAACACTGTGTGCTAAGCACTGCATTACACTTTACACAAGCTATGTTATTTAATCTTTATGGCAGATCTCCCCATTTTTTGGAGAAGGAAACTAAGGCACAGTTAGTTAATTTGACTGGAGTCATGTAACTAGGGTGTAATAGAAGCAGAATTAGAATTCAGGCAGTCTGATTTCAGAACTCTTTCTTAACCACTTTGTTGAATGTCATACTGCGTTGTTAAACAAAATAGAGCCTTAGCTTGGCACTGTACCTCCTCCACGATTTGCCCCTAACCTCTATTTTTTGTTTTTTCTTCTTTACTCTTCCAAAGTATAGCAAGCCTTACCATTCCTAATGTGTGCATTGTATTGTCCTACCTCCATGTTCTGCTTGTGCTCCTCATTCCTCTGGAAGGACTCTTTAGACACATGCTGTTAACAGTCAAAAATGTGTCCATCCTTCAGAGTCCCTCTTGCATGATGCTTTCTCTGTAAATTCCTCCTGGATTTACTCTAGAAATAAACCAACTCCCTCTTCTCCTCTGAACTCCCACAACCTTTTATACTATTCTTATGTCCGTTGTCCCCAACTCTGTTTTATAGTTGTTTATTTGTGATTTCTCTTTTCATCCAGAGTATAATTTCTTGGAGGATAAAAATCACGCCTAATTTTCTTTATATATCCTAAAGTATTTAGTAAGCTCCGCACACATAAATGACACTCAAAAAAATGTTGAATGAATATCTTCTCTGTGTTAGGAAAGCATTTCTGTTTATGATAGATAGAATAAAATGATGATATAACTTTTAAAAATTATTTTTTAGGAATGGATTAATATGTAATTTTTCTCTGTTGGTGATAGATGCAAATCCAAATTTTTCTCTTTTTTCTATCTGATGCATCCTAATATTTCCATGTATAATCTTGCTGGTCTACTGATCAGTCTTCACAAGACATTTATTAGAACATGTGGTTATCATTATCTATATTAATAATTAAAATGTCTTAGATATAGAGAATATATGATAGTGTTTAATACCAGTGAAAACATTTTACAAGTTAAATTAGAGTTATGGGAGGAGTGAAATGTATTAAAGAAGGGATCATGAGCCTGTATGGTTGAGAATCTACAAAATGCGTGCAATATATAATCTCTTCATTAATTCTGGGGCAAGAGGTTGAACAAAGAGCTGTATTCCAAAAGAATACTCATCCAAAGGTCATTCATTCATCAAATACTAAAAATATTTTTAGTATATCCAGTGATGTGTTATGGGGAAATAGATTATGATATAAAAGAAGTCTATTTGATGGGTACTTTCCTTTAGATAAATACCTGAACTAATGGATAGTAAAGGAAAAGCTAGAGAACAGTTGGGATTTTGGCATACCAATGAGTTTCAGAGAAGACATTTTTTAAAGCAGGGGGCAAACTAATTTGGGATTATTTAATTTTTGCTTGTAATTTGAGTGAATAATGTAGTTGATGAAGAACAAATGCTAAAGTGAGATAAGATTATCGTTCCAACTGTACATGGTTTGCTGAATGGGGAAAAAAGTACAGTAAATAATTGGTACTCTTTTAACACAGGGATGTGCTTTGTGGTTACCTTTTGTGTACCAATATTGGTAATATCCCAAGGCTTGGAGAACTTGATGGTGAAATCACATCGACTTTAGTTGTGCAGCAGGGAAGAACATTAAACTGCAGGTAATTATCTAACTATTCTATGAGAACATTAGTCATCTTACTTCCAAGGAATGCAGTTTAGAATTACTTCTGTTTTCTGTTCATTTGCGTGTTAGTAATCTGAAATAGAGTCTAGTCCTTAGAGATGATTGAGTAAATCCTGACGTAAAAGAGACAAAAGGAAGATAAGAGTTAGTTTTTTTTATTAATTAATTTTTTTTATTGTGGTAACATTGGTTTATAGCATTATATAACCTTCAGGTGTACATCGTAATATATTTCGAATTCTGAGTAGATTACATCATGTTCACTACTCAAAGACTAATTACAGTCCATCGCCACACACGTGTGTCTAATCGCCCCTTTCGCCCTCCTCCCTCCCCCATTTCCCTCTGGTAACCACTAGACCAATCTCTGTTGCTCTGTGTTTGTTTGTTGTTGTTTTTATCTTCTACTTATGAGTGAGATCATATGGTATTTGACTGTCTCCCTCTGACTTATTTCACTTAGCATAATACCCTCAGGGTCTATCCTTGTTGTCACAAATGGCTAGATTTCATCATTTCTTATGGCTGAGTAGTATTCCATCGTGTATATATACCATATCTTCTTTCCCCATTTGTCCCTTGATGGCACCTAGGTTGCTTCCAAGTCTTTGCTATTGTGAATAATGCTGCGATGAACAGAGGGGTGCATGTCTCTTTATGCATTTGTGTTTTCAAGTTCTGTGGATAAATACCCAGCAGTGGAATAGCTGGATCATATGGTAGATTTATTCTTAATTTTCTGAGGAAACTCCATACTGTTTTCCATAGTGGCTGCACCAGTTTGCACTCCCACCTGCAGTGTATGAGGCTTCCCTACTCTCCACATCCTCTCCAACGCTTATTGTTTCCAGTCTTGTTAATTATAGCCATTCTGACAGGAGCAAGGTGATACCTCATTGTAGTTTTGATTTGCATTCCCTGACAGCTAATGATGTTGAACATCTTTTGATGTGCCTGTTGACCATCTCTATATCTTCTTTGGAGAAATGTCTGTTCAGATCTTTTGCCCATTTTTTAAGTGGGTTGTTAGTTTTTTTGTTGTTGGGATGTATGAGTTCTTTGTATATTTTGGATATTAACCCCTAAGATAAGAATTAGTTTAATGTGGTTGCTAGAGTTATGTTTAATTGGTCGGTAAAATCTTGCAAACTTTAGTTTGCATTTCATTCTCATTAAGGAAAATTAATGAAGACTTCTAGGTAGAATCAGTGGATTAAATATATGCATCTTCTTTTGCTCACTTCTGAAATCCCACTAAAATGACACTAAATGGGTCTTTTTAGCATTCATGGATCTACAGGAGACAGAGAAAGGGAGAGGGGACAACAACAACAAAATTTTGGAACGCGGAAAGCAAATGGATGTGTGTCAAATGATTATCAAAACTAAGAAAGCTGGATTCCTAAGTCAGTAATGGGGGAAATAAAAAACTTATCCATTATGTACTGTCAGTTCCCCAAAGGTTCAAAAATAGGCAGCAGCATCTACTGGAAAAGAGAGTAAAGAAATTAGGGGCAGAGGAAGGGGCTAAAATAAAGAAGATAAGTGAAAGTCTGTTAAAGAAGCAGCTGCAGCCACAGTTTCTTCCCTGACTCAGCTAAATGGGATTGCCCCCTCTCCATGGAAGGTTTGAGCTTTACATTCTGCAAAGAATAAACCGGAAAGTTTCCAAACTGGAGGACAACAGGCAGTGTTGATATCAGGGTTGTGTGGAAGTGATCCAGACTCATTGATGTTCAGTCAGAAAGCCCTAGAATTTCACGTCGTCTTTCTGGTCCCCCAATTCAAATATGAGCAGATTACCAGACATGTGAAGAAAGTCTCTAACGTGAAAAAAATGAAAAACAACCAACCAGAAACTACCCCCCGTCAATATTTATGAGAGAGAAGATACTTCTATCACGAAGCAAGAATAGATTGCTGTTCTAAAAAGTGAAGAACATTGAGAGAAGGAAAAAAATACTGTTTTTGGAAATTAAAAACATGATGGCAGGAATTAAACTCAATAGTTGAAACTGTTTCCCAGAAAGTATGGCATAAGAGGCAAAGAAATGAAACATATAGAACAGCTCATCGAGCTAGAATAGAAATAATAAGGGACAGAGAAAACAGCAGGGAGGAAATTGGCAATGAGTAACTCAAGAGTATTGGAAGTACTTGAATTTCCATCTTAACTGACTCACCAAGTGAAATTAGAAGGACATCTAAAGATATCATTATGAAATTTCAGAACCTAAAGAAAAGAATCCCAAACATTTCCGGAGAGGAGGGGCAAAAAAAGAATCAGGCATTAGAATGGTTTAAGATTTATCAACAGGAATCCTGGGAGCCAGAAGACAATGGAGTGAATGATTCCCAAACTGGAATTCTGTACCCAGGCAAAATATCAATCAAGCGTGAGGGTAGAAAATAAAGACACTTTTAGATAGGCAAGTTTCCCCCAAATTTACACCCCTATACCCTTTCTCTGGAAGCTACTGGAAATTGTGCTCCACCAAAATGAAGGAGTAAACTAAGAAAGAGAAAGGCAAGGGATTTAGGAAACAAGATACTCCCCATGAAGGGAGACAAGGCAATCCTGCAGTGAATGGTGAGGGGAAATCCAAGATGTACTACTCTGCACCTGGGACAGGGGATAACCGGATCAGATAGGAACAGGGGAGACTCCGCATAGACACTGCAGGGGAGATTCCTACAGGAACGTGAACTGATATCCACACACATCTTGAGTGGAGATTTTGACAGCAGAGTTGGGTTAGTTTTGAGTTAGAGATAAGTTCTTAGAAAAGTAGGCAAAGAAACAACAAACAAGCAAGAGACATGCTAATCTAAGGGAAAATAAAAAATTGTACATGAAAAGAATTTAATTATGGCAATACTGTATTGCTCAACTGAAGAACATAGTCATTATAATGTGCATGTTTGTTAATGATTTAACTATTGATTAAACTAAATTTATGATGAGAGGATAGGGAAAAGAGATAAATTCTCATATTCCATGGAAGAAAGTCAATTGATAATACTTAAAAGGGAAAAATAAAAAACAGTGACATAAGCTCATTATTTAAAAGTATGTACATAAATAACAAAAGAATCAATTAAGAGTAGAAGATGGTTTCCTCCAGGGAAGGATACATGGAGGAGTAGGGAGCAGTAGACCACTTTACTGCATTTAAAAAACCAATTTATCTCTTTGACTCTTTAAACTGTATGCATGTATAATTTTGATAAAAATAAATAAAAAGAGTGGAGATTTTTGTGCTACCATTGACTTGGCACCATATGAATAAACTGATTTTGAATATACATTTTCAGTTCCTATTCTATTTATTTTTTTATTCCTATATGACATGTAGTCTTGCTATATTGAATAGTGAAGTTACAGTAGTTTAGCCATTCTCAAATATAATTTGTAAACATCGCAATCTTCTTGGGAAATGTAAACCAAAACCAGTTCTCATCCTTGTTTGAAACATGTTTGAAATCTTGAAAGCTACTTACTTATCAAATCACATACTAATTATAATGGCTTACTTGACTTGTACATAAAGCCAAGGCAAAATGATAACGTAATTTCAATTCAGGTCCTTGTTGTAATAATTACGTTTAAATCCTAAAATATATGAATATCTCTGAAAAGAATTAGGTCAAAAGATTTGATTGCTTCCTTCATTTAGAAGTTGAAAATGCTTATGCTACTGTTTTTTATTAGATGGTTAATAGAAAATAGAGAAATTGATATTGCCTACTTTTTAGTGTTGAAGCCTAGTCTCAAGATGAACATGAATTAATGGAATCCCATTTTCTTTTTGCTCTCAATTTATTTTTAGTGGTGGGCATGTTAAGCTTGAAGAAGATGTAGATCTTGGCTACGTGGAAGATGGGACACCTTGTGGTCCTCAAATGATGTGCTTAGAACACAGGTGTCTTCCTGTGGCTTCCTTCAACTTTAGTACATGCTTAAGCAATAAAGAAGGCACTGTTTGTTCAGGAAATGGAGTAAGTATGCAGTACCTTGCTGTGGGGGAACTATTCATTTCTTTCATATCACAGAAATAGATAGGACCCTAAACTGCTTATTTCTGTAGTAATGGAAAACATGCTTATTTGTGTTTCTGGCTGGTATATAAGCAGTAATTTGGTCATAGTCATTTGAATATTTCTGTTTGTAATCTGCAAAAGCCTTAGAATAAGGAAAAGTATAATCTTCTATTTTCTTTTTTTTTTTTTTTGAGGAAGATTAGCCCTGAGCTAACTGCTACCAATCCTCCTCTTTTTGCTGAGGAAGACTGGCCGTGAGCTAACGTCCGTGCCCATCTTCCTCTACTTTATATGTGGGACACCTACCACAGCATGGCTTGCCAAGCGGTGCCATGTCTGCACCCAGGATCTGAACTGGCGAACCCCAGGCCACCGAAGCAGAACATGCGCACTTAACCACTGCGCCACTGGGTCGGCCCCTATTTTTTTTTTCCTCTTTTTTCTTATTATGTTAATATGATCTCATGTAATATAATGCCAGCTTTCTACAAGTGATCTGGGAGATAAATTTTAACAAACTATAGTGGGATAAAAAAAAGAGAGTAAAGGGCCTGGCCCGGTGGCACAGTGGTTAAGTGTGCCTGTTCCATTTCTCAGCGGCCCGGCATTCGCTGGTTTGGATCCCAGCTGTGGATATGGCACCGCTTGGCAAGCCATGCTGTGGTACGCGTCCCACATATAAAGTGAGGAGGATGGGCGCTGATGTTAGCTCAGGGCCAGTCTTCCTTAGCAAAAAGAGGAGGATTGGCAGTAGTTAGCTCAGGGCTAATCTTCCTCAAAAAAAAAGAATAAATAAAAAGCAGAGGCAGTGGCCACAATCTGTAACAACTAGTGTGGTCCAGGCACTGAGCAGTTAGAACAGACCATAAATAACTGCTGTAGCCACACCAGTGAGTACCAGCTGAGGATAACTCCTAGAAATAAAAACAGAATAGTTTAGGAAAATGTTTCTCACAGATGAACAGGAAGAATGGCATTGTTTAAAACACTAAATTCAGTTAGGAATTCCTATACTAACAAAAACTTTTTTGGTTCTTTGTTCTTTTGACCTGTGCTGTAATTTTCTTTTTACCCTCATTCCAGATTTTTTGCTTGAACTGGTTGCATTATCCAGTTGAGGTAAATGATCCTTGTCCTGGAATTGTAAACCTTCAATCCTGGTCATTCCATGTATATCCCTGAGGGATATGCCAAGAATTTCCTTAGGAAGGTGTTACTAATTGTTATTCTTTGCCAAAGAATAGGAGTTCTTATGGCACATGAGACTAGAGAAGGATATAGTAAGTAGTTCTCCTATAAAGGGGTCTGCTAAGTCTTTTTTCCTTAATAATTAAGAGAATGTTAGGGGGAAATGTTTTTTGGGGGGACATGGGAAAGAATAATGAAATTATTTCTTGATCATTCATACTAATGAATAACTATGTCTTATTCATCTAGAATCCTGAGTATGTAACCCAGATGTCAAACATAGCTTGTTGTATTAATTAACTGTTGGTTTAATGAATGAGTAAAAGAGTGATGCACCTAAGTAGATCAGGTGGCAAATGGCATCCAAATTATTTACAATAATTATGCATTAGACAGAAAGGTTATAGCCTATTTATTTTTAACTTACAGTAACTCAACTCTGTGTATGTGACAATAATTAAAATGAGAAATGCAGTAGATATTCTCTATTTGCTGTTGTGTAGTTAAGAGTGTGAGCTTGGATTCAGACCGTCTGAGTTTGAATCCCAGCTCTGCTTCTTACTAACTGGTAAGATTGGAAAAATTACTTAGCCTCTCCGTGATTCAATTGCTTTCTCTGTAAAATGGCAATAGCAATATAGTCTACTTTACAGGATTGTTGGGAAGAATCAATGAGTTGATACTTGTAACTTATATGTAATATTTAAAACAATGTCTGTAACATAGTGTTCAATAATGTTAGCTATGACTTGATTTGTTATGATCGCTGGACACTGGTATCACTGTCTGCTCTTGTCATTGTATCACTGGTGCTGTTGTATGAGATGGAAACTGATACTTGGAGAAGCCAGTTGAGCTGGTTAAGGTCAGTTGGTAAGACAGTGGTGAACTGGAGACTCAAACTCAGGCCTTTAAACTCTTTTCTTCTGGCATATTTATTAATCTGCAGAAATTTGTTAATCTGAATTAATTTAAAATCTGCAATTTTTTAGTCACATTTTATAGTTACATTTAGATGTGGATGTGTGTTGTCTCCTGGCAAATTAGATCAGACAAAAGACACAAATCTATCTAGTGAAAATCTGCCTCCTGAACAACTCTGATCTTAAGCCTCAGATTTAAACCTGAATTCTCTCCTACTTCCCACTCCATTCAAAGTTGTTTTGAATTATAAGATCTAGGTGTAGATTCTGTTTCCTGGATATATAAATGAAGACAGATTATTGTCTGATAATTTAAAAAATTTGGTGCCGTTTTTGTGTGCATTTTTTCCCTATGCTTTGTTGAGGGAGTTCTCAGTTCCCATGACACTGAGGTAGCTAATCTCTGTATCTTGAGTTGAGGTGCCAAGGTTATAGCTTTCTGAAGCTTTCTTCTCAGATCGCTGCAAAGTATCAGGCTTCCCCTCTTCTTTGTCAGATTCTCTTTATCTCGTGTGCTTCCTAACAGATGAATGAGGGACCAGGCTGGTGGTGTAGTGGTTAAGTTCATGCTCTCCACTTTGGCGGCCCAAGGTTCGCAGGTTTGGATCCTGGGTGTGGACCTAGCACCTCTTGTCAAGCCATGCTGTGGCAGCATCCCTCGTAAAATAGTGGAAGATTGGCACAGATGTTAGCTCAGTGACAATCTTCCTCAAGCAAAAAGCGGAAGACTGGCAACGGATGTTAGGTCCAGGCTAATCTTCCTCACACACATACACACACACAAAAAAGATGAATAAAATTTTGGTATAAAGACAATTTCTTTGGAAGAAAGAAACTCTTGGATTGGATAATTGCAAATGATTTTGTAATCCTACTTAGTTTTTAATATAAAATTTAAGGTAATGAAATGCAAAACAATAATTTCATTGTTTTTTTTGACATAAATTCGTTCTTCTGTTAAAATTCATTATTCCCTTTGGGTCAACTGTTGATCTCTAGAAAATATTTTTTAAGTACTTGAGTAAGAAATAAAGTCATTAGTATTAGGAAGAAAGTACCAGTAATTTTTCAGTATCATCAAAGTCTAGCACATGATAATTAGAAATTAATGTTTGTTTTTCATGCCTCTGTCCCAGGGAGTTGAAGTTTCAATTGATTTTGGATTTCAGGTTTGCAGTAATGAGCTGAAGTGTGTGTGTAACAGACACTGGATAGGTGCAGACTGCAGCACGTACTTCCCTCACAATGATGATGCAAAGACTGGTATAACTCTGTCTGGCAACGGTAGGTGCTTCATTTGGTACTGTTACATAGTCTTTATACACAAAGAAAGAGAAAACTACTCTTCAGACAGTTTCATTGGGATTATTTTTATGACAAATATAAATTAAATTCACATAATAATGAACTCCAATATACAACTGGGGTCCACATTATAAAACTGATTGCTTCCATTAAATTGTAATGATATATAATGTGGAATATAACTTAGGCTACTGATTTAGCCTTATTTGTCCTACATCAGGCTGAGATTTTTCAAGTATTGTGCTTGTTTGGGGCTGACAACAAACCTTAGCATTTCTTTTAAATGAAGAAAGTAGTCAAACTTCTTAACTGTCTGAATTTAAAGAGAGAATTTTATATTTTAGGACTAAATAAATAGGGACAATTGAAGAATTTATGTTTAAATATTTTGTTGACTTTATTATTCATTATTATAGGATCTCATCTATATTCAACCCCAGTTCTTTTGCCTGAACTGTAGGTAATTCTAGAAGTAGTAACCTTGGCCAAGGTGCTTGGTGGGGGTTTAAGGACATGGATAAGAAACAACAGGTGCAGTTCTAAAGGCCAGAGTGGCTTAAATGGAGAAGTAGAAATGAAATGCAGATAATTGAAAGAACACATACCTTGGAGGTAAATGTCCCCTTTTAAACTATTTTGTCGTTTCATTATTGAGTATTCTGTTGCGTGAAATAGTGCTCAAATCCTGAAGTCCATTCACCTCCAAAGGATGAGAAAAAAGGTGTATGTTTATTCTAATCATCCAGACAGGTTAAAAATCTTAGCCAATGTGACTTTAATAAAGAAAATCAGGGAATGATTAAGATTTTGGCATCCCCAGTCTTAGCAATGGTAGTGTAGGGTTAGTTCCAGCAGTGAATGCAGAGATGAGGCTGTTCAGGTCCATGGATTTAAGTAACTTGTCAAAAGTTGTCATACCATTACTTAGAAATGATCAGGACTAGCATTCAAGTTTATTGATTCCTGTTGAATCCCTGGAAGAAAAGGAAGGGAAGACAGACATACCAGGTCTTAGAGTAGGAAAATCCTAGTGACCCGGGGGGTACTCTGGCATCTGTATCCACCCATCCCACAGAGGACCTGGACAGGGGAGAGTCTGCCAGTCTCCTCAGATGTCCTAGCCCTGCCGTCCAACCTGACTCCTGAGGGTTCCCAGACAGAGAGGCTGCCATGCCTTCCGTCATGAGGAATTAGAATCTGCTCCAGTCAGCCGTGATTACTGATCCTTGATGTCTAGAAAGATGCCTCAGGAGTGCAGCAGACAAGGAGAGATCTTACCTCCTCTGGGTGAAACAGATCTGAGTGATTTAAACATGTGGTGTAAATCATTATCAGCAAAACAGATCTCGTGGTATCAGAGCCAGGCCTCTGCTCTGCCTTTTCTGCTCTTGGGCCCGCACTTGAGCTTGTTGACCAAGGCTTTGATTCACTGGGCCACTCTCACTGCCATAATCCCCTTAAGGGTTATATCTCAGCCTGCCTGACAACAGATGCTGACCCAACAATGCCATTACTGAGTCCTGAGCTTCAGCCCTGCCCTGGCCCTCTGCCAGTCTGGCACCACCTCACTCTCATGCCTCACCAGCACCGATCTCCAGCTCACCAGACTCTATCTTTTCCTTTGGCTTTTCCTTCTCTAGCATGCCAAGCCTTCATTACCAAGGCTGGGAAGTACAAGCCCAGATGATAAAAGCACTGCTTTTATCATTTATACTACCTGAGCACTCATTATATAAATCTGTAGACATGTTTTCTCCCTTTAGAATCTTTTTTTTTTTTTAAGATTTTATTTTTCCGTTTTTCTCCCCAAAGCCCCCTGGTACATAGTTGTATATTATATTTTATGTGGGTCCTTCTAGTTGTGGCATGTGGGATGCTGCCTCAGCATGGCCTGATGAGCGGTGCCATGTCTGCACCCAGGATCCAAACTGGCGAAACCCTGGGCCACAAGAGCAGAGGGCGAACTTAACCACTCGGCCACAGGGCCAGCCCCTCCCTTTAGAATCTTATATTTACTTTAAGAGACAAAATATCACACACAACTGAGAGCAATAAGGACCTTGCATTAGTAGTAAACATGGATTGATGTGAACAATAACATTCCTAGAATTTCTGAGGAAGAGATCAGGTTCGAAAGGAACACAGATTTCTAGAAGTTCCTCCCCAAAGGGTGCTGTGTCAATATAGTAGTATCACTCCTCCTTTTTTTCTTATCTTTACTCTTCCTTTTTTAGTTCAATGACCTGATCATATTTTACAGAAAAAATCTGGAAAATACAACTGTGCAAAATGCACTTGGACAAGAATTACAAGGGAAGATATACACAAAGAATTATTTTAAAAAAATGATTGATGTGGATTGCTAAGTTATGGTTGATTTTTCTTCCCTTTAAAAAATTACCCACTTTTTCAAACAAGTAATGTTGCTAGTGTGATGATTACGAATCTGGAGAATAAAGTTTCTGAAAGAATTTTATATCCAAATATCGATTACATACACTGATCTTCACTGTTTCTTTTCTCCCCTTAGGTGTTGCTGGTACCAATATCATAATAGGCATCATTGCTGGCACCATTTTAGTGCTGGCCCTCCTATTAGGAATAACTGCATGGGGTTATAAGTAAGTGAAACGTCTCAATATTGTTACTGTCCCAATACACTTTAAAACATTTTGTTTAAATGAGTTAAACATTTAGAAAGTTTTGTATCATTGGATAAATATACCTGCAATGAAAATGGGTCTGGTTCAGCATTCAATCTTGATTATTCTTGGCATGATTATAGGTAACAATAATTTACCATTTTTTAGATCTTGACATGATTCCCTTCTATTCTAAAATTACTGAATATTGTTTTAAAACCATTGCGTTAAGTAAAATCTATCTAAATCATGTCTTATACAAAGGCTGTGTTGGTTTGCTTTTTAGTGACACAGGTTGTCTTGGCTTAACCACATACCCAGAAATCTAGGCAAAATAGTGAATTAGAGAGCGTAATGCTTTAATAACGACAGCAATAATAACAGTACTATCAACAAGAACCATAGCAGCAGATCTGTTACTGAATGCTTGCAATGGCCATGCATTGTGCTGAGGGCAAAACCCCTTTATCTTTACAACCAGCATGAAGAGGACACTATTATTTGTTAAATATGTGGGTATTTTTGTGTGAAGATAAGGCTGTTCAGAGATTTTTTTTGTTAAAATTAAAATTCAACTTTATATTACAATTTTTAAAAGCCTAATTCTTTTTTAATCTTCAAAGTTCAACTTACAATTCTTTGGTTCTATTTGTAAATTTTAAAAAGTTATGTTATATAACTTTTGAATATTTGATTCCCTTAAGCATTTAGCTAAGTCAATGACTTCAAACATTCCGAACTTAGTTTACATATTTACTATCCTCAGTTTCCTTTTTAGTACTTCAATCTCATGATGTGAAAATTTTCCTTAGTATTCAAATAACTTTTTTAAGTTTAGTAAATTAAAGCTTAAGCATAGCGAACCTTAAGTTCTCTTTAATATTTCAACTGAAAATCATAGTTCTGCCGATCTCTGATGATGTTGTTTCAGGTTCCCAGGCCTAGAGTTTCTCTCCATTTGCAAGGTCTGCAGCTTTTGTTAGGCATTCTGGGCATCGCCCCATTTTATAGCCTTTTTTTTTCCCCCTCATAGAACAAACTTAGTCCACCAAAAAACTTGGGAATTAGAATATTTTAGACTTTAAAAATACCTCAAACCTTTCAATAGACTAAGCACTATGTGATTGCTGTTATTATTATCACCTGGCATGATCATAAACCAAGGAACCAAAGGAAACACCTGTAAGAGTAAATATGGCAGTTGCTTATTGTGAGGTCCAAACTCTGAAACAGTTTCTTTGACTGAAAAGAGAGCAGTTAGTTTACTGCCAGGATAAACTTTGTATGTTACAGGCATTAAAATAGAGAAAGACATTTGTGGAAGGCTGTGTTAACACATAGCAGAGACAGCATAGTAAAGTTTGGCATAGCATAGTCAGTCTGGCATGGTATAGCATAGCGAAGGAGAGCACAGCTGAGAAGTAATGCCTTGCCCTGATTAAATAAGTCCCTAGCCCTGTACACAGTAGCTGCTCCGTGCCTATTGGCCTCTTTGATGTGCAGGTTGTTAGGTATATTGCATACTTATATTTTCACCAGCTGATTTCAGCGTAACATTTGGAGTTATAAAATTATATGTCTGAAAGGAAGAGTCTTCTGTATATTTATTGTTTTACGTCTCCTCACACCTCTGGTGAATTAGCCCCGTCTTAGAGTCAACACTATTTCCTGGACTTCCCTGATGCAGGACTTACATAGTAGTTGCCATGACAAGCATTGCTGCTTTGAAGTAGCTTATTGGTTTCATTTGGTCATGTGAAAATGGAAAGCAAAATTGTTAGTTCTGTAGTGTGTGATTTTCTGCCACCTGCTGATGCAAGTTTATATTTCATTTTTACAATCTTGGAAAAAATTCCCTTTCAGAAAATAGGAAACTTAAACATCTACTCCTATTGCTAGTAGATGCAGATTACTAGTGATATTTCCTGTGTCCATTTGTTGTAGTGATTAGAATTAGAAGTACTTCTTTCTGTATTTCATTTCTTATTTTTATGAAATTCTTTTGCGGTTTCACTGGTGTTTTTATTTTCATTTCTGAATATATGTACTTTGTAGATTCATTAAAGAAAAGACAAATCTTGTTCATACTGCAGTATTCTCTTCATAAATAATTTGAATCTAAATGAAAATTTTAATATTACAAAACTTATTTAGAGTATGTTTAAAAATAGAATGAGAATGTAGAAATTTTAATTCAGGAATTAAATTCATGAATATGATGTTTCACATATTCTATTTGAAATTCGAAAATGGATTTAGGACTTGAGAACTCATTTTCTCATTAATCCTTCCAATTAAACTTTCTACTCCTTCTCCAAGCCTTGGAGTCGGGGAATGGCAGGAATAGGAAATGAGGAATACTCATTTGGAACTGGTGGACTGCTCAGGTAATCAGATCGAGAATAAAAAGTAAAACATGTTGAATAGAAAGATTCTGGGCTTATTTTCTGACCCCCCCGTCTGTGATGGTTTCAGCAATGAAAAATAAGAAGTAACAAATTGGCATTTTTACCCTCATGAGTTCATTATTAAACAAGATAGTTACAAAATGTACAGAATAGATTGGCCAGGGAAGGTGCTACAAACGAAATCTTACATGGAAACAGTGTCCTTGGTCTTGGAGGAGGGAGCCCCCTGCTCAGTTGCTTGACCTTTCTAACATGTCTTCAAAATATTAATACTTAATTAGGTCACGATGGAAAGTTAAAAATCAACTCTTTTAAGTTAAAAGTTAAAAATCGTTAGTACTTCACTGCCAGATCCTCTAGAAACGTTTTTGTTTAGGTCGGTTCGTTTTGAAACTCGTGTAATTTTATTTTAGTGTATTTTACTAAACTTTGAACAAAGTATTTCCAATGTGAAGTTTCAGTGAGTAAGTAGTAATAACTTAGGAGGTTCATGACAGCCAGGAATTAACTCATTCTAATTTATCATACACGATGAAATAAAATGTTCTAATGTCCAAAGTTTGTGTTCTCCTGTTTGAAATTCTTAGGAATGGCTTTAGTTTGGGGTATATATTCCAAAATAAATAAACTACGATTTTTATTTCTATGAAAACACAGTTAATTTATATAAGTAACTTGATTAATTTTATTATTTAAATCAATATACATGTCAGAAAACCTGTATTTGAAATAGGGTTGACTTTAGAATATTACTAAATGTTTAATATGATAAGCTTGATATTGAGAAAACAGTTACTCTTTAATAACTGAAGTTTATTTATGCATTTAAAAATAGTTATTTGAAAATATTGTCACTGCCCCTTTGGTGTCACTTCTGCTGAAGATGAAGTGGAATCTGTGTGTGTGCGACTGTGTGTGTTCCCCATTTTAATTTTCAACTCAGAGTCCTCTAGTGGAGACTTCTCTGAATGCTGAAGCTTTTGTTTAGTGCTGTCTCTTAATGTGCTTCCATAGGTAACTAATTCTTTTTTTTCTCCCCTCTCTTCTTGTCCATGAAAAGAAACTATCGAGAACAGAGGTATGTGATGAGAATAATCTGAACACATAACTGAAAGGTTTAAATCCTGTTAGCATCTTTGGAATTCGTACATACAGTTATAGATCAAGTTCACTTTGTTTTTATGCTGTAGTGGTCACAAACTAATCTTGATTTTTCGTGACCTTGAAATGATAACATTAATAACGGTGCTGTGGAATATATTAATTTAAAACAGATCTATCATTATTTAATTTTAATGGTTCTTTCATCCAACAATACTGCAATTAATAGAAGTTCTTATTTTTGTTACTTTTGTAGTAATATATATGGAAATTGATTTTTTTTTCCATGTAAAACAAACTTCCTCTGTATGTTAAGGTATCACCTTTGCTTACATTAGTTAATTGGCCTTTCTTCATGTTTATAACCTCTTTTTGCCTAAGACTTTCTGAGAGATTTTGTTATTTGTTACTGTTGTTCTATTAGTAACTTCCATCCATAAGTGAGAAAATGTATACGGGCGGAGTGTTGTGGTCAGGAGAGTGTCCTGGCACTTGATGAGCCTGTTTGTCTCTGCGTAAGAAAATATTTTTTGTACTGATTAGGTAATTGCACAGGTAGTTAAAGAAATAATTTGCATAGTTGGAATCTCTGATTGTCTAGTATACTTTTTTTGAATAAAAAAGCCCATAAAGTCAGACACCCTGTTCCTCATAATCTTAAAACCTATGTTTAACCAACAGCTTAAAAAGAGGTACAAAGCATTCATGTAGTTCTATAAGAATTGCCTATTTTTTCTAAATCTAAATTAGCCCTTATTGGTGGTCACCCTTCACTTTTCACATTTAAAAAATTGCTAACGCTATTAGCTATTGAACAAAAAATCGAAAATATCCTGGAAAGTGATAACCCACACGAGGTCTTGTACATCGTATAGTACTAGGTTTACACTCCGGATATCTATGCAAATTCCTTCTTACTTAACTTTTCCCACTGTTCCGTTAAATGCCTGTGGTAGATTAGGAATAAGATGTAATAAATGTGTTGATACTTTTTCAGGCGTCTACCACAGCTTATATTTTTTCACAAATTAGAATTTTAAACTTTACTTTTCTGTTTTTTTCTACGTTGTAACTTAAAATTCCTATAAGGCTTTAGCCGTAAGTGTCTACAGAGTTTCTGTATATAAATGGTACCTGCACGGTACCAGTTGAGATCTTGGTCAGTTAGCGTATATATTAGGAAACACTGACCTTTCCCTGGAGTAACTAACTCATCATTAATGGAAAATGTAAAACTGAGGCAAAATTAATTAAATTTTTTAAATAACTAGATTTCTTTGTGATATGTTTTAAACTCTTGTGTCCAAAAACACTGGAGAAGAGCTGTAGCCATTTAAGCTTTCTGTTGGGTAGAAGTTGATCAGAAATCTAAGTTGGATGGCTTACTTCAGTGAAAAGTAAAATTAGACTAATAAGATAAAAAATTGATGATTCAGCTTCATTTCCATAGGAGCTAAGGCTATAATGTAATTTAATATTGCTGACTGTATAAAAAGGAAAGAAAAATGTTGCAAATATGTAACATAAGCAAAGCTAAAACAGTGCTCTAAGATGTGTCCTCACCAGGGATACTACCCAGAATGAAGGAATTGCCCATGATACAAAAAAGTGATTAATATGTAAAACTGTACACCAATTGCTTATTCTAACTCAATATATGCTTAGGTACAGTTAAGGAAATTTTTACATTAAGAATTGCCTTTATGTGCCTGATAAAATAATTTCATGCCTCCGGTATTACTGAGTCATCATTTTATCAATCTGGCTACTCTTTTTTGGAATCTAGTTCATATTTTGAGAGTTGTCACATCTTAAGCAGATATTTATTTATTTATTTTATATATTTTGGTATACTTCAACACAATCTTTATTTATTTTTGGCCTTGTCCATAGGTTTGGACAATCAATCTCAAAATGGAGAAGTAGCAAAGAGTGGACTTAAGATCAGGAAGTCATGAATGTATGAGTATCTTCTCAAGGATTTTCCTTTTTGATAACATATGTTAGTGATTATAGAGAAGGTGGTAAGGCCAACATACCAAAGAATGCATTAAGAAATTTCAATCTTGTAAAAATATCTACCAATATTCCAATAAAGATATGCCTAGTTCCAAAGGATGCCAGAAAGTAGAATTAAGAATTTTGAGTTATCCTTGCCTTTAAATTATATTTTCATTTGAGGTTCTGTGATGGGAGGACCAAATGACATGGAATCAGAAATCCACTTGCTACTATATGGTCTTTGGAAATCACTTAAATTTTCTTCAGCTCTAAATCAGATAAAGTTCTTTGTCATCTGTAAAGCATTATAGTAAGGGAAGTTATTAGTATGTGATCTCTGAAAACTTTCTGTTTCTCTGATCTTCAAACAGAAAAGGTGAGTGTGGTTGTTCTCAAAGAGGAAGGCAGCATTCATCGACATTAATGAGGCCCACAAATACTGGTTGAGCTGGTGAAAGTACTATTGGTGAACATAGTTTTGCTTTGACGTTGAATGCAAGACCATGTTAAATATGTAGCCAGTTAACGGATTCTTCTTAACGATAGAAATAATGGCTCAGAAATTCCAAATTGGGCATAACTTTCAAATTATTGGAGAGGTCAGGCAAGTAATTCTGTGAAGGAACCTCATAACCTGGTAAATTTGCCCTCCAGAGAATGTGTTCTCAAGGTTTTCATTATATCAAAGGAATGTGTGATAGGTTTAATTGCAAATCTGGCAAAAAGATGAGAAGCAAACCCATTTTTTTCTTTACAAACTGCTTAATAAAAAATTAGAAGCCCCATTCTGGGGCACAGTGGAGGCAGAACCCCATACATGAATGATATCCCTTTAAATTTGCCAGTGTCATCTTGTGAAGGGTGGGAGCAAGGAACCTAGGAGCCACGGATAATTCTTATACACCATGTAGTTAGAAGGATGGCTATTGACCCTTTTGTTTAAAATCTTCAGAAAGGAAGACCTCCGTAATTTTTTCAGTTAATGCTATTGTTTATGTTTTAGCATGATCACTTTAGGATTTAGTAGCTGTATACTTTGTAACAAGAATTATAAGTTTGAGTTTTAGTTTTCAGGTTGGTTTACGAATAGCAATAGAATAGGAAAACATTAATTGAACTGGGATTTATAAAACACTCATATTCAGTTGAAATATTCTCTTCCTTTGTCTAAAATGAACACACATCATTATGATTAATATGAAATAGAATAATTAGATCATATCTTCCTGATCCATACCATAAGCAGAAATCTCCTTCCCCATTTCTTTTCTCTCTCACCTGTTTTAGCCACTTTATTTTCTGCTTGTGAACCTCCCTCCTTTTTTTGCAAACCTTTCTTAGTTTGTTTTTATATTATTATTATTTCAGTGATATTCATGCATCTGTCAGTGTGACTTGGTACACATTACACAGTATTTCTTAAAACAGTAAAGTAACAATTCTAATAACAGATAGCCCAGATGCCAACAAAGCATTGGAGAAATTCCTCCTTCAGCATTAAGGTTAAGTCTTAAATTTTTTCATTGTATTCCCATATCAAGCATGCATAAGGACCACTAAGTTAAATATTATGGTTCAGTGGACCCTTTTAGAAAAGATCAGACTTCCCTCATAACAGGGATACATTAGGAGGAAAAATAAGTTAGTTAAGTAAGCTTTTATTTTCTTTTGGTCATTATTTATAAAAAAATTCATGCACGTGTCTAAAATATTTGCATGTAATATGGGAAATATGAGGTAATTTTCCCATTGTAAAACTTAGCACTGGTCAGGTCACCTAACATAGTAGTCACTTCTAGATTTCAAAATTCTATGAAACCAGCAAAATTTAGGAAGAAAACCATAAAGAGTAGAAAAATAAATTCAGTGTAAAAAAATTTAAAGAGATCATTTAGTTGGTCATTTATGATCTTTTATAACAAATGATAACATCTTATTTTGTTAATCATAAGGACCTGATACTCTCTATCCTCACTAACGGGTAAACAAGAAGAAATAAGTTTGTTATAACATGTAATAGGTATTGAAAAAGGATAAATTTCTGGACAGTGAAGGATGTTAAATATTATTCTTAAAAGACTTCTAACAAAATTCATAACCCGTCATTAACATTTTAGTGCATTTACTATGTGAAGAAAGTTACATGCATTCCTTGTGGAATTTTAAGGAGAATGGAGAGTAGTTTCTGTATTTTGGAGACTTCACAATAGAGATGGATAAGAATCTAATCGTCCTGGGATGATAAAAATCAAGGCCCTGGCCCAGAAGTTCATTGAACTTAAACTGCCTTCAGCCCTTTGACTGAAGCCCACAGTTTATGATTTGCTTAACATTTAGGGATGTTTGTGTACTGTGTGAAAGATGACCATTGACTGCAGAGAAGTTACATTGGAGGAGAAGTGAAATGTGCTCAGTTAAAGAAAAAACACTGGGCCCCATCCATTGGGAGGAAGTCCATTTAAGCCTGCAGTATCAGCTAAATGAGCCCTTGGTAAATGCCTGAATGCCAGAACCATGTAGACAGAAAGTAATTTGGGGAATAGATTAATGGAAAATTGAAGTGTCATTGGAACTTGTCTTTATTTAATTTGAATTTAGTGAGGTACATCTCATTGCTTTATAAAGATTGTCGTTAAATGTATAGTGACAAAAATGATTTGTTAACCATGAAGATTACTATTGGAAATATGATGTTGATGGGATGTTCTCTGGCATTCTTTAATAAATATTACTGTGATACAAAAGGGAAGTTTTGTCCCTGAGGCAACATACAGAAGAACTCTGATTTTATTAAGAGGTTTTTTTCAAGCATTGGTAGAATATTTTACTGATATGAGGCAAGAAAGAAAATATAATTCTACAGGTTAAAGGTCTCTTGCATAAGAAGATATATCATTTGTCCTATATTATTAACACTATTAATATGGGGAAATTGCATTATTTTTCCTATAAAGTTAATGTTTCATAATACCGTGGGAAAAAGAAAGAAAGATTACAATTACGAGCTGAAGTCACTTAAAGGATTAAAAATATTTTGAAGGAATACGTATCAAAGAATTGTAGGTAAAAGTAGTCTTACATACAAATCTAATGATAAATTCTTTCTTAAAGGGAAGGAGTAGATTTAATCACATTAAATTTATATATGTGCTTTATATCAGTTGAAAACTCTTCTGTAGATTTGTAGAGATGTGTGAATATATACGATTGAAATAATATGAGAGAGTATTCAATCATTCAGAAGTACGAATGACCAAGTATTTTAAACATTTAAAACAATATGGTAATTAGTATAAGCAAGCAAACATCTGAAAGTGGCATTTTTTGGACAGAACTTAGCATCAGCAAGTGACCATGACTCGTATAGTAACTAAGAGAAAACCAGATAGGAAAAGGAGTTAGCAAATGTGTGCCTTTGTTGCAGACCTATTTAAGTACAGCTCTGTTTAAAATTCTGAGTCCAACAGTAGCGTGTGGGACCTCCAACAACAGTACCACATCAAGTCTTAGATGCAGTTGGTAGTTTAGCCATGCATTGGCAAATGATCAGACTAGCTACTGGGGCAGAGGGGTTGACCAGGTGGTCCTATCTAAAGTTTTCTACCCTATTCTCTTAGGAGAAGTAATAAAAATCTGTTCTAGTCTTAATTAATTCAAAATCAGAGCGAGTGGGGTCAGGAACAGTGCAGATTTAATAGATTTTCCCTTGCTCACTCCTTCTACAGTGGAGAGAGGGAACTGAGGTCACCTCCAACTACTATAAATATCCTTCTGTGGTGTCAACAAGAATTCAGTTTTCAACCCTTTCTTCTTCTTGCTAAATTATCTTCCTTTGCATATTCTACTGTGCAGTTCTAGAATTATGTTCTTGATTGACCTTTGAATGTCTTCCAGTTTCTTCATATTTCTGTTAAATGAACAATGAAGCTCCAAATTGAACAGAGAACTCTAATAAGAATTTCTTTGGATTAAATTATAGAACATAGCTTCGAAATCAATCAGTTCTTTTAGGACCAAATCAAGGTTATGTTATATAGTGTTTAGAAATCATAGTTTACTTACCACAGTGAAAAAAAACTTATGCCTTATCTGGGCAGTGACTGTTCCAACACGTCTCCTTTCACACCAATATTATTTTTTAAAAGAGCACTGTAGTTAACATCTCCAAGTATAATGAAGTTACAATGAAAAACCTCATCTTTTCATAATTTTCCCCTGAAAGGGAAGCAAGGCTTTCTTCATCCAGACTGTAAAGACTTCAGTGATTGCATTTCTGATCTCTACAGTTAGAATGACTTTAACTTGTCACATTTATTAATAATTTACATGTTGTTATAGATTTGATTCATGTAGATCATTATCCCTACCTCTTTTTTCCTAAAATAATATTTGTATATGTCTGTGTTCATGTGTGTGTCTTGTTTTCTGACTCTGAAATGTTTATTATGCCTTAGACAGTTACCCCAGGGAGATTATGTAAAAAAGCCTGGAGATGGCGACTCTTTTTATAGCGACATTCCTCCTGGAGTCAGCACAAACTCAGCATCTAGTTCTAAGAAGAGGTCTGCTTTTCTGTCGCATTTTCAGATTTCTACCTGTTCCATCACACATTATTCCATTAGTCAGAACATTTCATTATTTTGCAGCAGGTTTGATTACTTCTTCCTTCTTTCTTGAATGTTAAAAAAAATAGTATCCTTTGTTCTTTGATTACTCTACTTCAAAATGCCATATGCTCAGAACCACTTGTGTAACAAATCAGGCCAGAACTCCAAACCAAACAAAACTAAACAAATAACAACCCTAAATCTATATGGAAACCCCAGAGTTTTTCAATCTTGCTCTTATATGGCTTAAGAAGCTATACATAGTATTTTGTCATATTTTAAATGGTGAGCTTTATGTCATGTTTGGTAGTCAAAGAAAAAGGTTACTGTCATGCTTCAATAAAAGCAGTTTTTAAAATAAATTAGTAATATAAATGGTGCATTGAATATTTTTTAATTTTAAATATATCAAAGCTAAGCTTGCTGTGAAAAAAAGATCGCTTCTCTGTGAATCATATATTTGAATATTATGATTTTGCCTTTTATTCCTGGAATGATTATTTCTGGACTTTATAACTTAGAGCTTGGTTGCCAAATCTAAGTGTATTTAATGTTTTACTGAGTTTTATAATAGTATAGGTGGGGTTAATATATTATTTACATGTCTTAAACTTTGATGCTGTTTTCTTGCTCCAGAATCTTAAGATGTATAAGACCATTTAAAATTCTGCATGCTTTATAATTGCTTAATAAAATAAACTGATAGAAGAAATAAATAGTTGGAATGTTTTAGGAAATGAGACCTACATTCACACTGAAGGAAGCTAAAATATTCCTGCGGAAGACTTTCTTTAAAATTGTTGGTAAAGGTGTAATGTAAAGAAAAAAAGATTTGATAGCCCCGTGCATTACTTTGGGCACAGTAATTACTTTGTAGACTGAAGAGGAAGTTCCTAGTTTATTGAGAAGAAATATGATCTCTTCTGGAGTTCTAAATAGAGTGAATCATCTGTAAAAATTCTGCATTGGATCTCACTCTTTTTAAACAATCAGGAAGGAGAACAGAAGGAATTAGTGAAATCTAGAACTCTACTTTATGTGGAACTTAAGAGTGAAGGACTATTTTTACTCAGATAATGTAGCTTTAAAGCAAAAGTAAAAAAATTAGTTTTTGCACGAGAAGTACAATTCTATAGAAGGATGTTCAAAATCTTTTATTGGCGGCTTTTTAATTAAGAGAATAAAATTTACTTAAATTCTCTCAGTATATAAATATTTTCTTGATCAAATACTTAATTTTAAAATAAATAACATGGTAAATAAGTGGAGCAATCAATGGATTCCAGAAGAATTTCTGTTGTCCTTTTGGACGAAATGAGTCATTCTATAATTAGCACATGGTGTTGAAAAAGTCCTAATCTAGGGAATTAATGTGTAATAATTTTTTGTTCATCAGTAGAAGGCTCCTTTTAAAATAGACATTACTAGCAATTAGCTGCAATGATATGTGGAAAAGACTTCAAGTATAGTGCTATTTTCTAAAGTACCTCAAGAAGAACTTAAAACATTGATTTGAATAATTCCTGGATTTTAGCAAAATCTCAATGGGTTATCATTTTTAAGCAGTTAAAATTGTATCAAAATATGTGACTCCTCCTAAGTATATGTAGTTTGTCAAAATACTTATATGGTACAAGGTAGGTGTGTAAAGTTTGCTTATTGTGGACAGTTATTTTAAAGATAGCAGGACACAATAGCAGAAGGGCTTAATGGTACATGGGCTTTGTGAGAGATGTTTCTGTGATAAACATCTGATTCCTTTCAGTTACTGGACAATTAAGTAGCACTAGTACATTTTTCGGGGCCATATTTGTGGAGAAAATGCCAATTCTCAGAAAATAATTTTATTGTTTAAGAAATCCTAAATATTACTTTGACAAAGGTTAACCAGTTCAGTTGAGCAAATCTTAATGAAATCTCTTGGAAGTCCATGTTCTCATAATATTTGAGTGAAAACCATTGCTTTACAATTAAGAAACATCTATGGTGGGACCCCATTATAACTGCTGCTCGGGTTATGTAACCGAAATATGTAGTGAATTTTCTATATGTGGTTGCTGTGTTCTGGGGAATGTAATTGGCTTGCATTGTATCCTGATACTTTTGAATTATAAACTATTGTAATGGGGTTCCATTGTATTTGACTTTTCTTAAATTGGATGTTGTGTAATTCTGCCTTCTTCATGAAGACTTTCATGTTCTCTTCATGCTTTCATTTCAGATTTTTTTCTTTCTTGATTTATTTTATTTAATGCACAGTAATGCTTAGAAATTTTGCTTACTGATTTCAAAATATTCATTTGATTATATTTTTGAACAATATATACAACATTTTCAATTTCAGGTCAAATGGACTCTCTCATTCTTGGAGTGAAAGGATTCCAGACACAAAACATATTTCAGACATCTGTGAAAATGGGCGACCTCGAAGTAACTCTTGGCAAGGTATAGAGTGGCATTGTGAATCCATCTGTCCACATAACCCAAATTCTGTATTTTGTGGTTCCTGGTTGTAAAGATTTGTTCTTTCCTGTAAGCTCCTTAGCTCTTCTCCAACAGAGAGAAGGGCATTTATTATGAGAGTCCAGTTCTTTTTTCTTGGATGGGTAATGATGAGATTCCATAGCAGTGTGCACTAGACACATTGAGAAGGCTGTGTAGTGCTAGAAAGCCCTGTGTTCTGGGGTGGTGCTGGTTGTGAATTACAGCCACTTGAAATACCGTGTAATTAAACACACGGCAAGTGTTTATTTACATTCAAATCTAGCTGTAAATCATCTTTTTCAGGTAACCTGGGAGGCAACAGAAAGAAAATCAGAGGCAAAAGATTTAGACCTCGGTCTAATTCAACTGAGTAAGTCTGAACCTCTAATGGAAAAAGGCATACCAAGGTCCTGTGCAATTAGTGTGAACATTAATTAACTAGATCATCAAAGAACTGTAAACCATGCCTCTGGTCTTGGTTCTGTCTTTTTAATTCCTTTTTTGCCGTTTTAAAATTAACCGTGGCTTTTCTCTTTTACATAGGCATCTCCGCAACTGTGCCCATACCAATATTCACTGATAGTGGGGGTCTCACCCTTGCTGCAGGCTTTTTCCTCCAGTAACCTGCCATTGTGGTGTCTTGGTTCTGTTTGAAGGGAATTTTGATAACATTCCTTTCTTCTCATCACCCGGGGTCCAGCCATTTCAGAGGGGTCACCCTTCCTCTCCCCAATATTCACACAGCCTCGAAGCATCAGGGAAAAATTCCCACCTTACTAGAGCATGATCTGCTCACAATATGAAACCACCGCTTGGAGGGCTTCATGGCTGCAATCTAACCATTCTCTCAGACTAATGGATAAGTTTCCCTTTTAAATTTTCCTTCTGAGGACATTTAAAAGGGCATGTACCTAAATTTGGTCTTTAACGGAATCATTGTCACTAAATGCAACACTATACGTTTCAGCTGATAGCCACTCTTTTTTTTAGTGGGGATGGGGTTGAAAGTTAAATTTAAAGTCATTTATAATGAGATAAACACCAGTCCCGTGGTGGACTAAAACACACCCTTGGTATCCTTCTGGACCTTGCTACCTGGTTTTAATTAACCATACTTTTTGACCCACCTAAAATTTATTTACTTATTTCTCACTGCAGCGCTAGTTATTATTCTCAGGATCTCTATTGCTTCTTCATGCCTTAATACTTAAAAAATCTGAAGAGCGGGTATTTGTTAACTGCTTGTCAGAAACTTATGTTAGCTTTTCCATCATATACCCTGCCTTTTTCAGTCCAGGACAATAACATTGCCCTGAAATTTGGACCTTCCTGCTGACGGTATTGTAAGTGGCTTGTCAAAGTTTTTACTAGAGGATACTTTACCTTAGAAACAATAGATAGGTTCAAGTGATAACATTGCATGGTCCAGAATGGCATCCTAGAACTCCATCATAAATAACTAACACGTTAGAGTTTATCTTATACATTCCCAAAGCGCTTGGATGCTTTAGGGTTCATTGTGGATAAACTCTTCTTGGAATGTTGTTTGATTTGTTTTGCATGAGGTCACCTGGTAAGAGCTCCTCAGCTTATCTTGGTTGCTCATAAGAGTGCAGATACAACTGCAAAATATTCTTTAGAACTTCCTTTCCGTACTGCTCAGTGTTCTGACAGTATTTCCTATAACAAGGCTTTGAAAACTCCCAAGTGAATAAAAAAAAATCCAACATTATATTAAAGCTATGATTTAGGACCCAAAGAATACTAGGTATTTAGCAAGATTTATACAATATTTTCTAGAGTAATCACTTATTTTTTAAAAATTTTCTGTAAAATTCCTACTTGTATCATGTGATAAATATTATGATACTACTGATAACCCTTGAAAAATCTTACCTGTGAGATGTTATAATATTTAATAAGACATTATAATGGAATCATCTTTATGAAGAAGTATTAAGGACTCCCTGAGACTTTTCAGACTTTTCAGATTTGGGTTACATGACTCATGTTACCTGATTGGAGCCAAATCTGTGAAGCTGACCAGTATTCTCACATACCTTATTGTACGGGCGCTATATATATATATATATAACACATATATATATATGTTTTTTTCCTTAAAACGATCCTAATACATACCATATAAAGAATTTATTGACAAGTTTTTTAAAATACTTTTCATATTTGTTAAATGACCCCATTTGCTTCTGATATAACAGTATCATTTGTGTGACTATAAGAGGAGCAGAATGACCATAGACAAACATATCTTTTTTAGTTTTTTAAATTAAGAGGTATTATCAGGTCCGTTATTTCAACATTCCCTTTAATATCTCATCATCCCAAAGGATGGTGAAACATCGGGACACAAATTAAAACATGTACCACCAATGAGTACTATGCTAATTAACAACATAAAATGTCCTTGTTCATTGTATTGTTTTTCCACTCAAAGATTTTGCTTCTTCCTCACTGTTGTACATGATGTAAAAAAAGTTTTTGGCTTAGACTTTGTATTATATATTGTGTTTTTACAGGAGGGAGCCCCAAGCACCTGAGCCTGGGCACTCCCTCGCCCAGACAGTCCCATCCCAAGGCATAAGCCCAGGGGGCTCTGACAGCCCCCAGACAGGGAGTCTGGATCACAGGTCAGTCTCCACCTGCCCCTTCATTCTGGGCTGCCACTTAATCTCCCTCCCAGTCCCTTCCTTGGCTGAGAACAGGGTCATTTGGTCTCTGACACCCCCAACGTCTGCTCAGAGGTGGTCCTGGTCCAGCCAGCACCAGCTGATTTTCCTCTGCCTTTCCATCCTGGAGAACACAAAGAGCTCTCCTATCCTGTCTATTGCATTTTTTTTGCATGTTGTGCTACAAGCCAAGTCAAGCCACCTAGGCAGGTTTAGAGCAGTTTGATAAAATCCCGTCACTCCAGCCACCACGACCTAGAGACATTAGGAAGTCCACTGTGAAGACATTTGCATGGGCTGGTCCCCAGAAGGAACAACAATTGAGAGCTCTCTTCAGTGACCTCTAGTGAAGTGATCACAGCCTTCTGAGATGCTCCCTGAGATGGAAAAAAATGTCCATCATGTGCAAGCCTAGCCATGTGGCTGCAGGTTTCATGGAACAGCCATGGCACCACTGTTTTGAGCTTCTAAGGTTGTCAGTGAAAGGCACATGTGCCTCCTCCTGGAAGTGGCTGACTGCCCGTGGGGACTCAGTTTGCTGTGTGGCAATGTTTCACCCGGTAACAGCTGCATGGGCTTTTTCAACAGTTTTCCTCAGGCCAGAGCATTCACTAGCCTTCATCTGTGGCTGTACTTGCTTTTTGACTTTTTCTTTTTGTTCAGAGTCTCAGTGGAAATCTTGATGCAAGTTTTAATTGGCTATCTCTGTGAAAAGCACAAGTTGGCAATGATTGTGGCTAAAGGCAAAACTAGTGTGAGTTGTTCCTGAGTTAGGGGACACTATCTTAGCAAAATGGTCTTATAAGCACAAAAAGCAACCAACCCCTTCTCTCAACAGGGAACTTCGTGACATTATTTTGTGCTGTACATTGGTCATAGCTAAAAACAAGAAAAAGGGCTATGGAAAAAGTACTCTAATTTTGTTTACATAACTGTGGAAATGTAGTCTTGATTTAAATGTATTTACTAACTAAAACTAAATTTGGAGGAATGGCTCAAACTTTAACCACAAGTGAATAGTGTATTTTATAATTTCCCTTGGCTTGTTTTCAAATAACTTTAAACGTTTTATAGAGCTTGGATCGTCATTGTCTATAGTATCTCTAGAAGTTACTTTTTAAATGAGAAAAGTCAATAAGACCTCCCAATTCTTCCAAGACTGAATTTGTTGAACCTATATTTATTTTACAAGGGCAAATTCTAAGGGGATAGATTTTTGCTTGGCTCCTGGGGTAAAAAATCAAAGGAAACTCTGAAAAAAAACCCCAAAAACTTGCACTCCCAATTTTACTACATTTTAAATTTTCCTTTGTGCAGTAATTCTGATGAGGACTTTGCCAGATCTTTCAGGGAAATGCTAACTAAGGTCATTATTATTCTCTGGTGGTCACTCACACGACTCATGATCAGATACTCAGAAGGTGACCTCTGAAGGCCGTTTCCTAATGGAAACACGAGCACTTTAGTCTGGAGTGCACAGAGAGGAGGAAGGAATATTACAACTGCACCTAAATTACTAAGCCCAGATCAAGATCACGGAGGCCTGTTTGGGTCACACTTAATGTGTGCTGGGGCTCCAGGATCAGAAGACTGGGACCTTTTCTGCTCCTTATAGTGCCAACTGGAGCACCATTCTTGTTAACTCCACCTTGGGATCTGCTAATGGGAATAAGACAAAGACCATGTAAAGTCCTTCCTTTCATATTGGAAAGAGAACTTTGCTCCTTTTAATTATTCTTGGGGTGTTATATGCCCAAACACCAGGTTGGAGTTGCAGCCATCTGAATATTCTCAAAAAGCGCCATTATCATTTGAAAACCAAGGAGCCTAATGAGAAGTGGCCTGGAAAAAGCCACTTTGGAGGTGGGTGAATGGGATTGCTGACAGTACTATGATTGAAAGAGAGCTTCTAATTCACTTGGGAAACCACTGGACAGGCTTTCCCTGAAATGTTGAATATGTTCTAAAATGCCTTGAGCCTTGTTGTAGCTGAGTTTATTCTCATGTCATTGTACAGACTGCCTCATAATCACCCAACATCCATCCTGGTTTATTTGCCATAGTCACTTGCATTTGGAGGGTGAAGAACATCCTTGCTAAGCTTGTGCTGTGTATTTTCAGATTTTCTATCTTGTTCTGCTTTCTTTGTTCCTTCCATTGCTTTCTGCAGGTATTTAAACCCATGGTTCAAAAGAGACTATAATGTAGCTAAGTGGGTAGAAGATGTGAATAAAAACACTGAAGGACCATACTTTAGGTATTTTATAAATTAATTTTATATCCTTTTCAAACTCTCCCAGCACATACAAATATTGTAGCGTGACTGGCTCTCTATCTTGTATCTCCCAATACAAGTTCCCATAGGTGGAAAAGGATCTTTGTTTATTTGCTGCCTTTTGATCCCTGTTTTTGCTTCGAGAGCAAGTCTAGTTCTTTTCTGAATGTTTCAAATGAAGCCATTTGAAAAGGTTGTCATTTAGTGCATGTCCCTATCACCATCTTGAGCTTTTTAGTAGCTTCTCTTCATTTTATGCTGTGTAGTGTTCCATGGGCATGAAACATACTTCCCACTAATAAAGAAGCACTATTAACCTGAATAATTTAATTTCTAGAATTTAGTGGTGTCATGGTGCATTTTTCCTACTTCCTGCCTTTAAGAGTGTATAATGCATACGAAAACTCAAGGAAAAACATGGAAAGAAACTAAGTGAAATATAGTGAAATTTTACTTCTGGTAAAAACTAAAGATTTAATGTAACTTCAAAATTATTGAGAGACTGTTGACCACTTGAGAGTGTATGGGATGAGTTTAGGTTTTGTTTGCTCAGTACAACCATGTGCTACCAGAGAAGGGCTCTGTTGAGAAGTGTTTTACAGATGCTCAACAAAGCATCTGAGGGATCTTTTTATCCCAGTAAGAATGTCATTGTCTAACACTTCACATAGAACAGGAAGCAGATCAGAAACATGTTCTTGGTTCACAAACAGCAGACAGGGTATCCCTACATTTTAGAAACTAGGACATTTACTCAATTAACTGCAGCTCAGAGTAACATTAGAGGTCAGAGAGAATTTGCAAGAGCTCTTAATGGCATTTTTTCACTCTTTATAATATCAAAATGATTTCCTAGAAGTACTTTATATCTGAAGTCCATTTTATATCTGACTACTTTGTGGCCAACTAATGTAAAGAAGAAATATAGATTCAATTACTACCTCTCCCGAACATTATTTAACAGTAAGCTTTCAGATTACTCATTGCCATGACTTGAGTCAGCATTTAACAGTTATCAAAATATGTATGTGTATTTAACTCTCAGCACCCATATAAGGTGGACTTTCTCTTCCAGTGTACCATTTAGTTTAGACATGTATAGTTTGAGAAAATGATTAGACCTACCTGCATTTTAATTTGATCCATACATTTGCATATATCCCAAGGAAAGCATAACCCTGCCTGCTCACAAAAAATATACCCTGCTTTTATACCTCATATTTCCCTCCTTCTCTGTCCTTCTGCTTATACCATTTTCCCACTGAACCTCATACACATACACTCACATTCAAACATCCCACCCTCACCTATAGCTCCCAAGATGGCCAACGTCAGGAAGACAGGTAAGATGATTTTGAATGTTGTTTGGAATCTTGGCTCACCTGCAGTCCTATTTCTCCTTCTATTTTCCTCAGGCTTGTGGGCAGATTGTAATTTGTATCAGCCATGGAATCAAAACAGGATGACTTTAGTCCCATATGGGCTAGGGCTTTTTATACCTAAATGGAGTTAGCATTTTTGCAGCAATAATTTGCGAAATGGTACCCCGGAAGAGTTGATTCACCTCCCCTGGGTGAGCTGAGTAGTTTATGTGGCTCCCAGAGAAGAGTTCACGTTTCTTAAAATCAGCACCCAGGTCTGCCCAGAAGCTGCATGACTAAACGCAATTTGGATGGGGAAATGCTTTGGCACCCCCGGTTGCACGTGCAAAGCTGCAAGGGCAATTTTTGAGGGTTCCTTTGTCTCCTCTTTTAATATGAGATGTTGCTTCCTGCAGTGGTTAGTCACATTAAGAATTAATTATTAAAAATTCCTGTTTGTGTTTAAAGGCTAGATATAATTCAGTGGAGGGTTATAATTAACTGTCATTTTTGGGTTAATAAGGACTATACTAGTAAAACATGAAAATCAACACTAAATTTCTGTGGAAGAGGTGAATAATTGAGATACCCCAGGGCTTTTAACACAATGATTTTAATGCAACAGAGAGAATTTCATCCATTCTCCTTCCAAGCCAAGCCTCATATAGGAGCCCAGAGTGCATCCACACCTTACCTTATGCTTTGCCAATCCTATGCTTAAGCTCAGGTCTTCTTCATCTGCCGCCAGGTCATTCAGGATTACCTCTCCTGCCAAAACCACCAATGAGGGCAAAGGCTACTTTATTAATTATCCATGTGGTGTGGGGTGTGTGGCATCCTTATTAAAATGCAATGGGGTCTTTGTGACTGTGGCAAACTGGTCCAAAATACAGCATTTAAAATATAGTATCCACATCACTACAAAGAGAAAAACAAATGCCAAAAGATCTTGAGTGGTCAGAGTGCCTCAGCTCTGCTCCCTTACCCAGTTCTTATATGACAGTGTCTGCTCACCTGGTTGCCAGCATGTCTTCAGGTCATCTAGAAGGTGCAGGTGACATCAGGGAAAGAGCATTATCTCCCCACACCTAGGTCCTGGGGCAGTTCTGTTGGTGACAGTGCTTTCCGTACTCTTAGAAGGTATCCCTACTCTTGGGTATTATCCAGTTGTTTACTCACTTCATTAGTGGTTTTTGAGTCCACTTCCATGATCTTATGGAAAATGCAATAACTCTGAAAAGAAACTAATAATAATAACTCGTGTTGAGTGCCTATTATGTACCTTTATTTCTCACAATATCGTGAGATGTAGGCATTCTTATTCCTTTTCTATGGATGGAGGAAACTGAGGCACAAAGAATAACTCAAGATAGCACAGCTAGTTAAGTGTCAGAACCAGAATTAAGAGCCAGGCTCTTTCTGACTCCAAAATCTGTTCCCTTTCCATTTCACTGTAATTAAAGTAGCAGGGTGGATATTGACCATTGAAATCCTATCCTAGGATACTTTATAAATCCTTCTAGATTAGTCTACTATAAAATTTGCTTATGAACACAGTCCAGTGAATGAGGGTGGACCTGTGTCCCTCATGTGTGACTGGCCTGGTTTTAGTCAGTTCTAGGGGGCAGAGCTGAACTGAGATTGGCCTTACAGACAGGTGTACAAAAAGCAAGCCCAGAAAGTCTCATGTAACCCCAAGATACACCACAATCCATTGCCACACAGACTTCCTTGTGTAATTCTAAATGGCATCTACTATGGTTATTATAGTTTTGAAAAATGCAGTAATGATAATGGTTAACGTTTGTCCAAAGATACTTTGTAAGTGAATGAGCTGGGCCAGTGCCTGGTTTTCAGTGAAAGCCAGACTGGAACCACCAGGCAAGTAGCCAGGGTCAGAAAAGAGCTTGGAGGTGGTTTTGGAGAAATGTCTTTCTTAGACATTTGTGAGAAATTTTGAGTGTGTTTTTATTTTTCCTAAGCTGATTTACCCTGCCTTGTTCCCTAATGTTATTTTGACTCCTGCTCTGGAGCTCTCCATATCCCCAAGATAGTCCCCTTTATGCTGTTACACACCACCCAACCTCCAGGACCCAATGCCCCTCACCCGTACTAAAACTGTCCTGCTTGGCTTTTCTTTCCCCTCAGGGTCCAAAGTGTCAGTTAGCTAGTGTGTTTATGTGAGAAGTAGTATATGTGCGATTTCTTTGGGGTTCTGGAGAATACCTCCTGTTTTTGTTTTAACACATTATTGGTTTGGCCCTGGAAGGATATTAGAAGGCAATACTCAACTTTCGGCACCTCTCATTGGAATGGCCTTGTTTGTGTACAAAGCTGGTCTTTTGGACCCACTGCCAAGTGAACGGCTGGCATGACTTTGAAGCTATAAGCTAAGAGCTCATGCTATGGACACACACACTGTAGCAAATTAAAAAGAGGACTCGTTTTGCATGATCCCCTAAAGTAAACAAAATGTATGTATTTGTTTGTGTACCTGACTAACTTTCCTGAATTTGGATATCTTATCAGTAGCGATTAGGCTAAAAACCCAAAGCCTGGTTAATATCCCTTGTTTTATATAGCTGTATCTTAATATCTAAATACAAAAGTTTGTCCTCATTCTACACATACTGAATTTGGTTCCTGAAGATCTTAGTCCTATTTGAAATGTTTTCCTAAGATTAAAAAAAATCATTAACTTCTGAATTAGAAAAATATGCAGTAGTACATTACTTTAATAGTACTTTAGATGATTTGAAGTACTGATATTCTTAGTTCCACCCGTGTGTTCTGCAGTAGAGAGCATTAACACAAGAGGAGTCAGACAGCCACAATATTCTAACAGTTCACACTAAGGAATGGTAGTGGACATTTTCCAAAAATAGAGGAAACGTTAGGAATTACAGATTAAAAGTAAACTGAATCACCCTTGATTCTTAAAATTGAGCAAGAATTGTTCACTTGGATCTTAGGGTTTGTAGAAAAACTATTTTCAAACCTTAATTGGAATTCAACGTCCATAAAATAGAAATGGATTTGAAAGGAGGGGCTTCCTAGTAAACTAAGTCCTGACGTTCTAACGTGGCAGTGTAACCAGCTCAGTGATGTGGGTCATTACCACCTTGCACCAGGATTTGAGGAGTCGTGGATGTGTAGTGATATCATTTGTGAATGGATAGCTACTGCCAAATTATCACATCTGTTTTCCACTGATGTAGTGTAAGTGGACACTTTTCACTCTCAGCTGTTTTTTTTTTTTTCACTTTAAAGACAAGGTAGCAGATATGGGCTCTTCCAGTGTACTCAGCTTAATCATAAATATTACCAGTGCACGTGCAGAATCAAACAAGAACAACATAATACACCAGGAGCTTCTGTAGATCTTTTGTATGGACTATCTCCATGATGAAGAGAACACGTTATCCAAATAGAAAGGGTTTTTATGTTTTGGTTTTAGTTTTATTAAGATTCCAGTCAATAAAGTGTAGCCACCTTATTGACATGATATGTGTACCCAACGTGGGTTATGAGGACCTACTTCTATGGCTTAGAATCCTCCCCTGTACAGAAATGCTGATGATAGGGACTAATCAGACCATTTTTGTATGTTCTCATCAGACTCTTTGTTTGGCTGGAACTCTGCACTCCTTACTGCTTGCATGTTTACTAATTTATTATTAAAACCCCTGTATTTGCCTTTGTTCTTTCACAACTAACACACTGGCCTCTGAATGCATGAGTTTTGTGTGAACTGGTGTGTGAATTAGCAACTAATAAATATGTCAATTGTATATATTTTCAGATCTTAAAAATATAATTGGAATTACTGTACTAAAACCATTTTTTACATTGTGGTAAAAATAAGGCAGACTATTAATATGTTGTACACTTAATTCACCATTGTGAGTTCTTAGAATAATTTTATCCCTTCTCCATTTTAGCCTTTTAGCTATTCTATAGGAAACTTCATTATTGGCTTTCTAGTTGAAAAGTATGATTCTCTGTACGAACATTATAAACAATCCTTGCCGTTATGAAATTAGGAAGATAAAATTCCAGCATTCCAGTGTTGTGAGTGACAGAATATCTCCCAGTAGTCAAAACCTTTGCAGTAGTGGCCTATGAAAGTAGAAATCAGAGGGTTTGTTCTGAACCCACTCTTCAGATATTTGAAAAAGATATGAGGTCATCACATCATATTTATTTCCTGTGTTTCAACGTCTCAGGACCTTATCTCCTGCCAAGTCTCCTTCTTCATCAACTGGGTCTATTGCCTCCAGCAGGAAGTACCCCTACCCAATGCCCCCACTTCCCGACGAGGAGAAGAGAGTGAACCGACAAAGTGCCAGGGTATGTGGAAACTTCCTCGGTGTGCCAACATCCCCAGTCATTATCGTTCATCTCTGAGTTCATGTTTTAAAAGAGAGAGACCTTTTTCCTTCTTTGTTCACAAGAAAATGAAAAAATTAAATTTGAAAAATTGAAGATTCTTGGGGCTTTGGGGCTCAGATTTTTATTTGGAAATTAGGTTGATTACTGCATTGATAATTTCTAGGAATATTTGGGATCTATTAACCATTCATTGCTGTATATTTATATCTTTTATTATGCATGGTAGCTAATATATTACAACTGGAAAAGACAGAGAATGTGCTTCGCTTTATCAGTGTATTAATATACCTGGAAATGCCAGAGATTAAGTAAACTAGTCTCATTTTCATGCCCAGTTTGCTTACTTGGACCGTTCACTGGCTAATAACACCCAAGAGGATTTTAGAAATAGGAACTGGCGACAGAAAATCAGATCAATGTCTTGGAGATGGGAGTGGAATTTGGATACAAGGAAAGGAGACTTGCAAATCTGTAATATTAAAAGAGTATGGCAAAGGGTACGGTGAAATTTAGCAACTTTTTATATTTAAAAAAAGCCAGATTTAAAAACATATGTGAAATTGATTGTTTTTATAAAAATATGATTCGCCAGAAGTTTCATTTAAATACTAAGTCCTCTTTTACATTTTAATCATGATTCTACTCAGTCTTACAGCATTCCCGGAACACATCCATTATGTGAAATTTGAGATATAGTTGAGTTTAGGGAGGCAGACCAGCCCTCAGAAGCTTAAGTAAAAGATATAACTAAAGAATAATTACTTTTATTGATGTCCAGGCTCTGTTGTGGTCAGTTACACTATAATGATGATCTTCTCAGAAATGATTTTGCAAAGAAGTAAAATGAAGCTTTAAAAGCCTGGGCAGATTTATCTGCTGGTGCATCCTGGGTTCCTAGGCTTTTGGGTTTGAATGATTTTTCAGAACCTCTTTGATCTTGAACTTAAATTATGGGTTTCAAGGTAAACACCGATTATTCAAATTTTAACTCAATCAACTCAGAGTCAGTAAGAAAACACAATTCATTAGAAGCTGATTAGATCACTATAATCAGAAAGACTTTAAAAACAATCAGTGGTGTTTTGTTAATCATACAAAAAATTACCTTGATATGTTAATATGGGAGATGGTAAAAGATGGAAAGGAAGAAAACTCAGATCCTCAGCCCTCAGCTTTCTGGCCTTAAAAAAAACACTTGTTAATAGGCATCCAGTTGTTCATGATATGGGTATGTGGTAATGAGATCTAAGACTGATGCCATTCCTCCCCTCCCCAGGGAATTGTTGAAGGATAGTACCCCACTTTTTCCCCCCGAAAATTGTCTACATTGCTGTTTTGCTCTGTCTAGTTGGAGACATTCCACTGTTGTCATGCCAGGGTACAGATTATTGGCGATGTTCCCACATGAGAGCCCATGAAAATGACACCTCCCCAGAAGAAATGGCTGGCCCTTGGCCCCTTCCCTGGGCTGAGTAGGGTGACGATGAAGACTGAAGTTTCTGGGATAGTTGTGTGAGAGGTCTGATTGGTTCTGTCCACTGTAGAACATCCCTGTGAGCGTGTGGTAGAATCCTGCAGAATAGGCAGCCCCTGTCTCTGGGCTGTCTTTGTAGGCTTTGGAAAATCGAATAAGTAGATCTTTCTATCAGTGACCTCTCTGTTACAGCCACCCAGGCATGGCCAAGGTCATGCCTATTCCTAAAAGTGATGGCGTGCCAGCTCTTTTCTCCTTTTTGCTCAGTGGGATAATTGTGACCTTCAGGTTTTCTCAGTGTCATTCGTTTGTTCTTCCTTTCTTTCTGCAAGTTGTCACTTATTATTTAATCTTCATAACCATTTGTGAGGAAACTGGGCTCACTGAAGCTGAAGTCTGAACTGTTTAATACGCCATACCATCATGTGAGCATCAGTCCAGATCTTCTTTCCCTCAGACACTCTGCAAGCCCTGTTTTTAACTGTTCGTTTTCACTTGTCTCTACAACAGGTGTCATCCACACACACAGATCCTCACAGTTGAGAGATCTGATTTCCAAAGGGTGAGAAGATGGGTGTCTCTTTTAGTGAAAAGGACATATAAAGCAGACCTAAGTTAGATAACGCAGGCGGCTTTACCACAATCCTTGTGGAGTAACCAACAGGGCATTCAGAACAAGATTTCTATTCAAGAGGACATATTAAGGAAACCTATATAGAAACACCCACTTAATCAGTTAGCTATTTCTCCTTTTTCGTTCCCTGAAACTCATTAGGTATACAGTGACATGGCCCAGATTTCCAATAAAAATGGAATTTGGATGGAAATTGGATGCAACCTAAGTCACACTGTCTTAGGGTTTCTTTGTTTCATTTATAATAATGATGATACCCAAATCATATCGCCTGGAAACATATTTTATCAGCTTGATCTCTTTTCTGTTTTGCTTTTATTTTTAACTGGCCTTCCTTCTCTGGTGAACTGAGTTGCATTCATATTTGATCATGCCAAAGTAGTTTTCAGTTCATCAAGGCAATTACCAAACATTGTAGAAATTAGATATGAACAGGGCCAGTAAAAAGAACTGGTGGCAGAGGCAAGGAGAGGGAACACCGGAATTGACATCCTGCGCTGGATGCATCGTTCTACTCTGATATGTCAGCTCCTGAAAGAGGACAATTTTCTAGGAGGTAGTGATGGAATTGGAGAGTGGTTAGCCTGGTCATAGGCCCAGGGCAGATTTTTAAGTGGGTGATGGTGGTATTGGTGGAATCACACTTCCCTAAGGTCAGTAATTCTAAGTGTTGGCTGTACGTGGGAATTGTCTGAAGGGTTTTTAAAATATACTGATGCCTGAGTGCCACCCAGAGAGGTGTTGATTTAGTTGGTCTGGTGTGCTCCCTAGGCAGTGGGACTTTTAAAATATCCCAAGATCATTGAAAAATGCAGCTGGGTTGAGAACCACTGCTCTAGCTGGCTGTATGAGAATCCATGAGAATGTATGTGTAGTTTAAAAAAATAACATTTAAATTATTTTATTTCATTTGAGACACAGTATTTAATTTATTCAAAATTTCAAGTAACATTAAATGAGGATTTGCGGGTTTTTTGTACTAAAAGGTGGCACTTGTTAAAAAGGTTGAGATAGAAGTTTAAAGGAAAGAGAGAACTAAAAAAAAATTAGAGTGTTTGTTTTATCCATTCGTTTGGCTTCACAAGAGCATGTATCCACAATCACCTAAGTATGGATGGAATCACCAATCATTTTTATGTTCATAGCTCAGAATACATCTGACTCCTGCTTTCACAATGTCCAATTTTGCCTTTCTCTGTTGTGCAGCTATGGGAGACATCCATTTAAGATCAACTGTTTACATGTGATACACCGAAACTGTTTACTTCAACTTTTATAGAAACCCAGCCTCATGGAATCACTGCAAATCTATCTGCTCTTCAGACCATACGAGGATCCTCTGAGATGCCATAGAGGAGAGGAAGCTGTGTCTCACATCTGGATACCATTTTCTTTTTGTCATTGGCTTAGGATTTAACTGAACCATGAAAAGAACTGCTGAAATGTTACAATATAACATGGAACCATAAAGGTACTGGTATGTTAATGGATAATCTGCATGACAGATATATGTAGAAATATTACTAAATTAACTCACGTGACCCAAATGTAGCAAGTTTCCTAAGGGACAACAGTGTATTCAGAACTTGACATTCTGAAGCACATCCTCATGATAGACAGTAATGCTTTGTGCTTGAAGCTTCTCTTTGTTATTTTCCACATTTAAGGAAACAACATCCCATAATAGAAACTAGCATGCAGGGCTAAGGCATATAAGATTTTTCTGCAGGACTTTAAAGCTTTGAGAGGGCAATATCCCATATGCTAACTTTAAACATGTATTTTTATTTTCATTTTGTTTTTTACTTTTCATATTTATATCAGCATACAAGGACAATTGTACATATGTAAACATTTTTAAAATAAAAAAAAGCAGCTGTTACACACAAGTGTATTTTGCCAAACGCCTAAGAAGAATCAGTCACAATCACATCATTGTCATCCATCAAATGGTCTTTAAAAATTATAAGCAGATGATGTTGTAAATATAGTGGTCAATGCTGTAAATGTGTCTCTCTGTAATTGGTATTTGTCCAGAACATGTGCTATCCCTTTAAACTTTACATGGTCTGGAGGCAGTTTTATTGAGTAATTAATTGAGCAGGAGAACAAAATGCCCAGCAAAACTTCTGGGCTTTACAGCTCACAGGGGGAGGTGTCCAGTAGTGCAGCTGTTGTCCCGCCTGCCTCCAGGCACTCTGCTGCTGAGGGGCTGCTCCCTGGGAATCCTCCAGCCTGTCCGTTTTCCTTCTGGGGGCTACAGTGCCTGCCTCAGCAGCTGTTACCTTTCAGTACCAGAGCACATCTGCAAGTCTAAGGCCTGTGAGCCCCACAGCAGTATGTCCTGCTGAGATCAAGCAAGTGCACCAAAGACACATGAGACCAGGGGCTGCTGATGCGTTGGCAGCTTTCAACTTGCCAATATGCTAACCCTTTGTGGCCTAAAAGTTTGTTCTTTAACAAAACTTTTTAGTCACCTTTATCTGTGAAATGAGTGACTTGTTTTAATAAAAACAACTTTTACACTGTTTATTAAGGATATTTATCATCAGTGGGATGCGAGTCCCACCAGGTCATTCTGCACTGACTTGGAAGCAAGATGATGGAAGGGTCTACCAGCTGGGCTGGGAAGCCTCAACAGGCCACAAAGGGTTAAAAGAAGCCTAAAGCCACACATGTGCAGATACTGTGAAGTTATTCAAACAGCTGGCAAGGGAAGGAATCTGATGTTTTGAACTCTCTATTTTTTTAATCCATAGGAAAGTGAGAAATCTATGTTAATGCCCCTTCTTTAAAACCAAAGTTTGATAGCTGTCATAATGAAGCTCTGTCATTCTGAAAGAAAGCTTCCCTAAGGAGGCTACCCTAGTGAGCTCAGAAGTTGATTGGATCCATCAAATACTTTGATGTGAAGAGTGCTTCTGAATTTCGTCATCTCCTCTCCTTTTTCTTGAGAGAAATGGAATCTGCTGACAAAATTTCAGAAATATCCCCTAAATTTGATCTCTCTCTGTAATGTCCATGGACAAATCCATTCATCTCCACGTGTAATCACCTTGGATGCCCCAACTGAAGGGCTGAGGTAGAAGGCAGTGTTTTATGCTCTATGTGTTTATGTCTTCTCTGATGGACCTCTCTTCTGAAAGCCTTTGAAAATGTTTGAAAAGCGTTTTAATCATCCAAAACAATAAAGTGTAAACAGCATTTTCATGATAGGAACGGATGTGATTGTCGATACTACAATAAAATGATCCATCAGGCTGAGATTTGGACGAGTGTTGGGTGATGTTGCCACATAGCTCAAGACGAGGACAGGAGAGCAGACAGATTTAAAGATGTAGCAAATAAAGTGGCTTTTGACCCAAGATTGCTTTAATGTGCACTGAACGTTTTCTAGTGTTGAATGTGTAAATACTAATGTTATAAGGTTTAGTTTGACTATAAAAGAGTTTATAGATTTGAATGTAAGGTGCCTCGTGTAAATATGCTTCATAGTTACAGTTCCACAAGCCCTAGTTTGAAGGAATCCATTTGGTTAGCTACGCAGTCAACAGCTCTCCTCACCCCTCTCTCTGTTTCCTCACCTTCTCAATTATTTTTACATGAAAATTGCTATTCCAAGTAAAAATCATTAATCTGTGCCTTTGGGAGACGTGGTTGCTCTAGAGGTATATAGTTTATAGTCATCCTCCTTAGTAATAACCTTCACATGGAACTGAAAAAAAAGTGTTTTATTTGCAGAGAGACTGATTTTATAGTAGCTTTAATCTTCAGTTCTGGGCATCTGCTCTATCAAAGAATGTTTAAACAGTCTTACAGCCATTTGCAAAATTCTTTGACAAGTTTATAATCTCCATGGATAGTTTCAAGAAGTACCTATATGTACATTTATGGTTAGTGTTCTAGATGTATTAAATCCAAACATTTATGACTGTCCATCCACTGAAGCAGGGAGAATGGACCCATGGCACTAAAACAAGCACAGCATTATTTTTTTTTTTACTATCTATTTTGTAGAGGAAGTTTGAGGCCACATAGCAGTATGTATCATGCAACAAATACTGGTATCCCCCAGTCAACTATAGGACTATTCTACTAAGCAGAGAAGAGCAGTTTTTTGGCCTTTCTGTTCCATTGTATGCCTTTTTCCTCTCTTTCTAAAGTTTTGTGCATAGATACGACTTCAGATTGACAACCTGCTGCCTGAGATGTTCCATTTATCCATAGTCATTACAGTGTAGTGAACCCTGATTTAAAGAAACATTTAAATCTCTCCACTGAGTGTCAGCAAGAAAGCTGTGGGGTAGCAGGGAGCCCTGAAGGAGCTGACTGGCACACTGACTGCTCTCTGTGTCCAGCCACGCTGTCTTCAGACAGGAAGTGGCATCCTCCTCTGGAGTCTCCCAGCTAGAAAGTGATCCCCAAGTCACATCCATCCTGTGGAAACGAACAAACTTCTCAAACAGTGGAGCATAATGAGGGCTTTCAATTTGCTGGAATTGCTGTGTTTTTTAAAGAAACCCAGTGCTGTTCCTTAAAAAGATGTTAATTAGTAAAGTAAACACCAGGTTAAAATGCCAAACATGTTTTTCCATTTGATTTAGGTGCTTTATTAAGTGACACTACATTATTTAAGAGTCTCTCTCCCTCTCTTTTTCCCCCTTGCTATAAAAAGGCTTTTAAAATTGCTTTTTACATAAGGTCAGTCGAGCATAGATTTCTGAACATAAGATTGATAGGTTTCTAAAAGAAGTTGCTGGAAAGATAAAATTAGATATTCTTTGCACTTCCAGAAAGGGAAGTCATTTTCCGTCTCATTTTTTTCTCTTGATTTCCTTGCAGATTTGCATAATTTAGTCTTGTCCATTGTCCCAGATCTCTTGTGGCCATTTCACCTTTTACCTTTTTAGATTTTGTTGTTCTTTTTTTTTTTTTTTGAGGAAGATTAGCCCTGAGCTAACATCTGTGCCCATCTTCCTCTGTTTTATTGGTGGGACACCTGCCAGAGCATGGCTTGATAAGCAGTGCATAGGTCTGCGCCTGGGATCCAAACCAGTGAACCCAGGGCCACAGAAGCAGACTGGGTGAACTTAACCACTACACCACCAGGCCAGCCCTTGTTCTTTACTTTTTATAGTTACCTACAGGCCAGACGAAATATGGTATTTCTATTCACTTCTTTCAGTGTTTCAAAATCAAATTATTTATTTCATCCATTCTTCATTTCCTGTTGTCATGTAGTTCTGTTTTAACTTATATATTTAGTGCTTTAAATATTTCCTTGTGTTAATCAACATGATAATAAATCCTTACCTAAAGAGAAGCCGATTCTACTTTATTTTACCTAAAGGAAAGAGAGTTCATGGGGAGGATATTGAGCAGCTTGCAGAGTATATGGGAAAGGGAGAGCAAAGTGTAGCCCTGAATGGAGGAGTGAAGGAGCAAAGGGAGGGAAGACACCTGCTGCCCCGGCCTGGTTAGGACACCACTGCTGGCTGCTGCCGTGGATGCCCTGTAGGCAGTGTATTTTAAATGCCATCCTACCAGTGGGCATGAATTTTGCTTGAAATGTTCTGACTCCCATTTGCAGCATAATGTCTCTACTTTTTACACTCCTGGAGATCTCTTTCCTTTCACTTATGTGTTTTCCTCTAAAACTGCCACCCCAATACGTTTTTTCTTACACGGAGTGAACATGAATTTCTCATTCTCATCCTACTAGTTTAAAATATACAAGCAGCAAACATTTCTACGTAATAAAACTAAATTTGGGGCTTAAACTTTCTATTTTTCCCTGAGATATTTTCTGAGTGGATAAGATGACACTGATTTTGGATGAGCAATGTTCCTCTGACATGGAAGAGCTAAGTAAGGGCCTTCCCAAACAGCTTACCTTGTTTACTGGATTGTGAGGTGCCCAGCCCGCTCGTGTGAAAATTGGCTGACACGTAACAGAGCCCATCTGGTGGGGTGGGTGGCGGGGTGTGTGTGGGTGTGTGCGTGTGTGCTGGGAACCGTTGGCGCATGCTCGTAGCATATGCTCCGTGGGCAGGTGTTTTTAATTCCAAGAGGAGCTTTTCCCCCACACCAACAGATGCAGAGCAAACAAAGGCAGCAGGACCTTAGCAATCAGGGGATGATATTTCTGTTCACATTTTATTCATTGCTTGTCAGAGTCCCCAGAATGGAGCATCTTCTGGTTCAGTTTATAAGTAGAAAAACAACACAAAAACCCACCTAGTATTTTTGTCCTTTATACCCAGAGCCTGACAACAATAAGCATCCTCACTATGGGGTGTGAGAGATGCTTCCAGACCCTTCCTACTTCTGAAGTCGCTCCCTTCAGTAGTTGTCAGCCATTTTCTCCTGACTAGGAACTTTCATTGGTCGTGGAGGTAAGTCCCTTTTTTGCCTAAATTGGCACTTGGGAGAACCAGAGTGGTGCAGAATACGGGGAGAGAGACCTCTTTAGTCTCGGCCATTGGCACCTGGGCATGGATTGTGCAAGTTTGGAAGCGACTGAGAGATTGGTCCTCAGGGTATGTTTCAGGATGGAGGGAGATAAGCAGTGAGCTTTGGGAGGTCATGGGGCATTTAGTCCTGGCATAGGAGCAGAATGGAGATCCCCACAAAGACCTCATAAGCCAAGCGTGCACAAGACGGCCGCTGGGGGGTGCGGTGGGGAGAGAGGTGCTGAGTCCCAACGACAGATCTGTGTGCTTTGCAGTGTTACTGAGTTGACTGTATAAATGCTTCATGGTCTAGTCCGTGATGGGCCAGTCACTCCTGCCTGGTGTGTCCCCATTGCATTGTTCATTGAACCTGTATCATACCTGGAGGTGCTTCAAGACTGGCAGTTTGCTCAACGGCATCAGCATCTCAGGTTTTTAGGTATCCTTGAAATCAAAACCAGGGAACGTTTTTTTTTGTTTTTTTTTTTTTACAAAAAGGCATACAATGAGACTAGCAATCTTAAGATAATGTGCTTACAAAATCAAATAGTTTTCAAAGAGTTTATGGAAAAAAGTTCAAAAATGTATATATACATATAATACTAATCTACATTTACTCTGGGGCTTAGCTTTTTATGCTTATGAAAGTTTCAGATGTGGATTTGTGTTTTGATGGTCAAGCTCTAAAATAATGGAAATAGCCCCCAAATCTTTAAACACAGCGGTGCTAAGTTATACCAGATAACACAATATAGAAAGTGCTGATATGAATTAATGTTTATTCAGTAATAATACAAGAGTTCTTGCTTAATTATACATGTGTATCACTGCCCGGTTAGAAACCCCACTTTTCTTTTCTAATCCAGCACAAAATCAAACTGTGATTTTAACAGCCAGTCTTTTAATAGGTAAAAATGACCCAATACCTTTGTTTTGTATGGAAAACTTTTTTTTTTTTTACACTAGCTTGAAAAGTGCTTAACAGGTTTATTCAGGATAACTAAGCATGTACTCCTTTTTTCACTTGCTGGAAGAGACTTGCCCCTCCAATCTAGCATCCCAGAAACACACCTTCTTTTAGAAACTAAACCTAGTGGTTTCTGTTAGCCAGTGTAGGTCTGCACTAGTGTTGTCCACACATATCTTCTTTGAGGGGTGATGTCGCAACTGCATACAGATCGTGGAGCCACTTCGTGGGAAGTCTTAGCAGCACGGTTTCACTTTTGGTAACCAGATAATCATGTGTATATACTTAGATTGGCTTCATTTTAACGTTATAGTCTCTCTGCTACTCCACACTTCAGGTTCTTAAGCTATTTAAAAAATTACTGGGTTTTGGTAAAAAACAACCAAAATGCATATGGCAACTGCATTTCTGAGCAAGCGTGATTTGTTTTATGGCTGTTCAAGTTATAAAGTTGTTCTTATATTGTAGGTAAACAAAATCTTGCACTTTTTAAAGGTCACTGTAACTTAAGGTCAAATTTCTGGCACAATTTTATTAGTCTTTACTTTGGAAGCTAATAAGATACCACGGTTTTCTATGTTACTCGCATTGTAACATCATAAAGTGACTTTCAATAAAAGATTTATGCTATTTTGATGCATGACTCTCATTAATCCTATTTTTCTCCTAGCCACCGTTTCTGTTTATGGAGGTACTGTTAGGGAGTTGTTTCTTTTCTGTTCCATGCTCTCCTAAGAAGGGACTATCAGCCTGATGAGCAATACAATGATCCTTTCGTAAAGCCTGCTCACTCGCTTGGTTGGACAGTTTCCTCAGCCAGGTGGCAGACAGAGCCTCCTCTTAATCCACGTGCCTCGCCTCATGAACACTTTCTCCCTGACGCTATCAAGGATCCGTTTCCCATATCCTGTCCTGTGGCCAGGGCAGTGGTGCTTCCTTAATAAGCTCACCTGTGTCAGACTCTAAAGTATGGGTTCATGAACTCACAGCCTAAAAAACTGTTCCCCTGGCTGTTTGTTTGATCGTTTCCCCAAGAGCCATCTCTCCCACCAGTCTATCCTGGCAATTGCAACTTCCTTGCCTCCAGCTCAGTCTGCTGAGAAAAAAAGTAGTTATCAGTAGCCAAGGTACTATTTTAATGTGAGAAAAACAGAAGTCATTGACTAAGGGTTTGTACATTTATTATGAGGTTAAAAAAATTTATGGTGACTACATATAGCTGCATTTCTTGTACTTATGATATTTTAGGCATCTACTAAGTCATTAAGATGAACCCTGAAACAGTAATACACTCAGCTGAGCAACAGGAAAGTCTGGTTCAGAGACAGGAGAAGTTGTAGGTCACATGCCATCTCATCGACTAACAGTACCACCTGGAACATCATGCCAGCTGGAGTCTAAACTCCACGTCAGCCCACTAGGAGTGAGAGCTGTGATTCGTTCAACACCACTGCTGGGGCTGCTGGGGTGCAAACCTACGCCACTGTCCCCAGGGAAGCACCAGGCCTCCTGCAGCCATGTCCTGTGGAAGGGTTGAAAAGGGTTATAAGTTCTTTATAAATCATGAATCTCTTGAAGCACACAACTCCAAAACTAAATCCTGAGTTGGGATGATTTGAGGAACTTAATCAATTCTCCAAATAACTGAAGTGTTCAAGTTTGTGCTCACGGCCTTACCATTTTCCAGCCAGATGCTTTAAGAAAAACAGACCAAGCAACAGTTTTAAAGGAGTGAGGCTGCATTGGAAGTACATAACGAATGACAGAACCCAACATAAAAGAGAAATAAGGCAACACAAAATTCACTTGTAATGAAGACTTAGACTGTAAAGAAAGAGGATGGATGCATCAAATTTGTCAAGGAGAAGGAAACTTTCTAACTACAGGGACATACTGAAGACTAGGCTCCATGCTTACAGAAAGAAAACAGTGCAAGTATAAGTGGAGGAGATAAGGAGACTTGCTACAAGGTGTCAATAATTAAAATTGAGTTGATTGACTATTTCTAGAGAGACGGTTTTGTAATACTTTAGCACTTACTCCAAAACAAATTCAGAACCACGACTGACACAGCACACCTTGGAAATTATCAAAGCAGTAGCATGGTTCAAATATGACCCATGACCTTGGGTCAGCCAGGGCCTTCTTAACCATCCAGGAAATGACCATTTCCTTACCCTATGATTTCCTCAGAGGATCCTGGTGAGTTTGAAGCAAACAGCAAGCACTGGTCCTTGGAGCCCCTCTGGCCCTTTTCTGGACAGCTCAGGCTCAAGCTAAGCTACGCGGTCTCTCAGACAATGTATCTGGCATGAAACCTACTCTCACCATGTAATATAAAGCAGGCTGCCTCACAAACTGATATGTAGCCCAGGTGTGGCTACCCGACATAAATGTAAGTTAGGGTTGAATAAATATTTATAAAATGGATATATGTATTAGCAATATTTGAAAAAATAATTAGTGAAATGAGGCTAAAGATGCTTAGAAATGTTTTATTTTCATTGGTTGACAATTAACTGATCATCTGAATGGTAACTCTCACATTGTACCCTAAAATAAGACAGATATTCTGCGGACAGGGAGAACATAGACTAATTTCATTGTTTTATCTGTTAAGCTCTCTTGCAAAAAAGAGCAAACTAGGCTAGTTTTAAATTTAAGCAACAGAAACATTATTGGTGCTTAAAGCAACACATTTTTTCATATTCAGAACTACCCCTACCCCATGAGGTATTATCTCCTTTTCAAAGATAGGGAAACTGAGGCTCTGAGATTTTCTAAAATGATCAAACCACATATTTAGTAAGAGGCACAGCCAGCATTAGAATCCAGATTTTACTTAAAAGCACATGGTTTCAAAATGAAAAAGAAAAATCTCTTCCATTATAAATGTAATACTTGCTTATCAGAGAATATTTGGAAAAGTAGTACAAAGGAAGAAAATGAACTCATGATCCTGACTCCCAGTGGTAGTCACATCAACATATCGGTACCTTCTTTCCAGTACTTTTACTGTGTATATTTTTTAATGTAAGCGTGAACACATGGCATATCAAAATGGAAGTATCAATATTTTAAACATATTCTGATTTTATAAGGAAAGCACACACTTTATAGAAAACTTGGAAAATACTGAAATATATAAAGAAATTAAAGTCACCTAGAATCTCATTAGCCAAACATAACCGTCGTTAATATTTTCATATAATCTCTTCATCTTTTTCTATCGATTTTCTTTTTTACATAGGCAAGCTCATAATGTACAAGGTTTTTAAGTATATTAACAAAGGTTTATATGGATGATGACAAAGAGGAACCTGGTGACAGACAGTATTTCCCACTCAAATTATCCAATAGGTTTTCAAGAAGCAGAAAATAATCACTCATGTTCCCTGTCCATTCACATGGCCATCAAAATATCTGTAAGCCGTAAAGCCTGTGCTAAGTTTCCACTAAGGTGAAGCCTGATATCGATTACCATGTTTCTTTTTTGCATCCAAGTGGTCTAAACCACTTACATGATAAGAATACTCCCCGCACATAGCTTTCAATACCATGCAAAAGCCCTTCTAGGAGAGGAAAGACAACAGCTGCAGTCTGATGAAAAGGGCTTAGTATCCCACAATGAGAAATATATCATTTTGCACACTTAAATTTACCTAAAGAGGTTTAGCAAGAAAATAAGGCATAATTAATGGCTCAAGGAAGTTCTAAATGGTGTAACATTTAGAACAGATTAACAAAATTCCAAAGGATTTATTATCAAAACAAAAAATGAAACTTCAGATGTACATAAAGTAATAAACCTTTACAACAGCTGTTAAGGAAAAGCGGCAGTGTAAGTTTACACACATAGAAAAGGCGAGGAGTAAGAGCAAAAGAGAACTCCAGTTGGAATGTTGATTATGTCCATACAGCTTCCTCTTGATTTAAACACTCATGACACACTGAATGAACTGAAAGAGAGAAAAGTGAGCATTATGCTGCATATCTCATAACACTGAATACCCCCCTAGCTTATTTTTAGGCAGCTTACATTTTGGTATTCTAATATGAATTATGGATTTAAAAAGTCCTTTCTAAAATAAGAGTAAATGATGGACGAAAGGTGCACTTTTTGAGGGAAGAAGTCTAGTATAAAATCCAACGGGTTTCCCACATCAAAGCTTCTTACAGGAGGCAGATCTTACTCCAATGGATCAAGAATTATTTAGTCCTTTAAAACCAAAAAATCCAAAGAATATCTTAAATCCAAATAATATCTAAGACTGTAGAAATGGTCATGGTCAAAATACCTACCCACAAATACAAATAACAGTTTATAACGTTTTATCACGAGGGGACTTCCAAACTGCAGGCTATTACCCCACTACTTAACAGAGTGTTTTCAAACAATTCCATTAAAATCTGCTTTACTAAAATAAATCCTAGCATGCAAGAATATGAATGCACAGAAACAGAATATCTGACAATTCCTATGCAATTCAGAAACCCCAGTTTAGAAGCATCAGTATTTGCTGTGAAATGTTTGCTTCACTATTAAACACATACCAACAGACTGCTTTTCCTATCAGTTTTCTTTCTCATGCTTCCAGCCAGAAGGAGGCACTGTGCACTGCTGATCTTGCAGCATTCCTACAAGGCCAGGCTGATTATCCCTCCATCCAGGAAAAGAAACTAAGGATCAAGACATTTAGATATCTCCTAAGTGGCCCTGTCTGAGGCCAAAGCCTGTGCACTTTCCAATCCACAGCCTGCCTCTCCATCTTGGAAACAGTGACAGGACTGTCACCTGAGAATTTAACGCACACTAAAGAGAACATACCTTTAAGCAGAATAAACAAACATATTTACACACAAGCCTTTTTCAAGTGTACTCAACTGCAGCAGCCGCTAAACCGAAAATATGTGCATCTTTGTATTTGGTAATGAAGAAACACTTTAGAAAATTTAGTTACACAGTGATTGCCATTCTAAAAGTGATTTTTTTTTTAATGAATGGCTGAGCAAAAAATAGAGAAACAACTAAACATCTCCCTAGCTTTGTTATGTATATCCAACTAATGCCATCGAAGATGGCAGTTCGTTGCATCCCACTAGTTTCACGGCCTTATCCTACCTCATTTAGTGTGGCTGTTTAGTAAATACATTGTTTTAAATTGTGACTTATGTTTGTGCCTTAGGTCCTCAATGAAGAACACTCGTATGCCAAGTACAGCTTTGAGCTGTTAAAGTTATTTCTCAATGACTGAGATGATTTGTTTAATGAGGGCAAAAGCAGATACAAATCTGCATGGTGTTTTTCAAGGACATTTCTAATTGAAATCTCCCACTAGCCCAGTGAAGAAGGCATTATTATTACTTCTTCTTTCCTTAAACAGTCTTGAGTAATGAAATCTGCCTAAGTGACCGAGTTAATAAGTGGGACAAGCCAGACTTTGACCCAGGTCTTTTAATGTAAATAAAACAGTGGTCTATGGATAAGATTAATAATAAATGAAATTAATAACTTTTGAATGGTAACTCCTTCTGATTATTTCATTCTTGATTGTCTGGCATGCTTAAGATGCTCCTAACAGCTCACTTCAAAACGGATGCCCATTTGGTACGTCTTATTTGACTACTCAGTTCTGAATTTGCTGAGACTTACATCATCATATGGGAAATTCACAACACCTTGCTGAGCAGTATCCCGTCTTCGAAAGCTGTCTGTAAAACACCACAGTAAAATTTATGTTTTTTTAAAAACATCTTATCTGAAATCATAACAGTTAATTATTTTGGTATTGGGTTCAAACTGCAGTAACATTTAAATTATACAACCAGCTAACATGAACAAAAGACAAAAGAAGGCAACTATATGAATATTAATAGATTTAATATGCAACAAAGTAATGCAATACGCAGAAGTGAGTCAACTGTCTTTCTCAATGTGGAGCTGGAAGAAAACACCTTATCCCCAAGTCAGTAAAAGCTATGTGACTCTGAGGCCATTACTTAAGTGTGATGAAAGCACAGAATTTTAAACTTCTTAATAACATAGCTATTGTTTAATTAGGAAATGGATAGATGGAGCCCTAAAATGACAAATGGGCTATGATCAAATATTCTACCCATTTGAGCTCTGTCCTATCGAAAAGGATTTACTTTAATAAAAAAAAAAATCTGCCCTCAAATTTTTGTTAGGATGCAAAAAAATTATAAAACCAGACATTAAAAAGAGTTAAAAACTAAAGAGAGGAATGGAACAAGAAAAAAATATACAAAAGAAACAAAAAGAATAGAGGGAATAAAAAAGAAATTATTGATATAGCCTCATTTAAGAAGTACATCTGAAACAGAGGACCACCATTTTAAACTGTTTTCCAACAGGAAGAATTAGGAAAGAGAGCTACAAATGAGTAATTTCACTCTTCAAATATTTCATAGTCTAGGGAGACATCACAGAAAACCGCTCAGACTGAACAAAAATGCACAATTTAGCTTGTTATGTTTTGGAACATTTTAGTAAAATTTATTTAAGATTATTTTAATGGCAGATTACTTACTAATCTGAAAAATATTTCTGAAAAGACAGAATTATTCTGCTAGATATGCTTAATAGCAATGTTAAAAAGCCACCGAAGCTAGAAAAACAAAAAAGTAAAAAAATTGGGGCCAATAAAAGTTCAGAAGCACTGAGAAATGAAATGTCATAAAAACTGTGTCTCTCTGGCCCATGGTGCCGACCCCATCGCAAAGAACACACCTGTCAGAGCTCGCAGTTTGACGCAGCAGGCGATGTAGTCATCGAAGGTGATCTTCCCATTGGTGCTGTATCGTTTTGCAATTGAATTCACAGCCTGGGGACTTAACCTAAATCCTGAAAGGAAGAAACATCATCCAGCAAAATAAGTTAAAGGATTACAAACAGACATTAAAAATAAGCACAATTTTTTAAGATAGAGTACTCATTTTAATTATGAATACACACTACTTCCAGAAAACAGAAACTGCCTTCATGTAGCACTTAGTTATAGAAATTAAAAGAAAAAAATTACTTCTACCAATGAAAAGACAGTTGGAGTTAGCCATACCCACCCATTGTTGTCAGGGCCTTCTGCAGTTCCTGAGGATCCACTGTTCCACTCCTATCGCTGTCAAAACTGATGAAGTGTTGTCTCCAGCCATTCAGTACAGCCCAGAGTTCTTTAAATTCATTGAAACCCATTGTGCCTGACATATCTCTCTGAACTGTAATCAAGGATTAGGGCATCTTTATTTTGCAACATTTCTAATGATTAAATCAAAAATCAAGGATAAGGGAATTTAATTTGCTTTCTGCTAAAAAGGTTAAACATTCTTCTTGGTATGCCATAATAAAAAGATACTCTAATCATAAAATAAAAAGGGCCTATGGAGAAAAACCTCTGAGTACATCTTTTCACTATGGGAAAAAGATAATCTATGTGATGTGAATACAAGGAAATAACATGGCCATTGTGAGCCACGTATAAGATGCTGTCTTGTTACTGGAACTAGGCTGCACCTTCCGGGTGCCCCAGGCTATGCTGCTTACCCTTCAGTCCTGGGGTCCTCTGTGGCCCTAACACTCTTGGTAAGCCCTCCCAGACCCAGGGTTTTCTTTCTTTTTTTTTTTTTTTTTAAGATTTTATTTTTTTCCTTTTTCTCCCCAAAGCCCCCAGGTACATAGTTGTATATTCTTCGTTGTGGGTCCTTCTAGTTGTGGCACGTGGGATGCTGCCTCAGCGTGGTTTGATGAGCAGTGCCATGTCCGCGCCCAGGATTCGAACCAACGAAACACTGGGCCACCTGCAGCGGAGCGCGCGAACTTAACCACTCGGCCACGGGGCCAGCCCCCAGGGTTTTCACTTTTGGAAAATGAGGTGGAATGGAAGGCACCATAGGTTCAGCACTTGCTAAACTGAGTCCACAACTGTGATGTGAAAAATTCCACAGCTTGAAGTTCACGTGCCAATTGTGCAGAGCAATCAATGTTAAAGCTAAACAGTTTCCCTGACCACTCAGATTTCTATACTTGTTCTCCTTTGATGCTCCCTGAGTTCTTGAATAACTAACATTCTATTTACTAAGCTTCTTTCCTTTTTAACACCAAATTACACCTTAAAAGCTAATGATTCTGGAAAACTTTTTCGTGGTTATTTGTCACTTTGTCTTTACTGGGTATTAAATCTTAGATGAATTCCTTTGGGAAGGAAATTTTGTCAGGGAAAAACACTGTAGACATCAATCAAGGTAAAGGATACATCCAGCATTGAAACCATAAGCCGACAAGTCTCCAGGTTAAAAGCTGTTAAATCAAGAAAAGTACATATATATTAATACAATTCCAAAAATTCACATTACATTGGATACATTCAAATTAATTAGGAATGTGATTATTTATACTTTTATTTTTATATGCTACTCAATTTACATGGAACTAAATTATATGGAGCTTTAAAGTAGATGTTTTCCAGATAGAGAGGATTCCTTCTAGAACCCAAATTTGATTTTAACAACTTTAATAGCAATCTTTTAAAAAAGCATTGCATAGTACTGTTAATATTTTTAGGTGTGATCAAGGTTTTGAAGTTGGGGGAAAAAGTGTCACTGTCTTTTAGAAAAGTATACACTGAAGTTATTTCTAAGTGAAATTAATGTTACGATATCGAGAATTTGCTTCAAAAGAAAACGGGCAGGGTTACAGATGAAACAAGAATGGCAACAGACTGATAATTGTTGAAGCTGAGAGATGGGTACATGGGAGTTCACTGTATAGTTCTCTCTATTCTTGGACAGGCTTAACATTTTCTATAATATAGTCTTTTTAAAGTATTATATTCTTTCTTGCCTTTGTGATACCGTGAGTTCAATTCACCATAATGAACCACAATGTATTACATCCACATGGTGAGTAAGAAGGTAGGGTTGCTTTGTTCCTACTCATAACTGACCGTAAATAGCTGGTTTTGCTAGTTCTGTGTCTCATCGTGCTTTTTCTTTCTTTTCCCTTTAACGTCAGGCACTGAACAATAACCTCCTACCTCAAGTAGCCTATGACCTCTTTTCATATTCAATAAGCTTGTATATGAAACCAGATAAATGCACTTACTAGAATTGTGTGTTAAGTAAGAGCGCTCTGGAATAAGATCCAATGACCAGTTTAGTGATGGCCACTTTTCAGAAGCGTTTTCAGTTTACTTACAATTCGAGAGTGTTCTGAGGGCATGTCCATACCTCACTTAGACAACTAAACTAGAATATACTTATTGATTAATGGCCTACTGGTAATCTACCCAACTGTTAGCAAATTAAAAATAAAGAATTCCCTGCATTTTATTTTGTGTTGGTGGGAATCAATGACAAAATATTATATAGGTATAAAGAAGCTATAAGGCTAGAAGGCCAAAGTGATGAGGGTCATGTGGGCAAAGCTAGCATAAATTCTGCAAGTTTGTTAAGGTGCATGCAGAACATTTTTTTTTTTTTTTTTCCTTTTTCTCCCAAATTCCCCCAGTACATAGTTGTGCACTTTCAGTTGTGGGTCCTTCCAGTTGTGGCATGTGGGACACCGCCCCAGCATGGCCTAACGAGTGGTGCCATGTCCGTGCCCAGGATCCGAACCTACGAAACCCTGGGCCACTGAAGCAGAGTGCACAAACCCAACCACTTGGCCATGGGGCCAGCCCCAGAACTAACATTTTTTAAAGCTCTTACTAGCTTCATTTTTATCTCTAACCAAACAATTTAAAATATAGCTGAGCTAACTCTTATTACTGTAATGTCTCCAAACAGTACAAACTACAGGTTTTCTACTTTTAACAGATTCTGTGTTTGGCATATTCTAGAACCTGAAATAAAAGGCTGGGGACTATTTCTACATTGATCCTTCACTCTCCATCTGATCCACAGACACAGTTCTCTGACGTGAGAGGAAGCAACACTTTGCTACACTTTAGACAAACAGCTGGTCAATTCTTGGGGCCAGTCCAGTGGCGCAGTGGTCAAGTTTGCACACTCTGCTTCGGCAGCCCGAGGTTTGTAGGTTCAGATCCTGGGTGCGGACCAACACACTGCTCATCAAGCCATGCTGTGGTGGCATCCCACGTATAAAAAATAGAGGAAGACTGGTACAGATGTTAGCTCAGGAACAATCTTCCTCAAGCAATAAAAGGAAGATTGGCAACAGATGTTAGCTCAGGGCCAATCCTACTTACCAAAAAACAAAAAAAAGTTTGTCAATTCTTCATCGTGACTTTGTGTGGAGGTATGAAGTCTCTCCAGTCTAGACCAGTGGTTCTCAACCCTGGGTGCTTATCTGAATCACTCAGAAGCTTTAAAAGATTCTGATACCTGGGCTGCACCACAGAACAACTATTATGATCTTTCCCAGGCTTATTGAGATATAATTGACAGAAAATATTGTGTAAGTTTAAGGTATACAATGTAATGATTTGATATATGAATATACTGCAAAATTATTACCACAATAAGGTTAGTTTACACATCCATCACCTTACATAGTTACCTTTTTTGTGTGTGTGGTGAGAACTTTCAAGATCCACTCTCCTAGCAAATTTCAAGTATGCAATACGGTATTACTAAGTATAGTCACCACCACTATAGAACAATTAAGTCAGAATCTCTGAGTGTAAGACCCAGGCATCAGTATTTTTTTAAAGCTCAGATGTTTCTAGTGAGCAGCCAAGGTTAAGACCACTGTTCCACTCAAAGTGTGATTCCTGGACCAGCTATATGACCTGGGAGCTTCTGGAATTGCAGAATCTCAGCCCTTAACCTACACCAACAAAATCAGAATCTACAGTTTAACAAGATCCCCAGGTGATATACATTCACACTAACAATGCAAATCCTCAGGTCTATCCCAGGCGTCTAGGGCAGGGCCCAGCAATCTGGTTTTAGCAAGACTTCCAAGTGATGCTGATGCTGCTCAAGTTTAAGAACCACTGCTCTAGAGGGCCTGATAACTACAGGACAGAGCCAATTGTGTTTAGCTTTAGATCAAGGATTTTGAGTGGTCTTGAAGCAGACAGCTTCCCTGTATCCCAGTTCTCTGAATGGCACAACCAACCACTCATTCACTGGAGCCAGAAACCTAGGAGTGTGTCCTCAATTCCCTCTCCTCTGATATTCGATCACCTTCTAAACAGCTTTAGGATCCATCCATTTCCAGTCCCACGGTCACTTTCCTGGTTTAGTTAGCATTTCTCTCACCTGTATGACTCCAGGGGACACCTAACAGGTATCCTTGACTCCTCACGTCCTCCACACCCATGTCCCCCAGTTTAGTTTTTCTCCTACACTCAGGGTAGTACGTGCTCTTCTTCTGTCCACTGCTCTCAGGACAAAGTGCAAACATCTTGGCTGGCATGTAAGGTCATACACATACTTTCCCAGGCCAGCTCGTTTCCGACTCTTCATTCAACACCCATATGCCATCTTCATGGTGAATTTCTCTCAGTTTCTTGACTGAACCATGCTCCTTCTCATCTCTGGGTCTTCTGTAAGTGCTATTCTGTTTGCCTGGAACACAACTTCCCTATCCACTGGCTTCTTGGTCTGCCTCATTTCTCCTCAACTTTCATTTCTCCTCAGTTTAGATATCAATTGTGCAAGGAAAACTTTCCTGACTTCTGTCTGGGTTATGTGCCCCTCCTATGTGATCCCACAGCCTCTATACCTCACCTATCCCAGCGCTTTTCACAATGTCCACAGACACTGTTTGTAGTTGCACATCCTAGCACCTAGCACACAGTGGGCATCCACTAAAAATGTGTTGGTTGCATAAATGAATGAACGGATGAGACGGAATTCTCATCCCTAAACAGAAAGCTGTACACTCCTCTCAGAGTCTAAGGAGGATATGTTTTTCAAATAAATTCTTCTGATTTTTACTGATACTTAAAATTAATGTATAATCCCTGATGTCAAATACCAATCTTAAGTCAAAATACCAATAAGGGTATAGGGCTATGATTTTTCCATTTTAGAAAATCTTCCATACTCATGAACTCAACAAATGCCTGTTAAGTACTCACTATGCACAGGGCTCAGAACACCAAGAACACTGGAGATACAGAAGTGAAATTGGATCCTGCCCTGGCTGACAGTCTAAGGAAACGGAAAGTCATGTGCACATGCAGCTCTAATGAAGGCGGAGGGTGGTACACCACAATGGAGGCACCAAAAAGTACCAGGACCCATTGAGCACTGAGAGGCTCCTTCTTGGTAAGAAAGACTTCATAGAAGAAGCAGAATTTAAACCAAGCCTTGAATGATAGGAAAGATGTGGGACATTTGGTGACAGCCAAGTAGAACTAGGCTCCAGCATAAGCAAAGAGAAGCATGACAGTGCAGGGCAGGCAAAGGAAGCAGGAGGAAGTATGGTTCAGTGAGGCTGCATCACAGGGGATCCTGAATTCCCACTAAGCTGTTTAGCTTTTGTTTTACAGGTACCAAGGAGCTACCCAAGATGTGCAGAGGAGAGCCACGGGTTAGACCGTGTGTCAGGAAGAAGAGACATTTGGTCATCCTTTGTGAAGGATTTAAAAGAGAGGGAAGCAGATGGGGGGTGGGGGGTGGTGAACAAAAGTGAGGGAACAGAAAACTGCCCATTCCAGGCAGTTCTAATGAACTAGAACACTGACATCTGATAAGTTTGAGTGAGGAAAACTCTTGCTCAGATTTAATTGTATTTCCCCCCAGAAATAGCTTTTATTCTATTTTAAATAATTTCAAAAGAACATTTGCTATAATTTTACCTTTACTCTGTTTCTCCCGTTCATTCTATTAGAATGCCTCAAATATCTTCTCTTCTAGTAGAAATCCACAATTTAACAAACCTACAGGAAAACCCTACCTCCAGCTGTTTCTCTCAATCTTACCACAGAGGAACAACTGCACTCAAGGAAGAAAGAGAAGCTGAATTACTTCTTACAGGCTAGAGCCACTTCCCTCATCAGCCCCACCTCTCAGTATGACTGTTTCCTTTTAAACTGGTTAAGAAGGTGCCCGTAGGTACTGGGCTGGAGTATCTCACCACCCCCCACCCCCAGCCGCCAGTCTGCACTTTTCGGTTTGGAAGCTGTGTTTAAAAAACCAATGACTGTATAATTTCTACGTTACAAATCTCACTCTGACACCTCAGAAGCAGGATGGTTTTGTGGTTCATTACAGTCTCCGTGACCAGATGACAGTAAGCAAATTAATTCCATCCCCAGCTCCTGATGACTCACGACATGTCTTCTCTGTAACTCAAAGATGAAAGGCCATCACCAAACATGGCTTTCTCAAGTGGAATTTTTAAAAGGACTGTTCTCCAAGGATGGACGACCTACTCTGTTAGTCAGATTTGAAGACCTGCCACACCTCTTCTACTGAAAGGCTGTAGAATAAGAGTTTACGCTGTGACACAGCTCACTTTTGTAAACCCTGCTATCAGACCTTCTTTGTTCACTAGCCCCAGATGCTAGAGTTTAACGATTAACAATTTAAATATATTGCCTACAACAGTAAAAAAACTCCCTAATCTAGAAAGTGCTTCTTTTGTTTAGACCAGATTAAATGATAGAAATGCAAGTTTCCTCTTTTGTACTAATTCCCCCAACAAGGAAATATTAATAGGATACTGAAGTCACAAAAAACAAAGGATAATAAAAATAGAAATGCAAATAGTTTAAAAAGAGAGCATTTAGTAAATGTGCCATGTCAAACAGTCAAAAAATGCCACTATCCAGCCTCAGGTTTGAGTTCTAGTTTGAGTGTTTTAATTCACAGCTTACCAGGAACTGGGGCTTCGATTTGATGTTCTGTCTCAGTGACAAGTGGCAAAGAAGCTGGCAAGTAAAGCACTTCAGTCAAGACACTATTCGCTACCCTGGATATCTGTCATGGGCAAGATCTGATTCGAAAAGAAGTATATGGTCTGTGTGTGGGGGATGGTGAGAAGCCCCCAATCAGGATGCAGCATTTTTGCAGTAGTTCCCTGTCTGCAGCTTGTGGCAGAGGCTCAAAAGGCAGGAAGGCGGGGTGAGCGCTGAATTATAAGGCAGCAGATCTAGTCTGTGAGGAACTGAGGAGGAGGAGGGGGGAGGACCAGTGTAAAGAGTTTAGAAATTAGGAGGGACACTTCCTACTTAGCCTGAACACATTCTCTGAAGTGGAAAGAGGAAAGACATAGGGGATGTCATGGCAAGCATTTCTGTGGCCAGCAGCATGCTCGGAGACCAGGAGTCCAGAACTAGCTCCCTGAGGACTAGGGTTGGGAGACTGGCCACCTCTGGGAAGGGGTAAGATCGACAGGACCAACCACTCAGAACTAGAAGTGCAGGGTAGGCCACTCAGGAACCAGGTGCACAGGACCAGACACTCAAAGCCCTAAGTGCCACCAGGCTCGGGAGGGAGTAAGCTCCTAGCAAATAGCAGTAAATGTTCACTCCTATCATTGATGACACCTGACCTGGCAGTTTTCATTTCAGCACCTTAACTGGTCCTCTGTGGAAGAGGCCACATAAACTGTCTCATTGGTCTGAATGGTCTCAGACACATGGAACCAAATCCCAGAAACCCACGAAACTGGAGGGTAGTGTGGAATGATTTATTAAGAAGTATTTTTAAATTAACATTTTGAAATAATAAACAACTGAATTTAGCTTTTGAAATTGTAAACTTGGCTGGATCAGAAAAGCTCAGTTTCCTTGAAGGCTATAAGCACAAGTAACAGCTAAAATATGAAACACAAGAGAAATTCTAGAGGACCTTTGGGACTGTCACTTACGTTTGTATCCTCCGGCAATGCCTGACTGAGTCAGGCATCTCTGTAATTCATCAGCGTCTATTTGCCCATCCTTTTGGAAAAAAAATAGGAAGAGGATCACAATGGTGATTTGTACTTTCCAGTTCTTTGTTTACTTTCAGTGTAGCGACAGTAATAAAGAAAACGAGTATTATCACACGAGACCTTTTTTTTAAGAAATGCCTTCTAAGAGTAGTCATTCTTCTCATCACTCTACTTCCAAAAACAATTTAATGATGAAAGACAAATCGTTAAGTTTTGCTCCGCAAATGGATAATTAGAGCTATAAACAAAAAAATACATTTCTTAATCCCTAAGCGGGCATTCAATTTCAGACTCTGTTTTAATTATTATGCAAGAATTAACAAAGTCTGAAAGCTGCTTACATCTATACTTTTGTATTACAAACATCTTTCCATCATTTCCTCTAAATTCCTGAATTAGATTTGGCAGAGACATTCTCAAGTGTAAGCTTCCTCTTTTAATAAAACAGAGGTGAATTCAGTTTCTTCCATTGATACATGATATTTTAAAATGGATGAATAAAACTAGTTTCTGTCTTGAACTACTCTTCTCTCAGTCTGAGCTAGGAAATTGCCAAAGCCAAGCATTTTAAAATAAAATTATTTATGTAGTTGCTTAAAAATCTTATTCCTCTTTCCAGCTATTTGGGAGGGGAGTGTGGAGAGGGTAGAGCAGGGTACACAGCTGGCATCAGTAAATAAAAAGCATGGTTCACACAGAGAGGCCTCCATGATCACCTTTGCTTATGATGTGGTGAGTGGTTTTCTCAGACCACAATTATATCTAGAAGATACATTCTGCCTATTCATTGGCTGATGTAGGTCAAAACTAGACAGTATGTTATTTTTAGGGATTTTAAAATAAAATACTTAAATCTTCAAGTCCATGAGTATTATAAGTTCTATGTGAGGAGCAGGATCAACAGTGTGAAAGACGATGGATATGCTGCTGCAGGCCAGGGCTGCTGAAAGCTAAGCAGGTGGGGTCACTTACACGGCTGAAGGCACAGGCAATCTAAGAACAGGAGTCTTGAGGTTTGCTGTGTCTTGTGGTTTCAAAGGTACAGATCATTAACAGATTAAGCGGATACTTAAGGGGAAGCTCTTTCTGTTTTAGACTCAATTTTCCATTCAATTTCTCAAACCGTATTTCTTAGAGTGCTATTCTAAAAGGTGTTCTTAGGTTTTATCCCATAATATTCTATGGCATTTTCACATTCCGATTGCATCAGTTCTAGCTTTTGATCAAAACAAAGCTAAAGTGAACCCATAACAGCAAGCATCCCTTCTGGACACATTTGGATTAGCCCAACAGTATATTTACCGTACACAGTGACCCGGGAGCTAGAGAAGTGTTCTCCCACAAGGCACACCGCCACCTGTCACATACAACTCAGACTGCAGAGAAGTGAAAGGCCTTGGGGAGCTGATCTAAATTCTCTCTCTGGGTCAACAGGCCACAACACCTAATAAGGACAAGAAGAGCTGACCTAGTAACCACATCTGCACAAAGAGAAACTAAACAGTTCACAAGATGAACTTCCTGATAGTAAGAAGAGAGTAGTAACTTTCTTATTTTGAAACTGGTGGGTTTTTACCATAAAAACCTATTTCTTAAGGGGGTAATTGATTAATAACAATCAAATTCACTCCAAAAGTAAGTGTCTATTAGAATCTGGCTACAGAATTACTAGTATATGCCTTTAAGTTGTACAAACAGGGGTTATGCTCACCAGATGTGGAATTTTTCTCTGGAAAGCACCCTGGACCCTGACACTTCACAGTTCTAAAGACATCTTTCTACCTTACAGATCTTCAAAGCATATTTATAATCCCTATTCTGTTCAATCTGACCCCAGTTCAAGTTTAGTTTGAATTGAACAGACACTAGTAACACTTTGTCCTAATTTTTTCTGAATATTCAGAAGTAATTGACTATAAATTTCTTTCTCTTTTTTCTTTTGCAGAAGCAAAGGGATTCTCTTCTAGAGGAAAGGCCGCTACATAACAAAGGCTATGTAGAATCTGACAAGTCTGTAATATAAAGAGAAAAGCTAACCTGTCCAGCTACAGCAGCAAAGTAACCATATAGTGGATCCTGAGTTTGTCCGGGAAACGAGGGTCCTCCGGGAGCGCCTCCATACTGTAAAACAGAAACACAAAAGCATCATTCCGCTGAATCAAGGTTTATCCTTTCACCATTGAGTGCCTTTGTGCAAAGCCAGGCAATTGCCCGTCCTTCACGCGGCTTACCTCTCCCCAGCGGACACACACTCACTGCAGTCACTCCACCCCTTTCTTCCATTCTCACCCTACTATAATTTAAAAATTGGCAGCTTGGACCAAAAGGAGTTGTCCAGACAGTGACATCTGCATAAAGTGAAGCAACTTTAAAAATCCCTATTAACCTGCAAGTTACTGAGGTAAATGCAACCTCGGCAAGCCATTTAAGAGCAGGACCCGTAATTGTTTTCCTTTTATTTTTATACCTTTTATGGTATTTTTAAAGCTTTCGGAGACAGGTGTAGCCTAGGGAGGGGTAAGGTGTCTCCGCTGGGCTATTTCGCGGGGAGGGGACATTCTGCTCGGAAACAGTTCCCAGGACGACGCGCATCCACGATGCCGGGCGGAGCGGCCTTCCTCCTGGAGGACTTTTACTCCCGCGGTCTTTCCCTGACTTTTCTTTTTTTCTCATTCTTTTAAAGAGAGCGAGAGGTAGATCCCCGGACCATTCTAGATTAAAATGGCTGTTGCTCTTGGGACAAACAGAGAAGGCGGCGGAGGAAGGCAACAGTCAATTTACACAATTTCACGCCGCGTATCCGAGAGTCACAGGGTGGGCTTCTTGGGTCAAGATGCGCCAGTGCCTCGGCCCGCGCAGCCACCCGGAGGGAGCAGGGCCGGGGGAGGGGAGAGCGAGAGAAAGAGGCCGAAGGACAGGCGCCCGGCGCGAGGCAGCGAGCCGAAGGAGCGGGGCGGGCGGCGCCCGGGGAGCCGCGCAGCACTGTCTCCCGGTGTGGCCTCTCGACGGCCCGGTGTCCAAGGATCGCGCCCGGGCCGCACTTACCCCGCCTGGGTAATACCCGCCGCCGGCGCCAGGATGCCCCGGGTACGCCATGGTGTAGACTGCGCCGCCGCCCTGCGCGCCTGCCTCACCGCCACGGCCCGCCCGCCGGCCCGCCCCGGAGCGCACCAAGCGGGCCGGCGGGAGGGGCCGCGCCCCGGAACCCCCTCCCGCACCGGCTTCGGTTCCCAGCCTCCGCCCCTGTCTGGGCGCTGCGGTATCTTTGTGTTTTATACGCCCAGGCTGTGCATAAGCAAAGGTCGGGTAAGTGATGAAAGACCTGCGTTGCAATTCACACCAGGACTTTCCTCCCTTCGAAACGAATGGCACATTCCAACACCGATACAGTGCCCCGGGAATTCTTTTTTACTTCCTGCTTGGCTGTTTTCTGATACGTTTTTTATTTTAAACAACTTTATGGGACAGGGCCATTGGCTCTAAGCAAAGTGAAGTACTACGACGAAGGGGCCGAATGCAGCAGAGCAGCTCTTAGATGGCTTGGTGGAGGGACGGGGGAGACGTTGAAAGATCAAAATATGAAAGCGCACTTGGGAAACAGGAGTAAACTTCAGGAAATGGGTGCAAAGGGAGCATTTGCCTTGCGGTTGCACATTTCACTGAAGAATAACGGCTTGTTTCCTGGCTAGGGGACATTGTCGTCTGGTTAAGGGGGGGGGGCATAGCTCGGCTATGGCCTGGGGAGGACAGAAGGTATTTACTGGGCGGGGCAGCCTCGCCCAGATCGTTCTTAGAAAATGAGTTGTTTGAATTATCTGGATGATTCAAGCGAAGCAATCCCTAGCCTCAAAATTACTCAGCTACTATTTATACAAGAAAAGTTTAGGTCAAGATAGAGTGTGCTGGTAAATATTCAGGAAGGTGAGAGATTGGAACTTCTCTTAGGTGATTCAGAAAATGGTTTCCTTCACGCATTTTTCTTTTTCACCCAGTTGAACGTCTGAAACAATTCAGAATTAAGATTTTTGTTTGGTTTTGTTTCGTGTAATTTCAGCCCCGCAGTATGTTTTTCTGAATTTTGACGTTTTAAGAAATGCATTAATGAGCAAGATTCACAGTATTTACTTTGGAGGTTGCACAGAAAAATTGAAAAAGTCATCAACATCTAACAAGTGTTGGATCACTTGCTGCGTGTGATGCTGTGCTTGTTCACTGTGATGCACAGGGTTCCTCCATTTCAGGTCCTGGGCAGTGTTCTCACTAGGGTCATTGTTTTCTGCTTATGTGTACCTTCCTCCAAGTCCTCTTTTTGGACATCCAACTCCAAAAATGAAAGTCCTGAATTTGAGAAAAATTCTGACAGTCCCTGTTGTCTCATATCAAGCAACTATATATTAGGTTTTGTCTTTGATTCAGAAAGTAGAGTACTGTTTTCAAATCCCACAGCAATCATCAGGGTAGATTAGACATGAGTCCTCTGACCTTTGTGGAGTTTTTTTTCTACTATTTTTTATTGTGGTAAGAACACAACATGGGATCTACTCTCTTAACAAAATTTTAAGTGCATGGTACAGTATTGTTAGCCAGCCATGGGGGTCTAGTGGCTAAGATTCAGCAGGCCCATGCCACCAGCTAGTGCATTTCCCAGTAAGGCACCCCCTGTGGGTTGTCATACTGTGGCGTCTGTGTGTAGCTGTGATGCTGAAAGCTATGCTACGGGTGTTTCAAACACCAGGAGGGCGACCCATGGTGGACAGGTTTTAGCGGAGCTTCCAGACTAAGACAGACTAGGAAGAAGGACCTGGCCACCTACTTCCGAAAAAATTGGCCATGGCAGCAGAGCATTTATACTGTTGAGAGAATGGGGCAAAAAAGACCGGGAAGCTTTCAGCTCTGCAGTACACAGGGTCACTATTAGTCGGAATCAACTCCAGGGCACTGATGACAACAGTATTATTAACTACATGCACAGTGTTGTGTAGCAGATCACTAGAAATTTTCAGCTTTCATGACTGAAAATCCATATCCCTTGAACAGCTCCCAGTTTTCTCCTCCTTCCAGCCCCTGGCGACCATCATTCTACTTTCTGTTTCTGTCAGTTTGATTACTTTACATACCTCTTATAAATAGAATCATGTGCAGTATTTGTCTTTTTGTGATTGGCTTATTTCACTTAGCATAATGTCCTTGAAGTTCATCCATGTTGTAGCATATGATAGGATTTCCTTATTTTTTAAGGCTGAATAACAATTCATTGCATGTCTATGCCATTTTTTTAATCCATTCATCCGTAGATAGACATCTTGAGTATTGTGAATAATGCTGCAACGAACATGGGTGTGCAAGTATCACTTTGAGATCCTGTTTTCAGTTCTTTTAGATACATATACCTAGAAGTGGAATTGCTGGATCATATGGTAGTTTTATTTCTAATTTTTGAGGAGTCTCCCTTCTGTTTCCATGTGGCTGCACCATTTTGCATTCCCACCCACAATGTAAAAGAGTTCTAGTTTCTCCATATACTTGCCAACACTTAATGTCCATTGTTTTTTTGATAATAGCCATCCTGATCAGTGTGAGGTGAGATTTCATTATGGCCTTCATTTGCATTTCCTGGATAGTCAGTGATATTGAACAATTTTTCATATACCTGTTGGCCATTTGTATATCTTCCTTGGAGAAATGTCTAAGTCCTTAGCCCATTGTTTAATTGGGTTATTAGGCTTTTTTGCTATTGAGTTGCAGGAGTTCCCTCTATATTTCGGAGACTGACTCCTTATCACATATATGGTTTGCAAATATTTTCTCCCATTCCATGGGTTGTCTTTTCATTCTGTTGTTTCTTTTGCTGTGCATAAGCTTTTTAGTTTGATGTTTTCCTACTTGTTTATTTTGTTGCCTGTGCTTTTGGTGTCATAGCCATGAAATCATTGCCAAGATCAATGTTATGAAGCTTTTCCCCTCTGCTTTCTTTTAGGAGTTTTACTGTTTTAGCTCTTACTTTTAAGTCTTTAATCTAGTTTGAGTTGATTTTTGTGTATCGTCTGAGATAAAGGTCCACGTTCATTCTTTTAGTTCTGACTATCCAATTTTCCCAGCACTATTTGTTGAAGAGACCATCCTTTCTCTATTGTGTACTTTGGCACTCTTGTCAAAGATCAGTTGACTGTACAGGCGTGGATTTATTTCTGGGCTCTCTATTCTGTTCCTTGGTCTCTGTTTTTAAGTCTGTTTCTTCAGAAAGAGGTAACCAACTATGAGGAAGAGATGGTGAGGGCTGAACTCAAAGAAGTGTAAGCTCTTTCAAGATTCAAGTTTGAAAGAAGTATATAGCATATAAAATATTTGTAAGTAATGCAGAATTAGTTTTGTGGATAAGCATCAATGCTAATTGTCCTTTCAGTTGTCTTTAGCACCTTCCTACTGCCCCTCTGCTAAAGAATTGAATTGAATGGAGTGCTGCAAATGAAATTCTTTCAGTTATTGCTAACAAATTGGGAAGCTGCTGCTGCTTTAGTTTATGAAAAACATTATGGTGGCTAATAATAACAACAGACACATCATACTACTTAATATGCTCTTCTAAGCACTTTATATGTTTGCTTAATCCTCATAAAACCCTATGAGATGGATGCTGTTATCATCCTCATTATACAGTTGAGGAAACAGAGGAGATGAGAGACCTCACCGCAGTGGAAGGAACACAGAGCTCAGCTGTGCTGCCAGGCTCTCTGGCTCCGGCATCTGTGCTCTCCATCAGGGGCAGCAAACTTTGTAAATGTTCGGATAGGCTTTGTGGGATGTATAGTCTCTGTCGCAACTACTTGATTGGGCCGTTGTAGCATGCAAGCATCCATAAACAATACACAAATTGAATGGGTGTGCCTGTGTTCCAATATGACTTTATTTATGCACACTGAAATTTGAATTTCATATAATTTTCAATTGTCATGAAATGTTATTATTTTATTTTCAATTATTAAAAAATGTAAATCTCATTCTTAAGTCCACGGTGTATAAAAACAGGAGGTGGGCCAAACTTGGCCCTCAGGTAGTAGCTTGCCAATCACTGCTGCAAATCCCTCCAGGTTTCTGGCTTATAACTCTGGGAGAATAGCATTTTAGCAAATGATTTGCTAGTTTTAAGATAAAGCTTATGGGTAGTGGCTGAGTCACCTTAAGGAATGATGACCTCCCTGGGATAGGATCCTCTGTATAGAATGGCTTCTTCAGAGTCTTCCCCATTGCCCAGTAAGATGCTCAAAAGGAACACTGTGAAACCCTGGCTTGTCAGTCTCACCCTATGTAGTAATAGCTAGAGGGCAATGACAAAGCTGGATGCAAAGCTAGCTTTAAATGTTTATCTAGGTAACATGGATTCCTTTATTTATAAGCTGAGTATTGTCAAACCTAAAAAAATTAGGAAAAAATAAAGGCTCAATAAGAACTTTACAAAAATAGAGATGAATATAGGCAATTTATCTTATGGTTTTGATATTTACTCCAGTGGAAGGGGTAAAGGTGCGAAGTGAGAGAAATAAGCAACTTTGCTAAGTTCTTGGTATGTCCCAAGTGTTGTACTGGAAACTTCCTTAAGATATTGCGCTTAAAGGACATCACCTTCAAAAGGAAATGCAATTACCCCCATTTCATGTGTGAGGAAATTGAGGTATAAGTAACTTTCCTAAGGTTACATACCAGGTCTTGACCCCCGATTTACCTAACTCTAAAGCATGGGTGTTTTAAAATATAAATAAACTACAAAGATAATAAACCAAGCTTACATTTTTTTTCTCAATCTCCCAGTGTTGTCTCAAGACTCTTCTATGGCTCTGCAATTCTATTGGATCAAGAATTTGGGGGTTGTTTTTTTTCTATTCCTGAATAGAATCTGTTTCAGAAATCAGAATATTACATTTAAAGCAATTGTCTAAAATAATGAACACCTCTTTAGCTCTATTATTAATTATAAGGGTTGACTTTATGATAGACAATTAATTTTTTGACAAAGGTGTAAATATGCTTGGCTAAAGGGAGGTCAAGAAATGAATGCTGGAATTAGGAACTGGCTATAATGGGTCCTTTCTGAGTTGTTCACTGATTCTCAAGCCTCCACAGCTTGGACTTACAGCCATCACCGTGTTTGGGACCAGGTAGAGAGGAGAATAGTGAATACTGGAGCTGTATTCCTGGGTAGAAAATCACCTGTGTTCAGCAGCAGAATTCCCCGAGGATGATTTTTCCTAAGAACAATGGACTAGAA